TCATTTCAGTATGTTGAGATCTTCTTGGATCTTGACTTTGATTCCCTTTCCAGATTTACGCCAGCCAAGAATTTGATTAGCATACTGTCTGTTTCCTCATCCAAGTCATTGACAGAAATATTGACTAGGATGCCACCAAGGATAGAACCCTGAGACTTGCTATTAAAAACCTACCTCCACCTGAACATCAATCCATCCCTTTTGGCTGAATACAAGTCCACCAGACTGGATGTTTGGTGTGTTGGGCATGGCTAGAGTACAAGCCCAGCTAATGAAGATGTGTCAGAAGGGATTAGGGCAGCCAGCTTCTCAGCTCGCCCTCAACCTCAACCTTAGGCACCCACTTAGCTCCTTTTGGTACTGGTTCTGAGCTTGACAGCAGGAACCATCCTTCCCTTTGTTTCTCTGGCTCCTGTGCAGCTTTATCTAGATACTTGTCATGGCAAATGAGGATTACTGTGATTTTCTTCTAACTCTTCTGCCTGTAATTTCTCTCCTTTCCCCTGCAGATCCACTCTCTACCCTCTTAAAATACTGGGATCCACTCAGAAACCCTCAGTTCTTCCTCAAGGATCCCTTTATTTTGGCCTTCAGGGGAGTCTGCATTTCTGTCTCGATTCCCTGTCCTATGTGGCATTTCTTTTTTTTAAATTAAGGTATCATTGATATACAATCTTATGAAGGTTTCGTATGAACAGCATTCACCCATATTATCAATCCCCCCCTCACCCCATTGCAGTCAGTGTCTGTCAGCATAGTAAGATGCTGTAGAGTCATTACTTGTCTTCTCTGTGCCATACTGTTTTCCCCGTGACATACCTATATTGTGAGTGCTAATTATAGTGCCTCTTAATTCCCTTCTCCCTCCCTAACCCCTTCCCTTTGGTTACCGCTAGCCCCTTCTTGGAGTCTGTGAGTCTGCTGCTGTTTTGTTCCTTCAGTTTTGCTTTGTTCTTATACTCCACAAATGAGTGAAATCATTTGGTACTTGTCTTTCTCAGAATAGCTTATTTCACTGAGCATAATACTCTTTAGCTCCATCCATGTTGTTGCAAATGGTAGGATTTGTTTTCTTCTTATGAAATTATTCTTTTTTTGTGGGTTATGCTTTTGGTATTGACTCTAAGAAATCCAAACAAAGTCACAAAGATTTTCTCTGATCTTTTCTTCTAGAAATTGTATAGTTTTACATTTAGGGCTGTGACCCATTTTTAGTTAATTTGTGTATATGGTGCAAGCTATTTCCAGGTTTGTTTTTTTTCATCTGAGCGTTCAATTGTTCCAGCAGTTTGTTGAAAAAACTATCTTTTCTCCACTGAATTGATTTTGTATCCTTCTCAAAAATCAATTGACCACATATGTCTGGATCTTTTCTGGACTCTATTACCAGGGCAATATACACACTGCCTCAATTACTGTAGCTTTATAAACCTTGAGGGCAGGAGTGAAAGCCTTCCATCTTTCTCTTGGGGTAGTCTAACTTGAATATCTTTTATTCATTTATTTATCCCCACACCCCTGTTCTCCGCCCCCCTCCCCCACCCCCACGGCCTCCCCAAATGTTTTTTATTTTTATGAGTGGCATTGATCATCTTTCAATATGTAGAAGCTACTGGATTTCTTTTTCTTATTTGCTACCTGATGTATTTGTTACCCATAATTTCCCAGACTCTGCTTGGATCCCTCTAGTGATGAGGAGTTCATTGGCCCTGGGGTGGCCTAGTCCATTTTTTTATACATTCTGTTATGTAAAAGCTATTGTTCATGTTGAATCCCAATCTGCCTCCTTATGGCTTCTTGTCCCTGATCTGGTCCCTGGCTTTGGGGCCTCCCAGAGTAAGCCTGGCCCTTATTTGTCCAAGCAGCCATTATAGCCCTTCTAGCCCTGCTGTCACCTGATGTATTTTTCATGTACTAGCTAAGTATCTTTAGTCTTTTCATTTTGCATATCATAATTTCTCCTGCCTGGTTGATGCTGCCTGGAAGCCTTCCAATTTTGTCAGTGTCCTTCTTAAAATGTGTCATGCCCGAATGAACAAAATATTCCAGGTATGCTCTGATGTACAGAACTCAGACTACTCCTCTCTGTTTGGGGACATGGCATGTCTGTTAATGCAGCCTAAATATGAATGAACTTGGGGTGGCCATGTTACCTTGTGTTGAAATTGCATCTAACTAAGCTATTTATAATAGTTTTATTCAGTAGTTTTTTAACCTAAGTGCCGGACTTAATATTAAATCTATTACAACTAAATAGAATGTATTAGATTTGGCCCATCATTTCAGTATGTTGAGATCTTCTTGGATCTTGACTTTGATTCCCTTTCCAGATTTACGCCAGCCAAGAATTTGATTAGCATACTGTCTGTTTCCTCATCCAAGTCATTGACAGAAATATTGACTAGGATGCCACCAAGGATAGAACCCTGAGGCTTGCTATTAAAAACCTACCTCCACCTGAACATCAATCCATCCCTTTTGGCTGAATACAAGTCCACCAGACTGGATGTTTGGTGTGTTGGGCATGGCTAGAGTACAAGCCCAGCTAATGAAGATGTGTCAGAAGGGATTAGGGCAGCCAGCTTCTCAGCTTGCCCTCAACCTGAACCTTAAGCACCCACTTAGCTCCTTTTGGTACTGGTTCTGAGCTTGACAGCAGGAACCATCCTTCCCTTTGTTTCTCTGGCTCCTGTGCAGCTTTATCTAGATATTTGTCATGGCAAATGAGGATTACTGTGATTTTCTTCTAACTCTTCTGCCTGTAATTTCTCTCCTTTCCCCTGCAGATCCACTCTCTACCCTCTTAAAATACTGGGATCCACTCAGAAACCCTCAGTTCTTCCTCAAGGATCCCTTTATTTTGGCCTTCAGGGGAGTCTGCATTTCTGTCTCGATTCCCTGTCCTATGTGGCATTTCTTTTTTTTAAATTAAGGTATCATTGATATACAATCTTATGAAGGTTTCGTATGAACAGCATTCACCCATATTATCAATCCCCCCCTCACCCCATTGCAGTCAGTGTCTGTCAGCATAGTAAGATGCTGTAGAGTCATTACTTGTCTTCTCCGTGCTCTACCACCTTCCCTGTGACCTACCTATATTGTGAGTGTTAATGATAATACCCCTTAATCCCCTTCTCCCCAACCTCTTCCCTTTGGTAACTGCTAGTCCCTTCTTGGAGTCTGTGAGTCTGCTGCTGTTTTGTTCCTTCAGTTTTGCTTTGTTCTTATACTCCACAAATGAGTGAAATCATTTGGTACTTGTCTTTCTCTGCTTGGCTTATTTCACTGAGCATAATACTCTTTAGCTCCATCCATGTTGTTGCAAATGGTAGGATTTGTTTTCTTCTTATGGCTGAATAATATTCCATTGTGTATATGTACCACATCCTCTTTATCCATTCATCTACTGATGGACACTTAGGTTGCTTCCATATCTTGGCTATTGTAAACAGTGCAGCGATAAACATAGGGGTGCATCTGTCTTTTTGAATCAGGGATCTTGTTTTCTTCGGGTAAATTCCTAGGAGTGGAATTCCTGGGTCAAATGGTATTTCTATTTTTAGTTGTTTGAGAAACCTCCATATTGCTTTTGTGGCCCTTCATTTCTTCCTCTCGACTCAGGCCTTCTGCTCTAACCAAACAGGCCAGATCACCATCTTTCAAAAAGGCTACATGCATTTCTTCCTTGGTGCCTTTTTTGGGACTTTGAGTTCCCGCTTGGGTTGCTCTCCCTCTTTTACTTACACTTTTTCTTAAGGGCATAGCTCCCACTTGCTTCTTCCAGGAAACGAGCCCTGCCCCCAGCCCCCAGTGTCCTGATCTCTTCCTCCCCAAACTCCTGCAGCACCTATTTGCAATTCTCATTTAGTATTTCAATGCCAACTTGAGTTTTAGTTATCTTTTTTCATAATAGCCCCAAACTGGCTATTTATAAATTCCTCTAGGGAAGGGACCATATCTTATACTTCAGTGAAAACAGGACCATTCCTTACAGTTATTAAATAAATGCAGTTATTGTACACAGCAGGTATATATAGTATAAATATATATATGGTATAAAAAATATATAAATGTGGTATAAATATTTGTTTCCTTCATTGTCTCTTCTATTTTGTATCTGCCAAATCTTGTATGTACTGGGCATTTTAGAGGTTGGTTGAGCTGATTTAGTTGGATCTCAGATCCCATCTTACTTTTTAAAAATCAACTCTATTGAGGCAATATTTGCACACAGTAAAAGACACCTATTTAAGTATATCATTCAAAGATTGACATATGTAAACACTCCGGTTACCACCACCCATAGTCGAGATGTTGAACAGAAGATCTCTGCACCCTTTGCAGTCATTCCCTCCCCCAACCCCCAGGCAACCCCGGATCCGCTTGCTGTCATTACTGATAAGTTTTGCCTGCTCTAAATTTTATATGTATGAAATCACACACTATATGCTCTTTTGTGTCTGGCTCCTTTCATTCAGCAGATGTTTGAGGTTCAGCCATATTGTTGCGTGTGTCAGTACTTCATTCTGTTTTGTGTCTGGGTAGAATTCCATTATATAGCTGTACCATACTTGTTCATCCATTCACCTGTGAATGGATGTTTGGATTGCTTCCACTTTTTGGCTCTTTTAAATAAAGCTTCTAGGAACAGTTGTATACAGTTCTTTTTGAGGACAGATATTTTCATTACAGGCCATTAGTTGGTGTATACTTAACTTTCTCAGAAATTGCCAAAATGTTTTCTGAAGTGGTTGTACCATGTTACATTCCCACCAGCAATTTATGAGGTCATATCCTCACCAACACTAGATATTGTCAATCTTTTTCATTTTTAGCTGTTCTAATGGGTATATATTAATTTATGATAAACATGAATATATTAGAATACATAGAAATATTATTTAATTATTTAAACAATTAATGTTAATATTGAATCTTCTGATCTGTGAACATGGCATATCTCTCCATTTATTTAGGTCTTCTTTAATTTCTTTCAGCAGTGTGAAGTGTACAGTGTAACATGTGTTTTTGTTACAGTCATCTGTAAGTATTTCATGGAGTTTTTTTGTACTATTATAAGTGATGTTTAAAAATTTTTGTTTTCCTATATTTCATTGTAGCATCTGGAAATTTAATTTATGTTGTATTTTGCATTTTGACCTTGTATCTTGCAACCTTGCCCATTTATTTGTTCTAATATCTTATTTGTAGATTCCTTAGGATTTTCTACACATATGATCTAGTCTTCTGCAAATAAGACAGTTTTACTTATTTCTTTATGATCTTTATGCCTTTCATTTCTTTTCCTTCTCCTTGCTTTTGAGTCCTTATTCTTGACCTAGGTAGCATTTTGTTCATATTTCTTGTTTGCTAATGATAGTGATGTCAACTACTTATTAAGACCTACTATGTGGCAAATAGTGTACTAGACTCTCTGTGTAACATTTTACCTAATTCTTGTTAACACTTCTGTGAGATAGGTATCATTCTATGAGTAAGGACTCAGAGACACAAGTAATTTGCCAAGGTCATTTGGCATTTGATACATGTTAGAACCAGGATTTGAACCTGGGGTGTTTGACTTTGAAGCCAGTGCTTTTTTTTTTTTTTTTTACCCGCAGTGAACCAGGACTAGAACTAGCCCTTTAAGAATACAACGGCTGGTTTCAGGTCAGGCAGTTGAGGACAGGTCTTTCTCAGAATCCCATGTATGGAGTGATGGGAAAACAGAGTCTCTTAGAAACATGTCCTGCTCCTGGCTGCCCTTTCTGAACTGCTGTGGTTCCAGCTGGCCACAGAGTTATTTCACACTTGCAGTGTTGGCAGGAGTTAAGCACAATCCCCATCTGGCTCCTGGTGCCTTTCCCTGTGTGGTGACTACCTCATCCAACCCCTGCTGGGATGGGGTGTCATGGGGACCTTGAGCTGTCCTCATAAACAGGGCCTGGGCAGCTTAAGTCAGAACAGCCTTGGGGAGAAGTGGATTCAGCCTCCCAGGATCCCATTCAGTTGGCTGCCAGAGACCAAATGTCACTGCATTGTGAGGCTGCTTCCAGTGTCACTGTCTGTCTCTGAGCCCTTGGGGCTAGCTCAGCTTTGAAAGCCCTGCTGGAAAGGCAGGGGTAGAAAGAGACTTGGAAGCACAGGCCTGTGATGTCGGTCCTGGTGCCGCCTTGTGAGGAATCAGAGGGGGTTTGGAGTGGAGTTGGAGGCTGCAGAGCTTGGGCCTCCTGGCTGGGGTCCCCCGGACCCAGCTTTTTTTTTATTGTTTCTAGACCCTTCTTTTATGGATCAGTTCTCCTGGGCCTCTGACCAGCTCCTCTTAATGAGGCTTTGCTGCAGGCCCCAGAAAGAACTGCCCTAGTCAGCAGGTTAGTGCTTTCTCCCCGACTAGTCACCTGGCACCAAACCAGATTACTCAGTGGCACTTTTTACCAAACACGCCCAGGTCTGAAATCATTAAAGTGTGCTGGCTGCCAGGTTGGGTGGGTGAGGGTCAGGGGTTGTGTGGGGAGGGTGGTGGTGGGCAGGGAGGTGGGGCTGATCTTCATTTTCCAGATGGATGTCCTGTGGACCACAGCCCAGGTGCCTGTTGAGCGCCGCCCTCTTGGCAGCCTGCCTGAAAGGTTGGGCGGACCGTGGGCAGTCTGTGTGCACATGTGTGGTATGTGTTCCCAGCACCTGGACATAGGTGCTCCTGGGGGCAGCAGTGGAGTTAGCATGTCTCCACTTCCCACCATTCCATTCCCCCGATTATTCGAGGTGTATCCAGTTTACCTTCATGCTAACCGTCACTTTTTAAAAAGTGATTTCTCCTGCCTGATGAAGTCAGTGACTGAAAGAGTACATGGGGAATGGAGCATATGTGCCTCCGAAGATTGGGGCTACAAAAGGGGCAGCGTGCCCCCCTGCTACATCTGCTGCTAGCCTTGTCCCTGCTGGCCTCAGAGGGTGGGCTTTGTCCAAAGCTGACTGCCTGGGAGGCAGTGCTGCAGGATGGGGCTGGCCAGGGGCTGGGGACCGGCTCTTTCCCAGAAATAACACCATTGTTCAGATGATCCTGCTTTGGTTCACAAGAGCCGTCCGTTCTAGCAACCTGGACTTAGGGGATTGCTTCCTTCTTTTCCCCAGATGCTGTGAGATTGACAGAATCCCTGGGTTTGTACATGTTGGGGAGGAACCTTCCTTTTGGGGGTGACCACATTCATCTGGGCATGCCTACAGTACTCCAGACCCATGGACCTGATGGAGAAGCACACGGTAAGCCTTGTGTGATGTCCTGACGGGTATTGTCTGTGTGTCTCTACTGGACTCCCCCACTTGTGTTTGCTGGGAGGTCCTCACTTGGGAGCCTTTAAACAAAAGTGAGAGAGGGGCATCAGGAGCGTGGGGCATGGGATTGTGACCCCCTCTGAGAGGGTGCCATTGCTAGGCTGGAAAGCAAACTTGGAAGTGTACACACAGGACACCGGGCTCCCAGCACAGCCACGTGGGAGCAGGTTTCTAATCTGGGTTGCTCCACACCAGCCTTCCACTTCTTGCCCAGGGGTTTGTAATTTCGTTTGTTTGCTCTTTGCTGGGGCTCTGCCCCAACCTGCTGAGCCATGCTGTGTGCCATTGGGCACCCTCTCTGTGGTTAGGGATGAGCTCCCCAGGCAGACTCCAAACACAGCTGCGTAATCAGCTGGAGGTCCGGGTGTGCCTAAGATTGGCCTCTTCCCAGCCTGGTCAGGTACACCATCTTTGCATGGAGGCAGACTGTCAGCAGTTGGAGCGTCCCTCTCCTGTGACAACCGCCCTAGTTGAGGTCCCCCCATCTCTGGCTGTCTGGCATACCTTCCTAACAGGTCCCTGTCTCAGGTCTCCTTCCTTCTCTTGGCTGTCAGAGAAAGCTATCCAAGATGCAGGGCTACTTTTTGTTGCCCCTGCTGTTTAAGGGACTTTTAAAAGGACTCTGCACCACCTGCTGAAACTCTCAGTGTGGTGTGCAACACCCTCCATAATCCCGCTCCTGCACATGGGCCCAGTGTCCCTACCTCCCCTGCCTCACCACTAGTAATTCTGAATGCTTCTGAGTTGGGGCACACACCCCACTCCTAGGCTCTTACCCTGACATGCTCCCCACTCTTTTCCCTGGCAGACTTGTCCTAATCTTTCTTCGAGACTCAGGTTAAGCATCCCCTTCTCCAGATATGCCCTCCTTCCCCTCCACCATCAGACTTGCCACACCATACTGATATAACCTGTCCCACTTTATCTCAGTGTCCCTGGCTCCTAGCATAGAGCCTGGAATGTTACAAGGGCTTTCTTAGTATACACTGACTTGAACTTATGGGTGGTGATCTTCCTGCACAAGAGATGTTGGGAGGTTCTGGAGAGGGAGCCGTGGGTTGACATGCTGGTCCTCTGGTGGTGCATGGCTGACTGCTGACTTGTTCAGCTCAAGGCTTCACATGCCTGTGCATCAGCTCTGGAACAGGCTTGTGGACCTGAACTTGAAGCAGGGTGTTCAGCCTCCGGGTCACAGATGCCTCTGGCTGCCCCGCAGGTGTCCATCCTAGCAGTGACTGGCATAGAGGGAAAGCTACACTGCCTCTCCTCTAGCCTGGGTGCAAGGCCACTGCATACAGGTGCAAGGGCCGTGACCCGCTCAATTCCAGGGAGCACCCCTCAGAGGCTGTGATGTTGTGCAGTGTGGTGGCCTGCCTGAGATGGGGCTGAATGCCCCCAAAACAGAGGACAATACTGTCCTCTGGTTTCACCCTGTTGCTGAAACACCAGTACCTAGTGAGTTGCAGGAACAAAGTTCTTTTGATCCAGGGGCTGGCTTCTCTCTCAAGCCTGGGGAGGAACATGGGAGCCCAGGCTAGACAGCTCTCAGGGGTGATTTCTCCAGGAGGATTTTTCTGAATAGATGAGTCCTGAGCTAGAAAGCACCTTCACCATTGCCACCAGCCATATTTACGGAACACTTCCTTTGGGTTGGTAGAACTTGGCATCGGGGAGGTGGCCTCCAGCTTGGAGACAAACCGTCTGGCGGAGAAACTGATAGTACAAACAGCTACTAGAACCTGGCAGGGTTCCTCCCGGAGGTACCCTGTGAGTTATATAAATGGGCTTCTAACGATAACCCCTGTGGCCTCTGACAGTCCAGGGCTTCTTGGAGGAGAGCTGGATGGAGCGAGTTGAAGGTAAGGGACCCGTTGTCCCTGGCTGTCACCCAGGAATGGCTTGGCTGTGGTGGGTTGATTTTCGCCAGCAGAGCCTCCTCTCCCCTATCTCTATTCCTCTGGCCAGTGGTAGACACGCGTTAGTAGTGACAGTCCAGGTTTCTGCTTCTGAGAGGCAGAGCTCCCCTTCTTGCTTGCTGAAGTGGCCAGTGTAGGAATGGAGCAGGACAGGGGAGGCTGCGCTGGGGGCCCCGCAGAACCTCTGGGGTTAGACCCTGTGAGCTTTCTTTCTAGGGCCAATTGCACAGAAAGAGTGTTTGCTTAGCTGTTTCCACAGAGCAGTGCCTTGGTAGAAAGCTAAGGGGAAGGGTGACCTGGATGCAGGGGACAGGGACAGGAGTATCTCCTGGCAGTTTGCTAAAGCTGCAGCCTAGCTGCACTGGCAGCAGCCAGCCTCAGAGAGGCTGGCTCAGAAGCTGACCCCTCCTCCCCTGGCCTGTGCCTCGTGGAGACTTCCTGCCCTTAACCTCTGGACTGCATGGCCCCTCCTTTCTGTTCCCATTCAGCTCTGGGTTTGGCAGGGGCCCCACCGGGAGCTGTGCTGGAGAGCGGGGAGGGGAGAAGCCAGCTTGAACTCTGCTGAGGCTCACTCTTCCTTCCCTGCAGCTTGAGTGGTGTCGTCTAGGAAACAGGGCCCTGGAGAAATGTGCTCCGGCTCCAGCCTCCTCCCTGGTGGTTGGACCCATTAGGCTGTTTCCTGTCCCTCGGGGTTTGGCAGCCCCATCCTAAGGATGACCTGGATGGAGGCAGAGAAGTTTCCAGTCCACTCCCAGGGCCTTTGGCCACCCCTTCACCCAAGGGTCTGGGCTGAGAGCTTCCTGTATGTCAAACTCAGGGTCCCAGAGTGATGCTCCGGCTCTGCTTGGTTCTGAGAGATGCTGAGGCAGGAACTCCAGGTCACTGGCCTCCTCTTTCTGCCTGGAGATGAGGCCCAGTGTCCACAGGCAGTCCCCTGTGCCCAGCAGCCCTGAGACAGGTGTGTCTTACTGCACTGGCCATTCATGACCTGCTGGTTGAGCCTGTGGCTGTTGGAGCCCCACTCCTACCCGGTGGGAAGGTGTTGGGTCCTAGGTGTTGGGCTCCTCAGAGGCCCTTCAGGCTGGCTCGGGCTGGCTCTTCCCTCTTCCTCGGATTCTTCCTCTCTCTTGCTTCCTGGCCCCTGCTCTGCCCCACAGAGGTCTCTGCTCCAGTCTCCCCCATTGCCGGTGCTCCCCCTCCACACAGGATGTGCTGCTATTAATAACCCGAAAGTCCCCTCTCCCCTCCTTCCTGCAGCTCTAACTATGGAAAGAGCTGTTGTTGGCGGGGCTCCATGCTGGGAATGTGAGTGATTTGGGGGATCTCTCACGGACACGGGCTCACAACCTTGCCCGGTGACTTGGGGCCAAGGAAAGGTGGGCTGGAAAGACAGCCCGGGTGCTCCTGACGCCGTGGCCCACAGGGCCCCAGGCAGCAGCGTTAGCACAGCTTCTCTTTTGCACATGCATCCACACCTCCTTGGCTGCACATGGCCCCTCTGCGTACCCTGCAGTGGCCTCCTCTGATGAATGGGCTGAGCTCCTGGACATCTGGCAGAGCGTCTACAAACTTTCTCCTCTAGAGCCCTCTCTCCGCCTCCTTCCCTCCCTCCCTCCCTCCCTCCTGCCCCTCCCTCTCGCTCAGGCTGCTGTTCCAGCACTGCTGCCTCCTCCCTCCTCCCGAAATCTGCAGTGGCTGGAAATAGGCTGAATTAATCAGCAGATTGGAGCTCCACTCTGCTGTGCGGATGCTCTGCAGCACCAGCTCCCTACTCACACCCTAGCTCTGTCCCCTGTCTTCTCCTCCCTCACTCTCTCTCTGTGTCTCCGTCTCTGTCTCTCTGAGGGGTGGTGTTGGAAGTACTGTAGCTGACCCCTGTCTCAGCTCTCCCCATGCTCTTTAAGCAGGCGGAGCTATGGATGCCCCATCGGGGCAAACGCAGCAAAGTGAGTATGCCAGCTTGGGTTTGCATGTCTGTTACAAATGCCTTGTCCCCTGCTTTGTGCGGGAGGCTCTGGGTTAGCGGTCGCCACAAGCCTTGAAGTGGATGCCGCACTGGAGGCTGCGTCGACTACGAGGTAGTTAGAACCATGGAAGGAGGCTGGGGATGGGGGCCTGAAAGCCACCATGTCTAGGGCGCTGCCAGCCAGGGTCCTGAGTCACCCAGAGTAGGACTAGAACTGGGTTTCCCAGTGGGGCATCCTTTCAAGTTATGCTGGGACCCGGATCTCCATGCACAAGTGACAGGAAGCTCTGGGCCTGGATGCCACCCCTCCTTGGGGCCAGGAAGGGGGTTTTATTGACTCAGGAGCAACTGGGACTGGGGTGATTTCTTTCTTGGTCTTGGTGGCTGCAGGAGGAAGATGGCTAGAAGTGCCAAGGTCAGCGTGAGGCCAGTAGCGCTAGGAAGAGGAGGAAGGTTGCAGCTTTGACTCGCCTGGCTTCAGAGTCCGTCTGAAGAGATTTATCATGACTGCTCTAAAGGCCCTGTGTCTGGTAGCTGATTCCCTGCCTCAGCGATGCGGGCATTTATGGTATCCCGCTTTGGGTCCCCTCTCCACTTGTGCTGGACAAGAAGGCTGTGATGGCAGGGACCTGGCCGAGGGGCCAGCCAGTTCTAATTACTGGTTACCTGCTGTTGTCAAGGCCAAGGATCAAGTTGTAAATTCATAACCACTGTACCTGAGCCTAGGGGACCTTGATTCCGCTTGCTCCTGAAACAGGTAGAATAGGAAGGAAAATGACTGGGGTAAGAACCTTGGGGTCGGGGGACATGCTGAAAGGACAGGGGCTTGGGGATGGGGCTTATGGCTCTGGGCCACCTGAGAAATCTGACTGGAGTGGTGCAGGAGACCCCAGGGATGTTGGCTCTCTGAAGACTTGTTAGACTGACCCAAGGGCTCAGCTTCAGGCCCTGCAGAACTGGCCCTGCTCAGTAACAGACTGCTTGTAGTTCTGAGGTGTTGGATGGGGTCCTTTCACCAGCCTGCTGTTCCCCCTAATCCCCGTGCCCTGCCAGTGTCCCCCTTTGATGAGGGAACAGAGAGTAGCAGCATGGCTCATGAAGGGCGTTTGTCCCAGCCTTGCCTGAGCTGAGCTTCCTAGAGCCTCGACTTACTCTCTATCAATGTGGCTGCTGAGCTCAAGCAGTTAAAACAGTGGGATGGGGTTGTTTCTCCCTGCACAGCATCAGTGTAAGTGGGGAAGCTGGGTGTCGCCCCCACTCGCTGGGGTAGAGACCTTGCTTAGCCATTGCCTCTTGCCCCAGAAACGTCTGTGGAGGTGCCTAACGGTGCAATGGGGTGGGAGCTTCCGAGCATCTGGGAAGCAGGAAGAATCTATTACTGCCATTGGGTACTGAAGGCTGGGCTAGGTTTTCCTTACCCTTCTTGGCTCTACAGGCAAGAAAAGCAGGCCTTAGACTGTGTGTGTGTGTGTGACTCAGGTCCTTATTTCTTGAACAAACTCATGCAGTCTCTCTATTGGTGCCCAGGCACCCCAGGGTGCTCAGTCTAACTCATGCTTTGAGGAAGGCTGGCAGAGCCCCTCACCCACCAGCCCTTTCTGAATTTCGTTTGGAAAGGGTGAGGGTCTTCCACCACATTCCTCAGCTTTGGCCTCACACTGCACGGGGGGACACCGTGGCATAATGAGAAGCAGGGAGCTCACTTGTAATTGGGACCCTCCTGCCGGAGGCCAGGGAGATGTTGCCCTTTGGTTTCGGTGAGGGGCTGTGGCAGTTGGATCATGCAGTTCGGGCTGTAGAGAATGGGCTGGCCCAGAAGGCTGTGTCCTCACCCCAGGACCAGCCTGTGCAGGCAGGCACTTTTGGAAGGCATGTAATTACAGAATGGTTCATTTTTCCTCTGCTGTGCTGTCTTTAATAGCCAGTGTGGGGTTGGTGCTCCCGACCAGACACACCATGCGGGGGCGATGCACACAGCTGTGCAGGCGCCCTCCGGCCTCCACTGGTGCCGCACACCTCCCACACCTGGAGCAGCAGCATGCAGGTTCTAGGAACCTGGGGGCACAGAGAAAGAGCGAATCAATTGCTGGGCGAGGGAGGAGGAGGTCCTGGGCTTGGGGGCACATAGAATAAGGCAGCAGATGTCAGGACAGCCACAAGGCAAGCTGTGTGACCAAAGTCCTAGCTGCCGGAGGGACACCATCCTGGCTCTCTGGCTTCTCCTTTTAGCCTTTTCCTGCCTTCCTGAGCACAGTCCTCATTCTGGCTTCCCAGGTGACCTGGCAGCCCCTGGGATTTGCCTGGCCCGTCGTTCAGCCTCCCAACCCCTGTTTTAGGTGTGCAACCTTTCGCCTCTGCAGCCTGCCCTTCCCTGCCTCTAGGAGGTTTTCTCACTTTTGTCATTTCAGGAGGCCTGGCCTGGGCAAGTCCACCCTGGGAACTCTCACCCACTTCACTGTGGCGAGGGAGCGGGAGTTCGGAAGTTGCAACTGGAAGGAGAAAAGGGCAGGGAGTTGGGAAGGCCCGGAAGGCCCTACTTTCTCCCGGGCCTGGTGCACAGCGGCTGTGCCTTCCAAATTCCCTCTTCCCTGAGCCTGGGCATCCCCTTCGATGTGGGCAGGCCTCCTGGAGGATTTTCATCCCTCCTGTGTTAGGACTCGAGGAGGCAGAGGTACAGACCTTTGCCTTACCTGACGTTCATTTGTCCTGGACCATGGCCCTTCAGGGAGGCCTCAGGATCCCTGTCAAAGTGGGAGCGGATGGTTGAGGTGCATTATTTGCCCAATGCTGGGGTGCAGGCCCCTGCCCAGAAAGCCATTTCTTCCTGAGCTGAAATAACCAGTTGTCCCCTCTGGGAAGAAGCAGTTCTTATCCTCATAATCACCCAAAGCCACTGTGAAGAGCAGGGATTAGGTGGGATTCAGGCAAGGGACCTGGAAGTCTTTGGACAAGGCCCACTCTGGGGCACGTCCTCATCTCTCAGGCTGCGGAAGCTGGCAGGAGGCTGGGGAGTGGGGGCCTGCTCAGGTGCCATGCCAGGTCTGCAGCCGTGGGCTACTGCCCTCACACCAGCAGCCCCTTCTGGTCATGGAGGTGAGGGTTCCTGCGAGGGGTAAAGCTGCCAAGGAGTGGGGGGACATGGAGACAGGCAGGGAGCAGGAATCTGGAATGTTGGTGGGCAAAGCTGGGGCAGAGCCTGGGAAGGCAGGTGTGCGGTGGTAGGAGTGAAAGGAGGAGGGCAGCGAGCCTGTGGTCAGAGCATCCTGGCTCAGCCACCTTGGCCAGGACTCGGCCAGAAGCTCCGAGTCCCTTTCCTGGCTCCCCAGGTCTGAGGCTTTGCTCCTCCTGCTCAGGAATTTCTCTGGGGGTAACTCAGGTGGCCATGGGAAAAAAACCCCTCTCCTGCGGCATTGGCTTCCCTAGGGGTGTCCTTTTTCCGAGGACCCCCTGAGCTGGGGGACCTGTGAATCACATTCAACCTGGGAAAGGCCTTGCCTCCAGAGTTCTGATTCAGTAGGTCTGGTATAGGGTCCAGGCGTCCATGTTTTTAAGAGCGCCAGGTGTTTCCGCTACAGCTCCCGGGTCGAACGAAAATCCCTGGTTGAGATATCACTGGGGTCAGCAAAGCTACATGTGCATTCATTCATTCAGCAAGTATTCATTGAGGAGCTGCTATGTGCCAGGCACATCTTAGTGGCTCGGGGGAGGAGTGTGGAGATGGGAGAATTCGGTACCTGTTTTCAAGGAATTGGCAGTCTAGTGGAGAGCCAGACAAGTAAATCGACCATGACAATTCTCCGTGAGATGGCAGACTGTGAGCCAGGCCACTCAGGGTGCTATTGGAGTACAAACCTCCCCCTGTTCAGCTGAGTCTTGAAGGAGAAGTAAGAGTTGTCTGGGGCAGGGAGTGTGTTCTCGGCCACATAATACACAAAGGTATTTGCACATGAGCTGGGAGTGTGTGGAATGGCAGGAAGGAGGCCGGAGAAGCTGGCACATCACAGATCATGTTCAAGAGTCTGGGCCTGATTTGAAAGGTAGTAGGGTCATGTGATCAGATGTGGAGGGGGCCCCCCCTCTGGCTGGAGTGTTTGTTAGTTTGGGAACAGGTAGCGATGAAGGTAGGGATGGGGTGGGAGGGTAGGGAGGGTGGGAGTGAGGGTAGGCCTGAGTGGGGTTTTCTGCCCTGGGTGATGGGGTGTGTGGTAGCTCAGGCAGAGTACTGCCTGTGGTGCAGGGGCGGGGGGCAAATTTGGGGTTTCTGGACAATCCAACTCCTAGGCACCTGTGACACAGCTATGAGGCAGTTAGTAGCTTCCAGATAATTGTCAGGCTAGAGGTAGAACTTACAAGTTCTATTGGTGGTGGGTGACTCCATGACCGTGGCTGAGGTCTCCCTGGAAACACACAGAGAGATATTGAGAAGATGTCTCGGGGGGACTGTGGGGTGGGTGGATGGGAAAGAACAGCCAGAACCAGAGAAGTGGAAAATAGGACAGAAGCTCGGGAACAGGGGCCTCAACAAGGAGAGGCCAGGCCAGGTCATACTGGACAATGTGACACCAGGGACCACTCTCATCTATACCTCGTTCTCCCATCCTCAGTGAGATGAGGGTCCGGTGTCACTGGTGCACAGTTCTCTCTGGGGAGCTGCTATCTCCTGAGATTGTGTCCCTCCTGATGTAGTAGTATCGCAATATCCTCACTTTTATGAAATGGCAGCCGCAGAGGATGGTGGGACTTTTTTCTTAGTGCTTTTATGAGGGGCAAGGAAAACCTAGCATCTCTGTTATTCTCTCTGTTAAGTCTCCTCTACCCACTTGAAAATCATGTATTTTCTGGCCTGTGAAATCTGAAAGATAGCAGCAGAGAGGTTACTTGAGAGGTGAGTGGCTGGGAGACACTGATGGCTGCAGGTCAAGAGTTAAGGGAAGGCCCAGGGGACTCAACTGAGTCAAGTTAGAAAACACTGAGTATAGACAGTTTTGTGTCTGTTTTTGTTTTAAACTTGGCTTTGAAGAGTAGGGGACTGTGTACTCCAACATCTTTTAATCTGGTGGAGGTTTGCATGTGCTTACACCCTGAGGGACTGGGGCCAGGGGAGGAAGGAGAGGGGAGGAGTCAGGAGGAGCAGGGGAAGGGCCTGGGGATGTGGCAGGGGACGTGTCCAGTGGGCGACAGAGAGCCCTGTCTTGGCAGGGGCCTCCTGGGAGATGGTAAGCACCTCCTGCCTCCCTCCAGGGCGAGCCACCCTTGGCCCTGGGCCTGTCCACCAGGAAGGCCCTCAGCATCCTGAAGGAGCAGCTGGAGGCGGTCCTGGAAGGACACCTGAGAAAGCAGAAAAAACATCTTACGTGGAAGGTGAACCTTCTTCCCAGGGAGGCCAGGGCCTAGTTGGGATGGCAGAAGCTTGGGTGGGCATATTCTCAGTTCTGTGCCTCGCCCCATCACCCTGAATGGCATGACCCGACTACGGCATTGCCAAAACTCAGAAAGAAGCCAGGGTTCCCCTTCAGAGTAGTGTGCTGACCCCACTTGCTTCCGGAGCCCAAGGCTGGACCCCGAGACCAAAGCAGGGAGACAGAGGTGGCCACAGGGGCTGGGTCGGGTGGATGTGGGGGGACAGTGGGCAGGTTCTAGCAGAGGATCTCAGCAGCGTCGCATTTCTTTGTCCCCGCGTCTCCCTGTCCGGCCCCTGCCCCTCAGGAGATGTGGAGCAGCAGCTTCCTGCACCACGGTAACCGCTGCTCCTGCTTCCACTGGCCGGGGGCCTCGCTCATGCTGCTGGCTGTGCTCCTGCTGTTGGGCTGCTCTGGGAGCCAGCCGGCCGGCAGGTACGCAGCCACAGCCCCGGGGAGGCCTGTCCTGCTGTTCCCCCCGGGACAGCCCAGCGGAGAGCTGCCCCGTAGCTGGTGCCTCGGTTGTCTGGGAGTCCTCGGCCTCTTGGCTGGCTGGCGGCAGCACCAGCATGAGACGGTCTTTTTGCAGGGGCTCAGGGTGGTGGTGAGGTCTAGGGGCCTGGGTCGGCAGGGTTGGAGAGCCTCTGTCCCTGCCAGTACCCCTCCCCTCTTCCCACCAGCCACGGGGTGGAGCTGGTGAATGCCTCGGCGCTGTTCCTCTTGCTCATTCTCAACCTGGTCCTCATTGGGCGGCAAGATCAACTGAAGCGTCGGGAGGTAGAGCGGAGACTCCGAGGGATCATCGACCAAATCCAAGGTGGGACCAAGGCTCGGGCGTGTCAGGAGGGAAGAGATGCCCTGGGAACAGGGTGCCTAGCACATCGGTGTTGCCTGTGCTCAGTGTTCTGGGGCTCTTGGCATCAGGAGAGTTAGGGGGATGCCCTGCCCTCTTTGGAGCAGGACAGGAGAGCCGTGGACCAGCTGTGTGTACACAGGCAGTGGTCTGGGCAGGCAGAATGGCTAATGGCGGCCCGGTAGGCTTTTCAGTTTGCTAACATTGGGAGACTAACAGAGAAAACCCTCTCTTGGCAAGAGGACAGTTGAGATTTTGTCTTCCAAGTCTGTTGTATCTGCTGGTCCTCTACCAGGGGGGTGGCCATGTGGACCAGAGAAGTTTGAGATACTTAAAAGAATTGAGGTCAGGGGCAGGGAGCCAGGTGCCCCAAAATGGAGCAGCCCAGATCCTAAAGGAGGGAACTGCTTAGATTGCTGCTAAGCCCTCCCTCTGTTCAGCTAGCATTTATTAAGCCCTGGCTATGGATTGAGGATTACATTAGGCTCTTTTGAGAGACACGCGGGACACATGGTCTTAGAAGAGAAGCGGCATCTACTCCCATGAAGCCTTTCTCCAGTGCTCTGGGCAGTGAGTTTAAATGCCAAGTGAGAACGCGCTGGTTCATCTGAAATGATTGGTTAATTGCGGCCACGTGCCTCGCTCTGGGAGTACCACACTGACTGAAGGAGTTGGGCGGTGCTCTCCGGGAGCTTAGTCTCCTTAGAACCGTCAGTGGCTCCTTCTTGCTCATTAAAGCCCACGTGGCCTCCCAGAACCTCTGGCACAGGCTCTGACCTTCTCTGGCTCCTGAACCTCACGTTGAAACTACTCACTAGTCTTAAACCCACTGCAGACTTCCCTGACCCTGTGCCTTTGTGCTGCGGTCCATCTAACCTGGGATGCTTCTCCCTCGTTCTTCTCCACCTGACAAAATCTTGCCCGTTCTTCAAGACCCATCTTAAATGTTCCCTTTTCCACAAAGCCATCTGTGATCGCCTCAGCTCTTCTGGGCCCCTGCGTTCTCTCCCAACTGACGCCTTTCCCAACACTCTTAGCACATTTGCCTTATTCGGAGTTATCCTCCCACATGTCTCATCTCCCCTTTTGGTTGTGGCTCCTCAAGAACAGGGACCATTTCATCTTAACCTTTGACCTCCCCTCCATCCAGCATACCCCTCAAAGCCTTCAACAATGTTTGTGAAATGTATTTGAATGGAACGGGGTACAAAGAAACGAGCTTCAGGTGCTCAGAGGAGGAGCAAGTGCCTGGGCCAGACTGGTTGGGAGTGGCTTCACGGGGGAGGTGACCTTGGAAGAGGGGAGGTACTGGAATGAATGATGTGTATTGATGCAGGACTTCCCGGAAGGGAAGAAGAGTAGACGAGCTTCGGGGTGTGCCTGATCTGGCTGTAGGTGAGGTCGTTTCCCTCTTTGTATCCTCCTCAGATGCCCTCAGGGATGGCAAGGAGATCAAGTGGTCAGATGCCATGTACCCAGACCTCCACATGCCCTTTGCACCATCCTGGTCACTGCACTGGGCCTACAGAGATGGACGTCTGGTCAACCTGCCAGTTAGCCTGTTGGTAGAAGGAGATATCATAGCTCTGAGGCCCGGCCAAGAATCGTTCGCCTCTCTGAGGGGGATTAAGGTAGTTCGAGGCTTTTCTCCTCCCCTGCTAAATGCTGTGGGAGCACCCACAAGCAATGGTGGGAGGGCCCCAGGGCTTAATTCTGCAGCTTCCTGGACAGCTCGTAGACTTCTTGGCAAAGGCTCTAGGAGACCAGAGAAGAGCTGGGACATCTTTCCCCTCCTTGTCCTGTTCTTTTCTTTGATCCTCAAGCAGCTTGGAGTCCAGTCCTGCAGGTTCCACCCCAGCTGGCTCTTTGCTAACCTGATGGTGCATGGTCCCTAACCCAAGGAGATGTCTCCACTTGGCTGGAATTGTCTAGGGAGAGTGGCTTCTGATAGGACCCTTTAATTACCCTCTCTCCCCTCCCCTCCATCACTGGCAGGATGATGAACACATTGTCTTGGAGCCTGGAGACCTGTTTCCCCCTTTCTCACCACCCCCCTCCCCCCGGGGAGAAGTGAAGAAAGGGCCACAGAACCCCCAGCAGCACCGGCTCTTCCGAGTCCTTGAGACCCCAGTGATTGACAACATCAGGTAGGGGTGCTCCCTGCCTTCCTCCTCCCCCCAACTTCTCCTCTTCCCCAATGCCTCCCATGAGCAGGGGGTGGGGTGATGGGGAAGGAGGCCCCGCAGGACTGGCATCTTGATAGATTCTTTAGGGTCGGTGAGGATTCTTAGACTGGGTGATCGCTCCCTCTCTGTGCTCTGAGGGCAGCTCTGGGGGCCTCCACGGGCCACGCTCCCAGGAACCACTCTGCTGGGGCTGGAGGTGGGAGGGAATTGCAGGCTCAGTGACTCACATAGAGGGTACAGGCTTCTGGCCTCTCCCCTGAGCAGGGCTTGCCTGAGTGCAGGGTCACCTCTTCCTGCAGATGGTGCCTGGACATGGCCCTGTCCCGCCCAGTCACCGCCCTGGACAACGAGAGGTTCACGGTGCAATGGGTGATGCTGCAGTATGCTGTGCCCGTGGTGCTGGTGTGTAAGGCGGGCAGCGGGGTCCGGGCAGGAGACGGGGCACCTCAGGGCCAGACTCAGTGAGTGTGTGAGTGAAGATAGGGGTCCTGGAGTGAGCTGGCCAGGCTGGGGCTGTGAGTGGGCAGGGCCAGGGAGCCCTAGAGCCTGGGTCCCTCTCTGCCAGTCAGGAGTCAGCCTGCACCTCTTCTGTCCCCAACAGGCTGGCTTCCTCATCACCAATGCCCTGCGCTTTGTGCTGAATGCACCCGGCGTCACGTCCTGGCAGTACACCCTCCTCCAGCTGCAGGTGAGGCCTGCCCTTCCCTCTGTTGTGCTTCTCTCTTTCCCTCATGGTGCCCTGAGTGTCCCTCCCTCTCTGAGGGCAGCCCAGCGTTCCCTCCAGCCTCAGCCTAAGAAGGCCTGCTTCCCGTCCTCCCTTCTTGCCCAGGACAGCTGCCCCTTTCCACTCAGGGAGTGGCCTCAGGCCAGGAAAGCCCTTCCTCTGTCCCTGTCCCTCCCGTGCTCCTTGCAGAGCCTGCAGTGAGGTTTGCTCCTCCCCAGGTGAATGGCGTCCTGCCCATCCTGCCCCTGCTCTTTCCGGCCCTCTGGGTTCTGGCAACGGCCTGTGGAGAAGCCCGTGTCCTGGCCCAGATGAGCAAGGCCTCCCCCAGCTCCCTGGTAGGTGTTCCAAGGCATCTGGGGGACAGCAGGAACAAAAGGGGGGCATTGGCTGTGCTCACTAAATGGGCAGAAGCCCAGGCCCACTATGGGCCCAGTGCATGGGGAGGCCCCCAGCACCTCTCCCAGGGCTCTGCCCTGTCCGGGCAGAAGAGCCTCCAGGCCAGGTTCTGAGGGCGGGTGAGCATCCGTCCTGGCTCTCAGCAGACGGGGATTCGGGGCCTGCCTGGTACCCTTTACCAACGGTGATGGGAGCCTTGCTGGCGTGGGACTGGTGTGGCAGCTTCCTCCTGGAGGCTCACGCCCTCTTCTCCACGCAGCTGGCCAAGTTCTCAGAGGACACACTCAGCAGCTATACAGAAGCTGTCTCAACTCAGGTACACACACCTGGGAGGGATTCTGCCCCAGGCCCCTGTAGCCACCAACCTAAGCTCCCTTAGGCCCCTTCCAGAACCCTGGGAGTTCCCTACTTTATGGCCTTCAAACCTCCAGCAGGCTCTTGGAGTCCCCCTTCCACCCATCTTGCATGGGCACCGAGTCACTGCCCTGCCCAGACAAATGTCTTTCTACCCCAGCTTCCTGGTGCCCCCTGAACTGTTTTCCATGTTAGGCCCAGAGGCTAGCTCCAGGGAAATACAGCAGAGCCCCAAACAGCCTTGCAGACTGTTTGTCTCCCACCAGGAAATGCTGCGCTGCATTTGGGGCCACTTCTTGCGCGTGATCCGGGGGACATCGCCAACCCTGAGCCACAGCTCCAGCTTGCTGCACAGCCTGGGCTCAGTCACGGTGAGCGTGGGCCCCAAGGAAGGGCCGGGTTTCAGCGGGTCTATGCCAGGTGCCTGTCTGCCACTTAAATGGCCCCTGGCAGGTTGGGGAATGCCAAGCCCCAGCCAATCCCCATATCCCTATAGGTTCTGTGCTGTGTGGACAAGCAGGGGATCCTGTCATGGCCAAACCCCAGCCCAGAGACCGTGCTGTTCTTCAGCGGGAAGGTGGAGCCCCCACACAGCAGCCACGAGGACCTAACAGATGACCTGTCCGCCCACTCCTTCTGCCACCCGGAGGTAGAGGAGGAGGTACGGCTGGTTCCCAGGGCCCAGCTCCGGGCTGAGCTGGTGGCCTCAGGGAGGGTGAGGCGAGGAGGGAGAAGAAGGGCTCCCAGCACCATTAGGGTCTGCTTCTGAGCAGTTCAGGTGGAGCCACCAGACAAGGCAGGGAGGGGACACAACTGCCCTGCCCCTCAGCCATTGGGACCCTGGTGCAAGGCCTGCGCTCCTTGTTCTCCTCAGCCCCATGAACGGGACACCCTCCTGGCTGCCTCCCTGAACACTGCCCTGCACCTTCCCAGTGAGCAGGAGCATGGTGACTGGCCTGGCGATGGTCCCAAGCCCCCTGAACCCTACTCTCACCACAAAGCACACGGCCGTAGCAAACACCCCTCTGGCTCCAACGTGAGCTTCAGCAGGGACACAGAGGGCGGTGAAGAGCCCGGCAAGGTGAGAGGAGAGAGGGGAGGGCAGTCACTTCATCAGCCACAGGGCGTCCTGCCTCCCCCACCAGAGGGGTCCGTGTGGCCCAGCCCAGCCTGGGCAGCTGGAGCCGAAGGCACAGACGCCAGGGCCTCCGTTGTCAGGCCTCCAGCCTGGCCAGGCAGGGCTGCCTCCTGAGGCCTCACCCAGGGCTCTTCCGTGAAGTAGGCCCTTTGCTGCTTTCCAGGTCTTGCCCATGGTAATTCGTTGGGACACGGCCCTTCTTCCCAGTCACGACCTTCCAAGACAGACCACCAGTGGCTCCCTCTCCAGTACTTTCCTCTGGCTGAACACGAGCCTCTGTTATTTCCTCCTTGGCCTGGTCACCTCTTCCTAGGCATGGCCAGTGCTATGGCGTAAATAGTAGAGCCCAGGAAGGATGGGAGAGAGGTTCAGGGAGGGACTGTGAGAGGGTGCCCTAGCATATCTGCTGGGAGGGGCCTTATCTTGGCCAGCCCCTCGCCCCGCCCAGGCTGAGGTGCACTTTTTCCTCCACATTTCCTCCAGACCCAGCGTGGGCTTGACAGTGAGCCCTCCGAGGCAGAGGACTTTGTGTGTGACTACCACTTGGAGATGCTTAGCCTGTCTCAGGACCAGCAGAACCCCTCCTGCATTCAGTTCGATGACTCCAACTGGCAGCTCCATCTCACCTCCCTCAAGCCCCTGGGCCTCAACGTGCTGCTGAACCTGTGTAACCCTAGTGTCACCGAGCGGCTGTGCCGGTTCTCAGACCACCTGTGCAACATCGCCCTGCAGGAGAGCCACAGCGCTGTACTCCCCGTGCATGTGCCCTGGGGCCTCTGCGAGCTCGCCCGCCTCATTGGTGCGCAGCCTCTGGCCACTGGCTCCAAACAGACCAGTCCTGGGCATGGCACTTGGCAGAAGCACTGTCAACCCTTTTAGCTTCTGATTGTCCCTATAACCAGACACTGCTGTTTGACACCACTTCGTAATCTGGGAAAATAATGGGTGGTAGGATGAACAGGTAGAAGGAACCAGCCTGCCTGGATTCTCTCCATGTGGGGTGGGAAGTGTAGGTGGTAAGGACTTCCTCCCAGATGCCCTGAGTTATCATCCCTTATCCTGCAGGCTTTACTCCTGGGGCCAAGGAACTCTTCAAGCAGGAGAACCACCTTGCACTCTACCGCCTCCCCAGTGCTGAGATGGTGAAGGAAACCTCACTGGGAAGGCTCTCCTGTGTTACCAAGCGGCGCCCGCCTCTCAGCCATATGATCAGCCTCTTTATCAAGGACACCACCACCAGTGAGTCCCCCATGCTTCTGGCCCACATCAGGCCAAACCTTCCAGGAGCTTGGTGGGTTGGGACACTTTTTAGGTAATCTCTTTTTAGGAAGGGCTGGGCAGATGAGCACTAGACTGCTTCCCAAAACCTCAAATGTGGTAGGGATTGGATCTGGGGACCAGGGCCAGGATGGTCATGGCCACAGACGTTGGGATTGAACGATGGGCAACTTAGTGCCTGCACTACAAGCCCAGCAATGTTCCACACAGGCTTGCTACCATGAGGCCTGGAGAGTTCCCATCCCCACCAGGGGCTCCATAGCACCCTTGTCAAGGATGGCAGTGTATTACCGGGGTAGGAGTGACGGGAGTGGTGGCTTGGGGCACTCATGGTTTTTCTGCCCCCAAACTCAGGCACAGAACAGATGCTGTCCCATGGCACAGCTGATGTGGTCTTGGAGGCCTGCACAGACTTCTGGGATGGAGCCGACATCTACCCTCTTTCGGGTTCTGACCGGTGGGTGGAAGCATGCATGAGGGGCAATGGCAGGTAGCTCTGGCAGTCTGTCTGCCAGGCTCACAGCACGGGGGCATCCCAGGGCCACTTACCTCACTTCTGCCCTGCTTCCCTGGCAGAAAGAAAGTGCTGGATTTCTACCAGCGAGCCTGCCTGTCTGGTTACTGCTCTGCCTTTGCCTACAAGCCCATGAGCTGTGCCCTGTCCTCTCAGCTCAATGGCAAGTGCATCGAGCTGGTGCAGGCGCCTGGCCAGAGCAGCATCTTCACCATGTGTGAGCTGCCCAGCACCATCCCCATCAAACTCGGCACCCGCCACAACAGCTGGAGTTCTGACGGTACTGGGCAAGGCCATTCCATTCCGGGCCAGGAGTGGGAAGGACTTCTGGGGGGCCATGGAGTTGATCATAGCAGAGGGGACAGTGGGCACAGCCCTGGACCTGGAACGCTGTGGTGGCACTCACTATCTGGTGATGTGGGCAAGTCCTCCAGGCCTCATGTATAACCTGGTGCCTCCTCTGCCCTCCTCATGGGGTTCTTGTGGCGCTCCAGGGGGATAATGAACTTTCTTTGGAGGTTATAAAGCAGCAACAGCAGCATTTAACAGGGTACTGGCCTTATGCTAATCAGACAAAAGGCCAGGTTACAAACCCTGCCGGAACAGAGGGACTGAGAGCCACCCCCCAACTCCCAACTCCGGCAACACACAGCCTCATGGTGTCTTTTGACCCAAGTAACTGAACTGAAGCCATTGCTAAGGGCGGGGCCAGCCCCCTAGCCCTCGACCTGGGCTGGGCTCTGATGTTACTCCTTAGAATCATCACTGGACTGATGAGTACCTTTCATTGTCTTTTCTCCCGTGTCTGTTGGTTCCTCTATGTGTCTTGGCTGTGTGCATGCGCGCTTGCGTGCTTGTGTATGTGTGTGTGCGTGTGTGTGTGCGTGTGCGTGTGTGTGTGTGGGTGTGTGTGTGGCCTGGGCTGCCTCCTGGAATCTGCTGGTTCCTGGGTGTCCTGGCTGGGTTTGTGCCTTGTGCCACCTGAAGAAGGGATCGGGGAGGTACTGGAGAAGGAAGACTGCATGCAGGCCCTGAGCGGCCAGATCTTCATGGGCATGGTGTCCTCCCAGTACCAGGCCCGGCTGGATGTTGTGCGCCTCATTGATGGGCTGGTCAATGCCTGCATCCGCTTCGTGTACTTCTCTTTGGAAGATGAACTCAAAAGCAAGGTGGGGAGAGCAATCCCCCTATGTTGTCACTGACCCTTTTTCCCACAGGCTTTTGGGCCCACTGTTCATTGCCATCTGCCTTTTGCAGGTGTTTGCAGAAAAGATGGGCCTGGAGACAGGCTGGAACTGCCACATCTCCCTTACGCCCAATGGTGACATGCCTGACTCTGAGATCCCCCCCTCCAGCCCCAGCCACGCTGGCTCCCTGCATGATGACCTGAATCAGGGTGAGGGCAAAGTTTGCAGAGGGATGGGGTGGGCATGGGCAGTTCCTCTGCCTTGGAGCTACAGCTAGGAAGAGCCTCCATGGATTATCCTGATGACCCCCTTCCCTTGGAAAATGGTTCTGATCCCCCTGTGGCACCGACAGTTGACAGAGGAGAGGAGACCTGGACGCAGGAAGTTCTGTGCTACCTGCAGGGCAAGAACAGCCCCCAGGGGCCAGCCCCAAGGTGAGGGACAGGCTTTTGTCCCTACAGTGTCCCGAGATGATGCAGAAGGGCTCCTTCTGATGGAGGAGGAGGGTCACTCGGATCTCATCAGCTTCCAACCTACAGACAGTGACCTCCCCAGTTTCCTGGAGGACTGCAACCGGGTATGATGGGGGCTGTGCTCCCATGCCCCCAGAAGGGGCTGAATGTTGGGTCCAGAGAAGGGAGGGAGGAGAGACCGTTTTCTCCCACCCTGAGGCCACTGGTCTCTCTCCTTTCTCCAGGCCAAGCTGCCCCGGGGCATCTACCAGGTGCGGCCCCACCTGCAGAACATTGACAATGTGCCTCTGCTGGTACCCCTCTTCACCGACTGTACCCCTGAGAGTGAGTGCTACAGTCATGGCTACTTGGGCAGCCTGGCCCTACCTCAGAGCATCCAGGGTCTGGATGCCCCGTGAGCTCTGGAGGGGATGTTGGTTTCCCAGGCAGATGGTGGGGGAACCTGGGCCAGATGAGCTGGGGAGTCTAGTGGGCGTGCCCATCCTCAGGGGTCAGAAATGACACTAGTTACATGATATTCAGGCTCTGGGGTAAGAATGTCCCGAAGATGGGCCCTTCGGCTTCCCTTTGGCTCCTGTTCCCCTTCTGAGGGTCTCTGCCCAGAGCTCCCCATGGGGCTCTACTTGCCTGACTCTCATGCCACCTGACTCTGTCCCCTCAGCCATGTGCGAGATGATCAAGATCATGCAGGAGTATGGGGAGGTGACCTGCTGCCTGGGCAGCTCTGCAAACTTGCGGAACAGCTGCCTTTTCCTTCAGAGTGACATCAGGTCAGGATAACTAGAGCTGGTGCCAGCCTCTTCCTCCCAGAGACCTCGGGCCCAGACTTGCGTGGGCTTGGGGTGTATTTCATGACTGATTTTGTCCTGGTTGGGACCAAAGGACTGGGGCATGGTGGGGAGAAGAGGGAGCAGGTGCTTGCTCAGTCTGTGGAGGGCATCTTCATGGAGCATAGCTCAGGACCACACTTCCCCTGCGCTGAACAGCATTGCTCTGGATCCTCTGTACCCATCCCGCTGCTCCTGGGAGACGTTTGGCTACGCCACCAGCACCAGCATGGCCCAGGCCTCTGACGGCCTTTCTCCCCTGCGGCTCTCCGGGCAGCTCAACAGTCTGCCCTGCTCCCTGGCCTTCCGCCAGGAGGAGACCATCAGCATCATCCGGCTTATCGAGCAGGTGGGGGCATGGACAGGTAGAGGGGGCAGGGGTCCGGGGACTGCCTAGGGTGGGGAGTAGAGACATAGGGGACCCATGTGGGCTCCCAAGGGCCGGTTCACCACCAAGTGAAGCTCCCCAAGGCAGTTCAAGTGTGCGTGTGCGTGTGTGTGTGTGGGTGTGTGTGTGGCCTGGGCTGCCTCCTGGAATCTGCTGGTTCCTGGGTGTCCTGGCTGGGTTTGTGCCTTGTGCCACCTGAAGAAGGGATCGGGGAGGTACTGGAGAAGGAAGACTGCATGCAGGCCCTGAGCGGCCAGATCTTCATGGGCATGGTGTCCTCCCAGTACCAGGCCCGGCTGGATGTTGTGCGCCTCATTGATGGGCTGGTCAATGCCTGCATCCGCTTCGTGTACTTCTCTTTGGAAGATGAACTCAAAAGCAAGGTGGGGAGAGCAATCCCCCTATGTTGTCACTGACCCTTTTTCCCACAGGCTTTTGGGCCCACTGTTCATTGCCATCTGCCTTTTGCAGGTGTTTGCAGAAAAGATGGGCCTGGAGACAGGCTGGAACTGCCACATCTCCCTTACGCCCAATGGTGACATGCCTGACTCTGAGATCCCCCCCTCCAGCCCCAGCCACGCTGGCTCCCTGCATGATGACCTGAATCAGGGTGAGGGCAAAGTTTGCAGAGGGATGGGGTGGGCATGGGCAGTTCCTCTGCCTTGGAGCTACAGCTAGGAAGAGCCTCCATGGATTATCCTGATGACCCCCTTCCCTTGGAAAATGGTTCTGATCCCCCTGTGGCACCGACAGTTGACAGAGGAGAGGAGACCTGGACGCAGGAAGTTCTGTGCTACCTGCAGGGCAAGAACAGCCCCCAGGGGCCAGCCCCAAGGTGAGGGACAGGCTTTTGTCCCTACAGTGTCCCGAGATGATGCAGAAGGGCTCCTTCTGATGGAGGAGGAGGGTCACTCGGATCTCATCAGCTTCCAACCTACAGACAGTGACCTCCCCAGTTTCCTGGAGGACTGCAACCGGGTATGATGGGGGCTGTGCTCCCATGCCCCCAGAAGGGGCTGAATGTTGGGTCCAGAGAAGGGAGGGAGGAGAGACCGTTTTCTCCCACCCTGAGGCCACTGGTCTCTCTCCTTTCTCCAGGCCAAGCTGCCCCGGGGCATCTACCAGGTGCGGCCCCACCTGCAGAACATTGACAATGTGCCTCTGCTGGTACCCCTCTTCACCGACTGTACCCCTGAGAGTGAGTGCTACAGTCATGGCTACTTGGGCAGCCTGGCCCTACCTCAGAGCATCCAGGGTCTGGATGCCCCGTGAGCTCTGGAGGGGATGTTGGTTTCCCAGGCAGATGGTGGGGGAACCTGGGCCAGATGAGCTGGGGAGTCTAGTGGGCGTGCCCATCCTCAGGGGTCAGAAATGACACTAGTTACATGATATTCAGGCTCTGGGGTAAGAATGTCCCGAAGATGGGCCCTTCGGCTTCCCTTTGGCTCCTGTTCCCCTTCTGAGGGTCTCTGCCCAGAGCTCCCCATGGGGCTCTACTTGCCTGACTCTCATGCCACCTGACTCTGTCCCCTCAGCCATGTGCGAGATGATCAAGATCATGCAGGAGTATGGGGAGGTGACCTGCTGCCTGGGCAGCTCTGCAAACTTGCGGAACAGCTGCCTTTTCCTTCAGAGTGACATCAGGTCAGGATAACTAGAGCTGGTGCCAGCCTCTTCCTCCCAGAGACCTCGGGCCCAGACTTGCGTGGGCTTGGGGTGTATTTCATGACTGATTTTGTCCTGGTTGGGACCAAAGGACTGGGGCATGGTGGGGAGAAGAGGGAGCAGGTGCTTGCTCAGTCTGTGGAGGGCATCTTCATGGAGCATAGCTCAGGACCACACTTCCCCTGCGCTGAACAGCATTGCTCTGGATCCTCTGTACCCATCCCGCTGCTCCTGGGAGACGTTTGGCTACGCCACCAGCACCAGCATGGCCCAGGCCTCTGACGGCCTTTCTCCCCTGCGGCTCTCCGGGCAGCTCAACAGTCTGCCCTGCTCCCTGGCCTTCCGCCAGGAGGAGACCATCAGCATCATCCGGCTTATCGAGCAGGTGGGGGCATGGACAGGTAGAGGGGGCAGGGGTCCGGGGACTGCCTAGGGTGGGGAGTAGAGACATAGGGGACCCATGTGGGCTCCCAAGGGCCGGTTCACCACCAAGTGAAGCTCCCCAAGGCAGTTCAGTTGTCTCCCCTGCCTCCTGGCAGGACTGGGGCATCTGGCTCTTGGCTGAGGCTTGTCAGCTATGGGGACCGAGAGAAGTCAGAAGGGCACAGCCAGTCTGTCCCCCCCCGGTCCCTAGGCCCGGCACGCCACCTACGGCGTCCGCAAGTGCTTCCTCTTCCTGCTGCAGTGCCAGCTGACTCTCGTGGTCATCCAGGTGAGGTGGGGCCCGCACAGACCTGGCTCCCTGCCCTCCTTCTTCCTCCAAGGGCCAGCTGAGAGTCTGAGGTGGGGGCTGGGCCGACACAGCGCAGCCCAGGGGCCCTCAGAAACCATGGGCTTTCAGAGAGGACCCCCTTGGCAAAACAGCATGCCCTCCAGCCCTGCTCCGCTCAGCCAGGATGTGAGCACCTGTCTGGGCCCAGGGTGAGGCAGCCCTGGGGCTCCCGGCAGCCTGCCTCGTGCCAGAATCTAATCATGCTTCTGGGTTTTCCTGCTCCAGTTCCTCTCCTGCCTAGTCCAGCTGCCACCACTGCTGAGCACCACCGATATCCTGTGGCTGTCCTGTTTTTGCTACCCTCTGCTCAGGTGAGAGGCTGTGCTGTTCCTCTGTGCCCAGTCAGGCAGGGTCAGGATGTCCCCGAGCATCCCCGGGAGCCCAGGCTCTGGGAGGCCTGCTCAGTGCTCACCTGCCCTGGCACAGGAGGCACCAGGGGCTCTCCTTGTCTTATTCCATCTTCTGCCCTAAGTTCTGACTCCTGAAAGACTTGCCATGTGGGACTGGGGGACAGAGGGCCATAGTCGCTGCCCTTTGTGCTATCTCTACCTTTCAGCATGTCTCTGCTGGGGAAGCCCCCCCATAGCTCCATCATGTCTATGGCCACGGGGAAGAACCTTCAGTCCATCCCCAGGAAGGTGAGCAAGGGGGAGTCCTGTGAGCCTGGGCCTTCCCCAGGGGAGAGTGTGCAGGGGGTGAGCCTTGCGGGAGGGAGCAACCCTCCATCAGAACGTCCCGGCTCAAAGGAGAGGTGGTGGTCGTGGGCCGGGGGAGACCCTCCCTTGGGCAGGCAGTCCCTGCTCGTCGTCCCCCACCTGCCCGTTTACTGAAGAGCCCGCCGAATCCGTGCTCCAGAGGGCCCCGGGCCCCGGGTGGCGTGCCTGCCTTCTTCCCGCAGACCCAGCACTACTTCCTGCTCTGCTTCTTGCTCAAATTCAGCCTGACCGTCAGCTCTTGCCTTGTGTGCTTCGGCTTCACGCTGCAGAGCTTCTGCGACAGCTCCCGGGCCCGCAACCTCACCAACTGCTCCTCCATCATGCTGCGCAGGTGGGTTCCCCTCCCCTGACCCCGGGCTGCCCCCAAACCCAGCCCATTTTCCTGGGGCCCGGAGGACGCTGAGCCCACACCTTGCTTTGGCAGCCACGCTGACGCTGCTCCAGCCTGGTTTGAAGACTTTGCCAATGGGCTGCTGTCGGCTCAGAAGCTCGCTGCCGCCCTGACCATCCTGCACACGGGTGAGGGGCTCCCGGGAAGGGGCCGATGGTGGTGGTGAAGTGCCCCTGGAGTGAGGCATGGGGCTGGAGAAAGTCTGACACCCCCTATGGACCCTATTTCCTCCAGTCTTCATTTCCATCACCCACGTGCATCGCACCAAGCCTCTGTGGAGAAAGAGCCCCTTGACGAACCGCTGGTGGGCTGTAACCGTGCCTGTGGTGTGAGTATTGCTTGGAGGGAGGGTGGGAGGAGGGGGAGGGGGCTTGGGCAGGTATGACTGACTGAAGGGTGGGATTTGGGCCAGGGGTTGAGTGGTGCCCTGTTGGTACTAAGGGAAGCAGGGAAGGAAGCAAGAAGAGCCATGTTCACGCCAGGCTGCCACCTCCTGCAGGCTGCTGGGGCAGGTGGTCCAGACGGTGGTGGACCTGCAGCTGTGGACGCACAGGGATAGCCATGTCCACTTTGGCCTGGAGGATGTACCTCTGCTCACGTGGCTTCTGGGATGCCTTTCCCTGGTCCTTGTGGTGGTCACCAATGAGATCGTGAAGCTGCATGAGATTCGGTGAGCCGCCAGCAGGGCACCCTCCCCGGGCTCAGGCATGTTCGCTAAGCCTTTGACATCCTGGGCCCCATCCCCCCACCTGCTGCCCATCCCTCCCCTCTGGGGTCCCGCCCTGGGGGACTGCTCTAACCTAGACTTCACTCTCCTGCCCCACCAGAGTCCGGGTACGCTACCAGAAGCGACAGAAGCTGCAGTTTGAAACTAAGCTGGGCATGAACTCTCCCTTCTGAGCTGTTGGTCACAGAGGCTGTCATTGCCCTGGTCCCTGGAGCTAAAGCCAGACCCATTGCTGAATCTGGGCAGTTGGTATCATGAATGTTTCAGGGCTTGCCCTTGTGCTCTGTGGCACTGGGGGCCCAGCTCCCAGTGTCAAACCCAGCTGTTGTGAATCCCTTGTCTTCCTATAGAGGAGCTGAGAGCTGTGGCCTTAGCATCAGGGCAGTCCTGGTTTTGAATGTATGACCTCATGTGCTTAGTGAGGGGCCCTTGGTCCCCTCCCTATACCTGTGGGCTGCCCTCCTTCAGGGTCCCATAACCCAGTGACCTCTGCTCTTGTGTCTCCTGTCAGCCATGAACCTGTGGGGCCAGGGTTCAGCCTTTTTTGGAAGAGCAGGGGCAGCAGCGGTGGGAGGTCTGGACAGCCAAGGTTGCTGTTAGTGAAGGCAGAGGTAGCCGCTCTTCCTCCCTATGCCCACCGCATCCTGTCTTCCTGGGGCGAGGGCCTGGGTGTGGCCAAGGACTTTCCCTCCCTCCCTCTTTGGGGAGCCTCCCACTCAGACCCGAAGACAAAGAGCCCTGGCCTTGCTCTGGCACCTATCTGTGTGCCTGTCAAGCTGGCCTAGGGAGTCAGTCTTGGGGACATGGCCCAGGGCAACATTTAGCCCCCTGCCCTAGCTCTGTGAGAATGTTTTTACTGGTGTATATTTTTTACTGGAAATGAGCCTTTTAGGAATGAATGTAGACTGGTTTGTATTAAAACTTACAAATTGCTTAAGAAAAGTCTGTGGCTGGTCCATGAGGCAGCCACAAGGGGCCCACCCAAGGCTTTGGGTGAGGAGGGGAGGGCTCACACCTTCCTCCTTCCACACTGGCACGAGCCCTGGGGTCTGGCTCAGGTGAGACCCCTGGGCTCAGAGGTCCATGGCACAGATCCAAACACACAGCCCGATCACATGGAATGACATTTTCATTGGTGTTAGTTGGGGGAAGAGGTTAATGGTTACAGAGCTGGTGCTTGGGCCAATCAGGTCAGGCTTCCGGCCCTGAGCTGGGCAGTGGGCATTCTTGCTGTGGTCCAAAGTCCCTCCCCCTGTGTCCTCTCAGGCAGTTATAGATAGAATAAATTCCATTTAAAATATATGCATTTCTCTCTGCTTAAAAAATAACATTTACAGTTGAAAAAGTTTGGACTTTGGGGATCTGTTAATCCCACTGTCTCCACCCCCACCAGCCTCACTTCACTGAGGGTAGGCAGGGCAGGAGCAAGGGCTGGCCTGGGCACTGCCACTGCCACCAAGAGCGGGCCCCTGGCCACTATTTACATGTCCTGTGTACACCTGCAGGGACCCGGCCAGATACATCGCCCTCCAGCCTCAGAGGACCAGGATGGCACAGTGGGTGGCAGGAGGACCTTGGCACAAGGATTTGAGACACTGGGGAGGGTGTAGAAAATGTACCCCAGAAACTGTGCCACCACCTCCTGCCCCCCTGGGAGGAAGCTCTTACCAGGGTCCCTGTCCAAGGGACAGGACTGTCCGGTCAGACTACACATTGGGAAGGGGCCTTGCTGAGATGTCAAGTCCTGACAAGTCCCCTCGGCCCCCTGTGGGCACTGCCCCTAGAGCTGCGGTGCTGCTGATGGCTGCTGCTTGGAGCAACAGGAGGGACCCTGCTAGGGTGGCAGGAGCTTCCATGCTGGATGCTGGTCATGGCTGGCACTGCAGTCTACCGGCAGGTGTCACTCAGTCCAGCATGGCATCCAGCTGGTCAGCAAGGGCATCGAACATGGTACTGATATCATCCAGAATGTGCTTGGTAGATGTGCCAGGGGGGCTGTAGTAGGGGGAGAGCCGGGTCAGATGAGTCAATGGCAGGCACCCCTACTGGTCCTGGGCAGTGTGGCTGTCACTGAGTGCCTGGTGGTGCCAAGCACTTTGCATGTATCTTCTAATTCCCACAACCTCCCAAGGCAGTAGGAGCTGCTTTTCCTTCCTTATGTGAGTGCACTGGGGCTCAGAGGGGGAGTGACTTGCCTGAGCTCCCCCGCCTCCAGGTGGCAGCCACCAGGATTCCCTGAAGGTTGGATCTAGGTGACTTCAGAATCTGGGCTCCTCCCATTCCAACCAGGCCACCCCAGCCTGACGACCTGTGACAGTCCCCCTTTCTACATTCCCAGGACCCCAGCAAGAGGATCTGAGAGGAGCTACTCCCTTGTAGCTGCCTTCTTGCTCCCCACCCAGCACTCCTCACCCTTTTCGCTCCTCAGTGCAAATGCTCTTCTCTGCGGCCCTCAACGCAGCTGCCAGGGACGAGCTGGTCTGCTCCAGTCTCTGCTGGGCCTGGCCTGAGCCTGTGGCCCCGGTGCTTTCTGGCCTTGGAGGGGGCACCGGGCGGGGGCCAAGCCGGGGAGGCAGCTTAGGGCCAGAAAATGCCAGCTGGGTGCAGGCCACAGACACAGGCTTGGGGGCTGTTCCTGCAGAGACAAACAGTTGCCTGTGACTTGGCTGGGCTGGACACAACCCCTGCAGACAATGCCCTCTCCCCATAGGCCCTGCCTCATACCTGCTCCAGGCACCTTGATGAGGGCAGCAGGGGGAGCTGGGAGCTCAGTCTCTGCATGCCTTCGACTGCTTGCTGAGTTTTCCAGAGCTGGCCCAGGGCAGGAGAGCACGGGGTGCTGGGCTTGGGGGCTCAGAGAAAGAGGGGCTGGAGCTCCTTGAGTTGGAAGGCTGCTCGGCTCAGGCCGGGGAGGGCTAGGAGAAGCTGAGGGGGCCTCGCTGGGGGTGAGCGAGAGCATGGGGGCAGAGGGGCTGGGTGTGGCACTGGCCACTCCAAAGGCCAGAAGTGCTGTCTGCAGCGGCTCTCTCTCCCTGCATTTGGGCCTCCGCTTAACAGTGTCTGACTCTGTGAGGTTGAAATCAAGACCAGTAGGCACAGATGCCTCCCGAGGCGGGGGTCCAGCCGGCTTTGGCCTCTGTTTGATAGTCAGGTTCCCCTCCTCTGCAAACGGGAGCCCTTCCCCTGAGCTGCCCCGAGAAGGGGGTGTCCCCTCGGGCCCTGGCTCCTCCTCCTCTGTGTCTGAGGCCGGGCCAGCTGCGGCAGGTGGGCCAGGGGGCTCTGGTGGGCCAGTTGGTTCACTCAGTGTTCGCCTTCGGGGCCCTGCTGCCCCCTCCTTGGGCCCTGGGCTGCCATCTAGAGGAGGTGGTTCTGGGGTGGGGCCCGAGACAGAGCTGAGGCGCTTGGGGGGAGGTGGAGGGGGGCCTTTGCGACGAGCCCGAAGGGCAAAGGACTGGCTGCGGGGAGCCCCTCGAGCTGGGGTGGGGCTTGGACTGGTTCGGGCTAGGGCACTGCGTCCTGGTCGCCGAGTAAGCGTGGCATAACTGCCCAAGGCACTGCCCACTGGCCCTTCAGCCTCTGCCTCTGCTTCCCCCTCAGCTGGGCCAGGGCGGCTTAGGCTGTGGGACCGGCGCTTGGGCCGAGGTGGGTCTGGAGGAGTGGCAGGGGGGCCAGCCAAGTAGGAGAAGGCCCGGGGTGCACCAGGAGGTGGCCCTGGGGCTGGGCTGGAGGGTGAGCCCTGGGGGTACATAAAAACATAAGGAGGGGGCCCTTGGCCAGGAAGAGGGGAACAAAGCTTAGGGGACCGCTCTGTGCCCTCTGGAAGATTCCTCTCCTGTGGGGCGCCGGGGTCTGCCCCAGTGGGCTGGGAGGCAGGCTGTTCCTGTGAGTGACCGGATCCTCGTGAGCGTGCTCCAATGCTCTCCTGGCTGGGGGAACGGGCAGGGGGCAGGGGCAGCGGCTCAGGGCTACCCCCTGCCATGGCTGCCTGGAGCTCTGGGCTCAGCTCACTGCCCTGAAAGGTGAGGAGGCGTGGGCCAGCCGCAACTGGACCATCCCCATTCTCCAGTCCCTCGATGGCCATCAGCTCTGGGCCCCTGGCCAGCCGGTGGCCGCTTTCACCTGGGGCCTCCCCCTGAAGGAGGCCCCGCCGAAGCTCAGCCAGCCTCTTCACTCCTAGCATAAGCTTCTTCTGATGGCCTGAGAAGGGGGTGGACAGAGGCAGCAAGGTTAGCTGGGGCAGGCAAGGGTCACCTGGACCCCATCCTCTCTCCAGGGCCTGGACCCTGAAAACATCTTGGAGGCCCTAAGGCAGTCCTCACCGAGCTTGTTGACACCAATCTCCTGCAGCTCCTCCCAGGTGAGGTCGGCCACCAGCCCCATGGAGTCATAGCCACTGCGCACCAAGTGCTTGTGGTACTGCGGCAGCCCCAGAGCACACAGCCACTCCAGCAAGTCCGTCTGGAAGAGCATCACCATCAAACCAGGAAGGCACCATGAAGCCACAGCTGAGGCAGGAGCCCGTGCCAAAAGCCCACTCACCGGGATGTAGTTGGGCAGCCACTCGGCAATGCTGAGCTGGGCAATCTCAGAGGCGATCTTTTTCCTGTGCCCAGGTTTGGTCACCCCGATGGCCGTCAAGTCCTGCCACAGAGTCATGCCATCAGTTCCCCTTCTCCGGCTGCTGGGCCCTCCACTGCCCTCCTGCTGTGGCACCTACCTCAGGCGTCATGCGGCTGATGGTCGGCACGTCATAGCCAGCCTGCAGAAAGTGGGCAGTGTAGCCCTCCAGCTGGAACTCACTCAGCCAGTTATGAATGGCCCGCGCATCCTGTGGCATGAAGAGGAGGGCTGATGCTAAGGCGGCTAAGTCTGCTGAGGAGGGGCCCAGGCACAGTCCAGCCACCTGCCCTAGCCTCCCCGAGGGGCCCAGCCTGAGCAGGGACTTCAGTCCAGACTGAGGCCCACCCCACCCCCTTGCCTGCAGCCCACTCCCCGGGGGAGGTCACACCTTCCCCTCCAGCAGCTGCTCCGGCCTCATGTCCTGGGTGAAGAGCTGCTCCCCAGAGCGGTAGTTGGACAGAAGGCAGTGGCTTGGGTTGTCTTCAAGGAGGGAAAGAAATGGAATCAGGGGTGGCAGGATGAAGGCATACCAAGCCCTTAGCCTCCCCAGTTGAACCTCCTAGGCCCCCCCAGGTCCCACGGACCCTTCCTACCTGCCAGGGACAGAGGTTGCAGTCCTAATGGCACCTGGTCCTCTCCAGCAGAGGGCAGCGGCTGCAAACGGGAGGCGCCGACTCAGGCTGGGGAACTGGCATCAGAGGGAGGGCCCTGCCCGGGTCACCCCTCCCTCCTACCTGGGCGTTCTCAATAAGGAGGCCAGTGCTGTGACCATTGGTGCCCTCGGAACTCTGCCCGCTGCCAGCACTGCGGATGCTGCCCACGCTGCCCTCACTGCCCACACTATTCCTGTCACCTGCTGCAGGGGCAGAAGCAAAGGGGTTAGATCCCCAGTTGGCTCTGCCAACAGCTGCCTGGCAGCCTGCCAAAGCCCAATGCCTGCCCTGGTGCCCAGCACTGCCCTCCAGGAGGATGTACCTGGGCTGTCTGGGCTGAGGCCCACCCGAGGGAGCTGGCCATAGGTAAGAGGGTGTAGGGGGTCGTCAGCAGGGGGCTGCAGTGTCCGGGAGAAGCCTGGGCGCAGGGGGGCAGGCACAGAGGGGAGGCGGGGCACAAGGATGCCCACCCTCTTGCTGACCACCTCAACGATGCCTGGAGGGAAGTAGCCCACACGGTCTGTGCCCCTCTGACTCTCATGGATGTGGCCCTTCCAGCGGCCATCAGGATGCTGCTCGAGCACCTGTGGCAGATTGGGTGGAGGAGGCAGATGACAATGACAGTGGTTACTTCCTGCACCAAGCAGGGCAGGCGGTCAGCAATGCAGCCGAGGTCCAGTTCTTCCCCTACCCACAAAACGCTAGTCTCTGATGCCCAAGTCAGCCCACAGTTCTGCCCCTGCTACCAGCATCCACCTCAACCCCGTGTGTCTCCAGGGCATGCAAACGAGTCTTTAAACCAGCTTGGGCTCAAATCCTAGCTCCAGTGCTTTCTAGCTGGGTGGCCTTGGGCAAGTCACTTAAACTTCTCTAGGCCTCAATTTTGTTATCTCTAAAAAAGGAAATAGTAACAGCGCCTACCTTACCTGGATTGGGAAGAATTCACCGAGATAGTGCATATAAAGGCCTTAGCACCCAGAGCCTGATTCACAGTAGGTGCCGAAGTAAGTGACATCATTTGCATTCAAAAAAGAATGTACTGGGTCCTCACCGTGATGACATCCCCTGCCCGGACATTGAGGGCAGTGGGATCATGCAGGTTCCAGAAATCCTTGAGTGCTCGGACCTTCAGGATCCCTGAGGCTTCTACGAGAAGAGGCAGAGCGGGCATCATCTGACGGTCCTTAGGGTGTCTTCCCACCCCTCCTGTCCCCTTCGTGACCCTCCCCTAGATGTCTGCCTCAGCATCCCTAAAGTAGTCCCCCTGATCAGCCCTGGGCCCAGCAGTGTGACACTGCTTCCGGGACACCTGCTCCTCCACTTCCTGGTGCCCACTGGAGTGGCTCTGCGTCCCCTAGGGTGGGTCTTAACCCCACACTCACCCCGCAACAGCTGTTTGATTTCCCGGCTGGCCTGGGACGTGGTGAACTGATTCACGATGTCCAGTGCTGTCTGGTTATACGTGTTCCGAATATTCACATCCACCCCGCCCTGGGTACACAGTGCAGTGTGAGCGTGTACAGTGCAGTGTGAGCGTGTACTATGCGCTCTGCTGTCACTTCCTCCAATCCTCATGACTACCCAGGAGGTAGGTACTGTTTTCAAGTTTTATGGATGAGGAAATGGAAGCTCAGAGGTAGGATCAAGGATGAGCTCAAGGTCACTCAGAAGAGGCAGGACTGGGGTCCATATGCTCTCCAACTACAAGGCCACCATCATACCGAACACCATGTTGGTGACAGAGACCCCCTCCCTAGCCTCCCCAGGGGTCTGAGACCTGGCACTCAGCAGGCTGCTATGTACACCTGCAGGGCATCCAGGTGCCCACACCCACCTCCAGGAGCAGCCGCACCACCTCGGTCTTGCCGTACAGCGCAGCCTCGTGGAGTGCCGTGCCCGTCTTGGTTTGGCGATTGATCTCTATCCCGGCTCTCAGGAGCTGCCTGTGGAGGGAAGGGTGAGTCCCGAGGAGGGGGGAGACAGGAGAGGAAGCTGACTGCTGGTGGCTGGCGGCAATCCAGCGCAAGGGTGAAGAGGGCAGCAGGGCAGGACACTGAGGGGATATCACTGGTCGCACAGGAAGCAGATAAGGAAGTGTGAGAGCCCCAGTGGGTACCTGATGACCTCTCTGTGGCCATTCTTGGCAGCCAAGTGCAGGGGTGTGGTGTAGTTGGGGTCACAGGGGTCCTTGGCCTCACCCTCCAGTAGTGCCACACATAAGTGGCTGTTCAGCAGCAGCTGGGCCACCTGCAGCAACCAGCATCCAGGTGGGGCCTCCTCCTCAGACCCGACACACAGCCAGAACCCAGCACCCCAAGGGCTGTAGGTCTCACCTTGAGCCGTCCAAATTCACAGGCCAGATCCAGGGGTGTCTTTTTGGCCTTGTTGACCAGGCATGGGTTGGACTGATGCTGGAGGAGCATTTCTGACTGGGGTACGGGGAGTCAGGTAAGGTGTCTGGCCCGGAGAGCCCCTTGTACCAGCCCCCGGCCCCTGCTCCAACACCCCTTTGAGGAAGCAGGCTGGCTCACATACCACTTCATAGTGTCCGTACTGGGCAGCCAGGTGCAGTGGGATCTGCCCGTCCAGGGAGGATGCATTGACGGCTGCAGAGGCCCGCAGCAGCAGCCTCACAGGCTCCAGCCGGCCCTGCCAGGCCGCATAGTGCAGTGGGCGCATGCCTGCGGGAAGGACAGGGTTTCTAAGAGAGGCCCTGGGTTGGCAGGGTCAGGGGAGGGAACTGAGCAAGGTCTGGAGCCACCCCAACTGAGGGGAGGCAGAGCCAGGGAAAGTGATTCTGGCTTCGCCCAGGTTTGGCGAAGGGAACTGCTGCAGCAGTGTACCAGCTTCCTCGGGTCCCCAGCCCAGCTTGTTTATAGAGCCAAAGGGAGAGGTCCAGCTATATGGGCTTAAAGCCAGAATCCCACTGTGCCCACCACAGGGAATCTGGCAACCTCATGACAGTAACGTAACCTCAACCTCATCTGGATAATGGGCTATCAGTACGACGCACCACCCCAGAAGCTGTGAAGGTTGAGAGGTAAAGCTTGGCAAGCCCAGATACGCTATGCCAGCTACTAGCATTTCTAGGGTATAGCAGGACACAACCCTGACCACAGGGTCTGGGTGAGGGCTCACCATTGCTGTCCTTGATGTCAACAGTGGCCTGAGCCTCCAGGAGCAAGGCTATGAGCTCCAGGCTGCCCCCCAGGGCGGCATGGTGGAGAGCAGAAAATCTGATGTGGCAGAACACAAGGTAAGAGGTACAGTGAGCAGCCCCCACACCCCAAATCCTGGGGGCTGGCATGGATGAGTTACTTGCCCACTTGGCCCCTGTTCCCCCCACCCCAGCCCTGCCAGCCCAGCCGTGGGAGCGCAGAGCAGCCGGGCTGCAGCATGAAAGGGCTCAGTGTCTGGGCTGAGAGGCCTGTTTGTCTGGCCTCCCCCTGAGCCGGCCCAGGGGAGGGGGCAGTGGGAGCAAGAGCCTCAGGACTCCTACCCTCCAGGGAGAAAAGGGGGCCCAGCAGGAACCTGACCCAAGGAGGCCCCTCAGCGAGGCGCCAGGGCCCTCCCCTGGCTCCCTGAGCTCCCCAGCAGGCGGGTGGGCAGGACCCCTACTCCCTCCCCCTCACAGGTAGGGCCCAGAGCTCCCAGCAAACATACTTCAATGGTCAAGTTGGAGAGAGAAAGGGACTCTAGGCCCCAGGTCTTTCCCATCGACCTTTTCCCACCCCACAGCTCTCAAGGACGGGGGCCCATACTCACCCATCAGCATCCTGGTAGTTGACATTGAGTCTCTTCGTGGAGCCAAGGAGCTCTGGGGGTCAGGGCAAGTGGCATCAGGGACCTTTGAATGATCCATCCTTACCGGCACCTTAACCCTGGGTTCCCTCCGCACCCACCTCCCAAATCCACCTGACCTCTCGGTGTGCAGGAAAGCACCTGCCCCATGGCTCTTCAGCTGTCCTGTCCCTACGGCTCCCCACCCAGGCCCACTGGCCCATCGGCTCAAGGCACCAAGCAGGGAGCTGCTGCAGCAGTGTACCAGCTTCCTCAGATCCCCAGCCCAGCTTGTTTATAGAGCCAAAGGGGGTGGGGAGCTGGGGGACTGGCATGCCAGGCCCTCAATGGACAGGCCCACGAGTGCATGGTTAGCATTCCTGCCTGAAGAGGCCAAGGAGCGAGTCTCCTTGTCCCACTGGGCTGGGAGAGAAGGGAGACGGGTACTAGATGCTGGAGAGTAGAAGGGCAGATGCCAGGGCTGGACTCAAGGGCCACAGTGCTTGGCCCTGGCACATCCCTGAGTGGGCATGACGGAGAAGGTGGCGTTGGACAGACCGACACCGTGCCCTAGCTCTGCCACGTACTAGCTGTGCGATCCTGGGCAAGTCACTTAACCTCTTAACCTCAGTGTCCTCATTTGTGAAATGGGCTGATCACAGAACCTGCTCACAAGGGTTGTGGGTACAACGCTTGACCCTTGTCAGCACGCCAAAGGTGGGAGCCATTACCATTTAGCACTCCTTACACATTAGCCATTATTAGCAAGATGCTGTCCTCTAGCAAAAGCTGGTACAGTCCTGCCACTGGCCCATCAGGGAGTAACTTCTGACTCTGCACCCACAGGCCCCTAGCAGAGACGTCCATGCTCCAGGCAGGGTCCCTCTGCTGGGTGGTGGCAAGAGGAGCTAGGCCCCTGGGCCAGATGCTGATTCAGCCCCCTTTCAGGGACAAGGCCAGGATTCATGCAGGTGCGCTCCACGCGTGAGCCACGGCATGGGCGGGGCGGTCCTGGGTGAGCATTGGGGAGGGGGAGGGGAATGCCTGCCACAAGCAGACCCTGCCTCCTCCTGGAACCCACCCCTGCTAGGAAAGAGGCAGCCTGGCTCAACCCAGGCTGGGCAGGATGCCAAGCCTGCTGGTCCAGACCTGCCCCCCAGGCCTTGGTGGGCCCCTGAATACCCCAGCAAGCCAGGGCCTCATTCCAACAGGGAGGGACCAACCCTGAAGTGAGGAGTAAGGGATAGGGGGAGAGGGGACACCACATTTAGGGCTGAGCCAAATTATGCCATGTGAAAAGGAAAATACAGAGCCAAGGAGTGATGGAAGAGGTGAGTGGGTGGGGGCCACTGGAAAGAAATCCAGGCCTCCCAGCCTTCCTCTAGCCCGCTTGGAAAGTCCTTGTCACACAGAACCATTCAGAGCAATGGAAAGAACAGGGGCTCTAAAAGCAGGATATAAGTGGTTTGAATTCTCCCTCTTGCCGGCTGTGTGATCTCGGTCAGCCGTAGTCCTTCTCTGAGCCTCAGTGAAGATGAGGTCAACAGGGAAGAGACACAGGCCCTCCACCTGCTGCCAGCCAGGACAGTCTTGGACGGAGTGGCTCCACAGCGAGATATAGCCCCTCCGGGGAGTGGCAGGGCAATGTGACACAAGGGACAGGAATAGGGGCATGGGCAGGGCCAGGCTGGGTGGCTCTGTTCTTTCCAGAACAATGGCCGGAAAGGCAGTGGGGAGAGGCTCAGAGTGCCGGGAGGGCGGAGGGTCCTGGCTCCTGGCTCCTGGCAGCAGCTCCAGGCACTTCCCCTGCAGCACAACCATCTTCCCAGGCCTGGCTCGGAGGTGGAAGGGTCACTCCTGATATAGGCTGGGCAAAGGATGTGAGCTCAGCGGGCCACCTCCAGCCTGCTCCATTTCCTCTGGCCTGAGAAGGAGACAGCTCAAAAAAGGGAGTTGGGGAGAGAGGGAGGGCAGGGGCAAGGCCAGGGCAACCGCCCCCCTCTCCTCCCTGCCACCTGCTCACTGGAGAGGCGCTGGCTGGACAGGGGACGCCAGCCCCCAGTGACCAGACAGCAAATGGAGGACGCTGAAGCGCACCTCTCTTTGGACAGCCAGAAAGCTCCGGCCACCCCCCAGAAAGAAAAAGGGGATCTCTAACATCTCCCTTCCAGCAGTGTCCTTGGCCTCTCCGTGGTAAGGAGTTCCCAGCCTCCCTTCTGAGAACTGCTTTAGAATTACCTGGAGAGCTTTCTGATTTGCAGTCTCAGGCTCTCTGGGATGATTCTAATTCTGGGGGAGACCAGGGAGTCCGGCCTTTCAGAATAGTCCCTAGGTATTTCTGATGGGCAGCCAAGTGTGGGAGCATAGAGCAAAGGGCATAGGCTTGTCTCTGACCTGCCACAACATGGCTGTGTGACCTTGGGAAATCACTGACCCTCTCTGAGTGTCCTTTTGCTTATCTGTAAGTAGATAAAGAAATATCCACTTTACAGGAAGTTGAGAGGATTACAATATTTCATAAAATGTAGGGTCTGCAAATGTCACCTTGTGCTATCCTTTTCGTCACCAGCTTTCCCAGCTTCTGAGAGGACTGGGAGTAGAGGGGCGGTGCCAGGGCCTCACCAGGAGCCCCAGGACCCTGTCACCCTGTGCCTGTGCCTACACTCTGTGCAAGTCCCCTGGAAGCCTTGGGGAAGGGATCTCTTCCTCCAGATACTTCTCCCTGTGCAGGGGAACTTCCTGGAGCCTAAGAGCCTGGCTGTGAGGTTCCCGCTATCTGCCTCCAGACTCTATCCACTGGCCTTCCTGACGGCCTCACTTTGAGGCCCCAGGGCTGGGAGGCTAGTGGCAGCTCACACAAGGCCCCACTGGGCAGGTTGCCAAAAACAACACAGAGGTGAGGGGAGGAAGGGGCGTGGCTCCCACTCTTGAGCCTGCAGGACCCCTCCTTGGGACCTTCCCCCATCATGCTCACCCAGTAGTCACTTTGCCAGGGCACAGGGACCACCCCCCGCAGCTCCATCTCCTGATACCCTGGCTCTCCTGCTCTGGTGTGCAAGTGGATGCACACACATATGCACAACTCCAGGTCCTTCAGATCTTTCCTTCTAGCACCCGCACGCCCAGGTATGGGTGGGGATTAGATGTCTCAGGTAGTGTGGGGGACTCCTTCCTATGCACAGGGCCTGGGAACTGTGGTCTAGGTCTAGTGGTAGGAACTCAAGCAGACAAGTCCAGCGTCCTCCTGGGATGGCCCAGAGAGCTTGCCCTGAAGCCCAGAGGTCTACTCTCTTTGGGGGCAGGGGGTGGCAGGGGAGGTATCTCACCACAAAGTTACCCAAGAGATGGTACCCACGACAGAGCCCCGCCACAACTCTGTCAAGACTAAAGACTTGAGGCTGTGGAGAAACCTCCAAAAAATTAGCTCTGGCCACGTGCCTTCAGGGGGCACAGGTAGATAGGTCAAGCGGAGAGGGGCTTTAGCAAGCATTTATGTAAAACAAAGTAGTCCAACTTTGTTTTAAGCAGTAGAACTCTTTTTAAAATCTATCTTACAGGCATCCCCATTAAAATGACATAAATGCAGAGATGTTAGGTTGAATGGGGAGGGGGTGATGGAGCTCTATCTGTTCAGTCTTTCCCAACCCACTGTCGACCCCATGGCTCCAACAAACACTGCAGTAAAACCATTTGCTAAAGGCAACTCCATGAAGGCAGGAATTCTGGTCTGCTTTCTTTACTGTTGTGGCCAAGTGCTTAGAACAACCTGACACACACAACAGGCATGCAAAAAAGCTTCATGAATATACTTCAACCCTTTTACTTTATAGGTAAGGAAACTGAGGCTCAGAGAGGTTAAGTGATTTGCCTAAGGATACACAGCAGGGGGGACACAACTTCCTCCCTGGCTTTCTCACACAGAGGCACTTCTTACAAAGAACAAAACAGTCTTCCCACCCTGAGACCCCAGATCACAGTGACTGTCAGACTTCTCTGTGGCCTGAGCACTCAGGAGAGAATTTCAGCTGGACAGTCATTACTCACTTGTCTTTGCAGCCTTGACCTTAGCCACCAGTTTCTGCACACCAGTCACATCTCCATTCTTAACAGCGAGGATCAGATCCTGTTCACGACCCATTCTGGTCCCTGGGCTCCGGAAACCAGGGCAGAGGCAGAGAAAATGGTCCTAGCCGAGGCATCAGGGTGCCATGCCTTGGCCTTTTGGAGGGCCAGGCGTTCTGGGGGAGTGTGTCTGTGTCCCAGGCAGTGGGCTTCTTGTTAGGTGCTGACAGGTATTTCCTCAGGTGCTTTGTGAGCTGCTGCCACAAGCAAGAAAGCTGATCTCTTGGAGGGTGGAGGCTGAGTGGAAATCTGGATGGATATCAGCTTGCAGCTTCTGACAGCCCAGGGATGGGCAGGCACCAGGTACACCAATCTTCCCAGTGTGGCTGAGGAGGACCAATGCCCACCCAGGGAGCAGCCAGCATTCCCTCAGGCCTCGGGCAGCAGTGGTGGGCAGGTCTCAGGGGTCTGGAAAAGTTGCAGTGCTTCTGCTGAAGGCTTGGCAGGGCCAGCAAGGATCCCAGAAGCAGTGCTCAGAGGAAGAGCAGGACTGGGCCTCCAGGGAGCCCCCCCAAACCATCCTGGCTGATCTTCTCAGTCAAGGGAGAGGCCAAGCCACTCCAAGGGGAAAAGGTGCAGCCATTCATGAGAGGAGTATTTGGATGGGGGAGGTGGCGTCCTGGGAGGGGGAGGCTGAGTCACTGAGGCCCCAGGGCACCTGGCAGCACCTCAACCTGGGGCAGGAGGGGCCCTGACAGCACGACACACTGGAGCAGACCAGGCCAGCAGCCTGTTCTCCACAGCCTGAGGCTCTGACACCCACAGACAACTGGTGGGCCAGGAGGTGGGGCCTGGGAGGGTTAGACATAGGCAGACAGTCAGGGGTCCTCCTTACAGAAGGTGCCTAAACCCCAGACTCTTCTCCACCTAAGCTTTACTCTAATAGCTGGACTACTATAATAGCTGAGCCCCAGGGCTCTTTATTAATTCAGAAGGTGGAGTGGGGAGCCTGTGGTCCCCCATTTCTGGCTAGGATCTGCCTGCTTGACAGAGAGTCTACAGCACCTGTTGCTGACCCCTCCTCACCCCTTGTGCCAGATGGGGAAGCAGGTGGGCAGTGAGCAGGTCCAAGAACTGGGGAAACTGCTGGCAAATGGGGCTGCCTGGCCCCCGCAGCCTGAACCTGAGGCCCAGAGCCCCGACTTCACTGCAGAAAAGCTTACGTCAGTTCCTCAGTGGCCACGAATTTGTTGCCCGAGTCCTGTGGCATGAGACACACAGGCCTGGGGCCCTAGCTGGGGTCCCCTTACCCCCAAAACGTCCCAAGCCCAACCCAGATGGTACTCCCGCTCATGGCCCGCGGCCGACATTGGGGGAGGGCGCCCCTGGCAGTGCCTGGGGTCGGGCTGGCTCCCCCGCCCCCTGGAATGCCCTTTCAGCGCCGCGCAACCCCCCAACCCAGCACAGTCCAGGCTAACCCGGGGAACAAAGCGGCAGAAGGGACCGGGAGGGCCAGGCTCCAGAGGGGTTGATGAAGAACGGAATAGAAGCGCGAGGACAGAAGGCGCAGAGAGATGGAGGCGACCGCCGATCCCGCAAAAAAAGTTAGTTTGTGCCCGCCCTCAAAGGTGCTGACCCCCGAGTTCAGGCCCCTTAGTCTCACCTTTCCCCGCCGCCGAGCCGTGGGTCCGGCTGGCCCCGCTTGGTCCCTGGCACTCTGGGCCGTGGCCCCCACTGCCCCCCTTACCCCCTTTCTCCTCCTTCTCCTTTTCCAAGGCCGGCTCGGCGCCACCCGCAGGAAATCCCGCCCATCCCCCCTCCCTCCCGCCGGATCGGGAGCAGAGGGACCGTCCCGGCCGCGCAGTCGGGCTGTCAGTCAGCGCCGGCAGCCCCACCCCCATCTGCACCAGGCTCCGCCCCCGTGGCTCCCGTCGGGACCGCGAACGCAGGCTGGGTCAGCGCATGCGCCCAGGTGAGCCGGGGCGAGAGTACCCACGTCTGCGTCCGAGTTGTGGAGCCGGGACGACCGTGGTTCTTGACTTCAGACCGTAGGGCAAGATACGCTGTTTGTGGCTGGGTGAGAGACAAGATGTGATGTGAAGAGGGAGGAGAACCGAGACGCGGGCACCTCACTTGGGAAGCCCCTCTTTCTCTTAGCCCCTCGCCCCTCCCCGAACTCCCACGGCCATATCCGCCCGCGGCCAGAGTCACCGACCCACAGACTTTGGCCGGAGCAATGGTGCCACCTAGCGGATCTGGCAGCGGCCCTTGGTGGCGGCAGCGGTTAGGGGACCCCAGCCTCGAGAAGGTGCTGACGACTGGTTGGGGTGGCGCTTCAGCACCATCGAGAGCCGGACAGCGCCTCTTGTCCCCGACCCTCGGAACCTGGCTTCCGAGCTCCTCTGAAGGAATAATGCAAGACCCTAAAGGAATTTTGAACCTTGCCAGACCGCACCTGACAGCCCTCGGTGGGTCTCAGTTTGCGAAGTTGGAATTCGAGAACACACCGCTCTCCCTTCTCTAAATCCCCTCATCTATCCTTGTCCAGTCCAAGTGGTTGCGGAGAGAGTCACACTTAACTCTTCATATTACACCCAGACCTCTGGTTTCTCAAGTTTTACTATTGAGGAGCCCAGATGAGGGCTGGGGACAGGAGATGGGGAGTTTCAACAAATCCAGAAACCTGCAAGCTTTTTGCATCCGAAATTGTAGCACTAATTGTAGGCGGGCGCTAGGACCCAGAACAACCAGAAAGGGAAAGCCGGTGGGTAGATCGAAGACCTGCAGCCTAGATCGGATAGGCGGGCGCTAGGGCCTCACGGAGTTCCGGAGGTGGGCGGGGCTTGGGCGGTGCGCGCGCAGCCGCAGACGGCGGTCCGATGGAGCCTGAACCCGAGTCCTGCTCTGTGGAGGTTCCTGCCGGGCGCGTGCTCAGGTGCGGTGCGGTGCGGCCCGGGGGAGGCTCTGGGACCGCGGGTGGGCGCGGGGAAGGGGTCGGGGATCCAGGCCTGGGCTGGGCGATCCTGATTGCGCGGTGCTGACTCCGCGTCCCTTTCTTCCTCAGTGCCCGGGAGCTCCTCGCTGCCCGCTCGAGGTCCCACAAGCTACCCCAGCGCTCGCATGGCCCCAAAGACTTCCTCCCCGACGGCTCGGCGGCCCAGGCAGAGCGGTTGCGCCTGTGCCGCGAGGAGCTCTGGCAGCTGCTGGCGGAGGAACGCGTGGAGCGCCTGTAAGGGGGCCGGGCCAGGGGCGGGGCGGGGTGGGTGGACCCCGCAGACCTACTGGTTGAGATGGACCCCCTCCCCACTCCTCACCAGGGGCAGTTTGGTAGCTGCAGAATGGAGACCCACAGAGGGCTTCGTGGAGTTGAAATCTCCTGCGGTGAGCGGCTGGTCTTAAGGATAGGACCCACCTTCTCTGCGCTCCTGGCTCCTTTGTGACATTTGTTCTGGGCCCCACACAGGGTAAATTCTGGCAGACCATGGGCTTCTCAGAAAAGGGCCGGCAGCGGCTTCACCCCGAAGAGGCCTTGTATCTGCTGGAGTGTGTGAGTGGCGCCTCAAGAGGGTGGGGAAGGGATTGGGACGAAGAAACCTGAAGTACGTGTTTCTATTGGATAAAAAGTATACACAACCGAGTATTCAGGGAGCTTTATAACCTGACTTCTAGAGCAGGAGACAAAAAAACCGTGCAGGAAGCAGAGTCCTGTCCGCATGGCGCTGCTCCCACCTTGCTCGTTGGCAGTATTCTTGCTGTGTGCTTGGGGGAGGTGGGGGCAGGTGGTGGTGGTGTGTGGCTCAGCAACTTCCCAGTGGCAACCATCCCTATAGCTGCCACTGGGAAGTTGCCCCAGTGGCAGCTATAGGGATGGTTCACAAGCTGAGCTGTTGGTCCCACTAATAGGGCTCCATTCAGCTCTTCCACCAAGATCTGCCGCTGTCTATCCAGGAGGCCTACCAAGTGCTGCTGTCTGAGGATACTGTGACTTTCCTGCAGTACCAGGTATCTGCCACCTTCTGCCAGGAGAGAAGCCACTGCCCCCACCCCACCCCCACCTAGTCAATGATACTTAAGAGTACCTACAAGAAGGGCATGGGCTCTGCTGTCATGGTGCTTGCATCCTGCTGGTGGAAACTGGGTAATAAGTAAGCAAGCAACCAAAGCATTGTCTGCACAGAGCTAAGTGCTAAGAAAAAGACAAAGCAGGAGCCAGAGACATAAACGTGGACATATGTGCACAGGGATGATATATAAAACTATGGGGCTGTGTGCGGGTTTGGCCAGAGTAGAAGGCTATTGTCTGAGACCTGGAGCACCAGGAAGCCAGGGGAAGATAAAGAACCAGAAACAGAGATGGAGAAGTATCTGGCAACACAGGAGAAAAACCAGGAGAGGTAGCATCAGAAGAGAATACAAGAAAAGGTCTTTCAAGGAAGAACTGATCAGCTATGATGAAGGCTGCTAAGATCAAGCAAGATGGGGGCACTGCTGTATGCATGTCTCTGGTACATATATATGAGACACAGGATGAACCTGTGCTTCTTTACCAACGGCTACTCCCACTCTGCCCCTGACTGTGGAGGTGTGTGTGGTCAGGAGGCCCACCACTTTCTGCCATCTTCTTGTTCCTACTATAGTCAGGAACTTCATGATAGTTTTGGCATCAAAATATCCTAGGGCACAGCTACTTTTCTGGCCCATCAGTTATCAGCTTTTTGGGATTTGTGTTCAAATCAAGAAACTGCTGTGTGTCATTTGTATCCAGAGTAAGCGAAGTGAGGGATAGGAATTCAGACTAAGACCTTAGTTTGGGAAGAGTGTTTATAATGGAGTGTGGTCCAGCCAGTGCCAGGGTTTGGAATCTGTGGGTGTGCAGGAAAGGCAAAGGAGGGGGTATGGGGAATGGCTTCTGTTTGTAGAAACTGTTTGGTGTTTTCAAAAGTAGAGTCTGATCTTTACTTTTTAAAAATTTTGAGGTCTTCAGCCACCTGAAAAGACTGGGCTATGTGGTTCGACGATTCCAACCAAGGTAAATCCCTATCCCATTTCCCTCCCATTTGTTCTGTAGTCTTGGGACCTGGCTGACTGGTCCCAAAGTGGTAAGTGCCTCTCCTTATCTGGAATCCTTGACTGGAACTGCAGGAACCTGGGCATGGGCTGGGGGCCTTGGCTGGAAGTACTTTATGGAGAGGCATGTTGGGATGAATCTGGGTCATTCACCTTATCCTGGGTTATCAAATTGAGCCCTATCTGCAGCTTGTTTGCTCCACAGATGATAGTTGAGTACCTACAGCTCACTGTGAGCATGGAGATGAAGTACTGGAACAGTGCCTAGCACTCAGGAGGTGTACAAGATCTGTTGAGTGCATGAATGAAGGACCAAGTGAGGAATTAGCAGTTGAGTAGGGTTCACGTTGTTTTTGCGTAGATGTTCTTGCCTCTGAAGAGCATCAGCTCAGCAGTCCAGCATCGCTAAGAACTGCAGAGACCTTTAGACTTGGGGTGGAAATTGGTACAGCTTTTGCAGTGTCACAGAATATCACAAGAGCTCTAGGACATATACCCTTTAATTCCTGAAGGTAGAATATATCCTAAGGAAATAGTCACAGATGTGTAAATTCACTTGAGAGAATGTTCATCCATTGGTTCATTCAGCAGTACTTGCTGACCATGGGCTGGGTGCCAGGCCCTGTGCTTGTTGCTGCAGAAGAGCAAACAGCAAAATCACTGCCCCCACAGAACTTGCATTTAGTGGGGAGCTTACGCAGAACACCATCCCTTTGCAATCGGTGAACTTGGCAAGCTCCTATGGGTCTGACAGGGGAGGCATGATCACATGAATTAGGGTTTATCACTGAGCAGCACTGTCCGCCGAACTTTGTGTCATGATAAAAATATTCTGTCTTTGCTGTCCAGTATATGTGGCTTGTGCACCTGTGGAACTAAATTTTTGTTTAATTTTAAAGGATTAAATTGAGCTTTAATAGCCCCTTGTCCTTAATGACTACCATATTGGGCAGTGCAGCCATACAGCTGTAAACAAATCATAGCAGAGAAGGATGCTATCGTGATAAGGAGCTATGTCGAGAATATTGAGTGTAAAACAAAAAAGATTACACAGAAGTATGTTGCTATAATGTCATTTTTGGTAGAAAAAAACATGGAGAGACATTATGTGTGTTTATGAGAAACAAAAATGTTATAGCAATATCTGTGGGTTTTATCTTAATTTTAATTTTTCTGTATTTTCCAAATTTTCTAGTCCTCTTGATTCTTCTCACCAGTGATTAATCATTTATTGCTGGCTCTGCAGGAGCCCTGGTTCAACTAAGCCTCTGTTCAAAGGCACCACTGGTGAGACCCAGAGACCTAGGCAGAGACACATAGGCTCAAGCGTTCTGTGACTGTCCCCAGGTAGCTTGAGTGCAGGTGTGCCCAGGGCCTTAGCCCCTGGGTGTGGCTCTGACCCTGGCCCACTGACTTGTGCTCTGTGCCAATCCTTCACAAATTCCACTGGGAGCGCCATGTGAGGAAGTGGACTTGTGGTCTGCCCCGTTCTCCCCACATAGTTGCATCTTGTCCCCTTATGAGAGGCAGCTGAACTTGGATGGCAGTGCCCAGTACTTGGAGGACCGGAATGGCAAGCGGAAGAGGAGGAGCTGCACCTGTCGGTAATGCTGCCCTCATGGCCGCCCCCAGGGAGTTCCAGGGCACAGAGCTGTTGGGGATGCTGGTGTTCAGGACCTTGACAAATGCAGGGGCTTAAGAACTGGGCGTGGGAGCTCATGTGTAGGCTCAGGGAGGCAGTAGGACACACGTGGGGCATCGGGGCAGATGTGCTGCATTTCCTCTCCATGACCCTCAGGTCCATTAATAAGAAGCCCAAGGCCCTCGAGAACCCCCTGCAGGGTGTGGATGGGACACCTGAGAGTCTGGCAACCTCCAGCCCACTTCCCTGCAACCAGAACAGCCGATGCCCAGAGGAGAAACCTAAGGAGTCAAGTCCTGTAAAGGACCCAGTGGGCCCCTTTCAGCTGCTGGGGTCCCTGGAGCCCTGCCTTGGCCTGGCCAGGGACGGGGTGGAGTGCAGCCAAGAGAGTGGCAAAGTCGAGAATAGGGTCAAGGGGGCTTGTAAGCCCCGTTGGAACTTTGAGCAGATCTCCTTCCCCAACATGGCGTCAGATAGCCGCCACACCCTCTTGCTTGCCCCAGCCCCAGAGCTGCTCCCGGCCAATGTCACTGGGCGGGAGACAGACGCTGAGTCCTGGTGCCAGAAGCTGAACCAGCGGAAGGAAAAGCTCTCCAGGAGGGAACAGGAGAAACAGGCAGAGGCCCAGCACTTCCAGGAGGACATAAACTCAGATCCCGAGGTGCAGCGCTGCTCCAGCTGGAGGGAGTACAAGCACCTGCTGCAGAAGCGGCACCTGCAGAAGACCCAGAGCCGCCTCCCACACCTGTGGGACCAGCCCGTCAGCCCCTTGCTGAGTCCCAGCCAGGCAAACTCCCCAGGTACCTTCTCACCCTGCCATAGCGTAAGAAACCACAGGCAGCTGAGGAATCACAATACTTTGAAAGGGCACAGATTTAACCACAAGTGATTGAGGCTTAAGATTGAGAATGCAACCCACAAGTACAGTCCATTCTCCTCAGAAACAGCAAAGGGACCCATGTGGGAAGTTTAGAAATGGCGAGTCAGTGGCCAAGGAGAGGTGAAGAGAAGTGAAAACTACAACCACATGTTTAAAATTATAAATCAGATGCACATGAGTGGCTCTGCCACCAACTAGCTCTGGTTCCTTGTCCTCCCAACTCTGCTAGAGGGGAACAAAGAGATGCCACCTTGACCAAATAAAAGGAAAGCTTACTGTATGCCCTACAAATAGGGAACTAATAGGGCAAGGACAGTATTAACATATTCAGAACCACTTAAAATCCAGATGGGGACAGGTAGATTTGAGGTAACTAGGGTTGCCAAATCAGTTGAATTTGAATTTGAGATAAACAGCTTTTTTTAGTATATTCCAGATATTGCATGGGACATACCTATGCGAAGAAAACATTTACGTCTTCTGAATCTGGCAACCTTGAACTAGATGGCAGATTCAGAAATGTCAGGGGAGCCTGTAATGGTTGACTCCTCTCCCCAGTGCCTTATTTTTACTGTCCTTTTAGCCACAGTCCTTCAGCATATCTCTGTGCTGCAGACCACACACCTTGCTGATGGAGGTGCCCGGTGAGTTTCCAGGAAGTGCCTGACTCCACAGTACTTTGGCTGCCAGCAGGAGTTGGCAGCTGGGATTTGACTCCTTAAGTTGGGCATTTGCTGGGGGATCACTTCAGGAACCCTTCCCTACACTCTGGCTACTATTCATGTGTGTTTAGGGGAGAGGGAGAGGTGGATTTATCCCCAGGGCTCTGACATAGGCAGCCAAACCTCCCCCTGTTCCTCAAGTGGCACCTCACAGCAGGATCTCAGTTCTCGTGCAGGCAGCTGGAGGGGGAGGGGAAAGGTGGCATGGAAAGAAAAGAAGGGAGTCCCTGTTTCCTAAGGTTTCTCACTCTATCCTCAGGCTTTTGGAGAAGTCTAAGGGCTTGGAGATCAGCTTTGATGTTTACCAGGCTGATGCGGTGGCCACATTCCGAAAGAACAACCCTCACAAGCCCTATGTCCGGATGTGCATTAGTGGGTACGAGACCAGCCAGTGCTACCCAGGTTGCTGCCAGTTCTTGTGTAAACCACTGGGACCTCCTCTCTGTGCCCTGGCCAGTGTGCCAGTCTGAGAGGAACGAGCGGTCCAGAGAGATGTGACTCATGCAAGCCCACAGCCCGTTAGTGCTATGGGAACCCAAGTCTCCCAGTTTGGCTCTCAAACTTGGCATTTTTGAGTGTAGTGTCTCTCCTGTGCCACTTTCGTCTGGGCTCACCCAGCAGGAGTGTGAGTCAATGGTGGAACCTCACTCTTCCTAGCCCCTTACCCAACCAGGGCCCTGGGACTCTGCTGAACTTAACAGAATCATGAAATTTGCAGATGGGAGAGCCCAGCGACCAGACTTCTCACACCCCTGACTCCTGTCTTACAATCTCTCTTCCCTGGGAGCCTCAGAGGGCTGGGGTCTCAAAGCTGATGGGTGGGCTATGTCAGGTCTCAGCCTAACCTTTATCCCCGCAGATTTGATGAGCCAGTCCCAGACCTCTGCACTCTCAAGCGGTTGTCCTACCAGAGCGGGGATGTTCCTCTGATCTTTGCCCTGGTGGATCACGGGGACATCTCCTTCTACAGCTTCAGGGACTTCACGTTGCCCAGGGATCTGGAACACTGACTACGCAACTCTGGCAGGCCTGGGGCCTATTCTGAGGGACCTGGACTGTCTACTCTCAGGGACCATATCTCAGCTGCCTCCTACACCCAGACTCTGACCTGTAGCTTCAGGGGCGAGTCTGGACCTTGGCCCTGGGTGTCTGATACTTGCAGGAGAGCAAAGCCACGCCCCCCTACCTGGCTGCTGCGGCATTCTAAGCCCCAGGCCTGAGCTTGCTGCCCTGCAGTGATCCCCCTTGGAACTCAGGAGACCCAGCAAGGTGCAGCAGAAGAGAGGACTCTGTGCCTTTAAAAGAAAGGTGCCTGTTAACGCGATAAAGCCAAAGCTATTAAAAAATAGACCCCTTTTCGGCTGTGGCTGGATATACTGGAAAAGTCTCCCAATCCCCTTGTCCGTGGAACTGGCCTCCAGGCCCTCACCCCTGCTTTATCCACCCACAACGCTGCTTTTTCTGACGCAGGAGCTAAGACAAGCCCGCAGGAGGGCAGAAGTGCGACCCTGCACCTTCCGCGGGAGGGAACGGGAAGTCACAGACCTCTCTGGGTGGCTTGGCTTTCTGAGGGTAGTCCGAGAAGGGAAGCTGGCGCCCCGTCGGCTCCACCTGAACGCAGCCGGGTCCGGGTAGAAGGGCAGCAGAGAAGCGCCATGACTGTGGCTTGAACCCTGGTGGCTTAAGAGGTGTGCTGTGGAGCGCGCCGTTGGCTCGGGTGGCGGGCCTGGCCCCCACGCCCTTTCTGCTCCCGTCTCTCGTCGCTCCAACCCCCTCCCTCGTGCTCAAAACTCCAGTCGTCGCTGCTGTACAACGCAGAAAGGGTAAGGTGGTCCGGGCTTGGAACCCTTGCCTCTGCCACCTCGCTGTCGGGTCCTGAAACCTGGCCCCGGGACTGCCGGCCACCCTCTCAGATTGGGTTGGGCGCTCTGGCAGAGCTGGCCGGACTATGCTCCTCCCTCAGCCGCTCCGGGCCGGTCCGTGGGAGGGACGGTTCCCCTTCGCGCTCAGGCCTGGGAGGTGGCCCAGGGCCGCCGCGCGTTCCGGGAACTATTTCCTCCGGGAGGCGGCAGAACACAAGGCGCGGCGCACTGGTCCGCCACCAGGTACGCGCAGGTGAGGCGGAGGGCGGACCGGGAACGCCTCTTGCATATTCACGCAGGCCGGAGGTCCCGCCCCTGCCCGCCGGAGCCGCGGATTGGCTTAAGCGCGGCGCCCGCCCCCCAAGTGCGCCCCCGCCCGATCGGCGCAGGGCTGAGGGGCGGGGCCGGGCCCGGCGCTCGCGGTTCCGCTGAAACGGCTGGCTCGCCCTTTATGTAAATACGGCGGCTCCGCCCCCTGCTCGCAGAGCCGGAGGTGAGCAGGAAGGAGACTGCCGCGCAGCAGCCCCCGGGCCCGCGGTAGAGGGGGCAGAGCCGGTGGCAGCGCCGAGGGACTCCGAGGCCTCGGGCGGGGGCCGGCCTGGAGTTCCAGGTGAGGCGCGGGCTGGAACGAACCTGAGCAGGCCCGCCCCCTGGGGCGCCCGCTACTTCGGGAGGGAAGCAGCGGAGGGCCAGGACCCCTGGCTTACCGGGGTCGGGCGGGGAGGGCTGCGCCCAGGTCCGCCCGCCTCGCCCTAGATCCCGTTGCTCCGTGTCTCTGGGCTATAGACACCTGTAGAAAGTGCGGCTGAGAACTTTTCTCTGCCTGATCCGCCCGCGATCACAGTGAGTTTCGGGTTTGCACGATAGGTGTTGGCTTTGGGGAGCGGGGAAACAGGTGTCCAGCCCTGCTGGGTGCGGGGGTCGCTGCAGGCGGAGATGGAGTCCCCGGCCCCACGTGTTAACTCTCCTTGGCCCGAGAGGTGGACGACGCACGTCTCTGGGGGTCCTCTCCGCGAGCGGTGGCCTGAGCACGTTACCTCGGCTGCTTAGCCCCTGCCGCTGCCATCTGGACTCTCTCCCTGCCGGCCTTTTGTGCCTCCTAATCCCTGGACGCAGGAAGCCCGCGGGAGGGACTTTGGTCTCTGGGCCTTTTCGGCCTCGGGCCGCTTTGAACACCTTTAGGGGACGGTACTGAGATCCAGTTGTGTTTTCTACAACAACAGGGGGAGGAATTACGTTGTGGTGCGTTGTGGTACGTTGGGACTTGGTAAGGAGTGAAAGCTTTTGTCTGAGCAAAGAAAAGTGTGCAAAGTTTGCTCTGGCTGGACGCTTCCTAGACACACTGATCTTTGGCTGTGGGGACAACTGACTGTAACTAGAAGCTCGTTTGGCTCCCTGAGGCTCTCACCTGAGATAGGTGAGCTTTGGGTGAGGCAGGCGGGGCTTAGACGCAACCCCCGTTCCCATGGGGATCCATGTACCAGATGCAGGGCATTGTAATATGGCTCTAGGGACCCTCCGAAGAGTTTACAACTCAAGGTCCTGTCAGGCTGCAGAGGGGATTTTGAGCAGGAAGAGTTGCTGGGAGAGAATGAGTGCATCAGGGATCCAGGAAGCCCCAGGTGGGAAGAGCGGAGTGGCAGTTCAAGAGCTGTGGCCTAGTGCAGGGGGAACCAGGGTCAGAAGTGGCTTGTGAGGAAGACAGCTGAGTCTGTATGAGCTGAGGCCCTGAAAGGGTCCTGGGAGAGGTAGTCCAACTTCTTTATTGAATGGAATTAGGATTTGGTTTTCTTAAGAGATCTGCCCACAGTGCCCTCTTAAGGCAGTCAAGACTCAAACCCAGCTCTGGGACTCTGATCAGGCCTTGCTCCTCCTCCCAAACCTAGACTGGGCCAGTCTCTGAGGGCCAGTGGCCAGTTTCCAGAGTCTGTGGTCATTCTGCATCCCTGGTCTTCCTTGAGGCAGTGGAGTGTCGTCTTTAATGACAGATTAACTAGGAGAGGCTCCTCTGGGTGTGGGGACAGGGAAGCTGCTAGGTACCTGCTAGGTATACTTTATGGAAGGTATAAAATGAGGGGAAAATGTACCCTTTGCCTCACAGTCTTTTTCCTCAAACAGTCCTTACTCTGCCATCTAGTTAAATTTTCTAGTATCCTTTCAGACACTAGGTGTAGTTTTGAATCAGGCCTTGCCAATTTCTTGCTGCATGACCTTGGCTTGGTCACTTAACCAAAGCCACAGTGAGCCTTGTTTTTACAGATGTAACAGGAAGATGAAAAAATGTGTCATAAACATGTGTGGCCTGGCACATAGCAGGCACCAGGTGAGGGTGAGTTTAATTTCTTCACAACATGAAAAGCATGGGCATTTGCAGGCCCTTGGGCATATGCCTGGGCCTTGTGAAGGCACCTGATGGGTTTTGAGGGAATTTGGCTTTTCTGTCCAGAAATCAGCTGAGAGATCATGGTTTTTTGAAAGCCTGTAGGGGTCAGCACTTCAAAAGTGAGGATGTTTCTCTTTGAAAGTGGTGGGACAGAGGTAGAGGACAGTGGCCTCTCCTAACCTCATCTTGTGTTCTAGGGGCTCCTGGAACTTCCTCCGCTCTTTGGAGGACCAGGAGTGAGGCCTGATAGCCAGACCCCAGCTGAGGCCTTTGCATGTATGTGTGAGGGGCAGGTTGCGAAACTAGCCTGCTCTGCTTTCTGCACAGGGCAGGCCTGGCTGTGTATATTTAGTGCCCTGTTGGGGATGGAGAGAGGGGAGCCAATTCCTGCATCTGTTATCATTAAGATTTTCTGGGAACCCCACAGTGCTTCATTTCAACCTTTTTTAGGAAAGGGATGTCCTTTCCTGCCAGGACTTCCTGGCATAGAGACCTTCCTTCCCATAGAGAAAGTGTGCCTGGAGCTGGACCGTTTGGAGCCTCTGCCATACCATTGGTATGTGACCCCCTCATCTACCCATTGGACACATTGAGCATCCCAGGCAAGAGTCTCCAGCAGTAACACAGGGTTTTCTGAAGGGTTATTCAGTCTTTCTGGTGTTTTTCCATATGTCAGAGGCAGCTGTTGAGACACCTGAGCTGGGGGCCCGGGTGGAAGCACAAGAGGCCAACAGTTCCTTCCCCTGGGTTGGCTGTTTTGAGCAGGTCTGGCCACCTGAACTTCCTTTTCCTAAGTCCTCAGTTGGGAGAAGCTGTCTTATCTCAGTCGGGTGCTGCCACTATCAGGACTCCATCTGGGTCAAGGCGTGCCAGGTCTGCTCGGTGACTTTGTTTTCCCCTGCCCAGGGGCAGTTTGCAGGAGAAAGTGGGGTGGGGGGCAGGAGATGGGCATCCCCCAGTGGGTCCACCAGTACTGCTTGCCCTTCTCCAGCCCTGGTTCTGCAGGGTTCTCCAGAAGACCCTCCCCTCGCCATCACCATGGGGCTTTGCCTGGCTCTCTTCGAGGTGACCTTCCCTGCCTACCCTACCTCTCAGAAGAAATTGGTACTTTGGAGAATCACCTCTCTCCTTCCCCTTCCCAGGAAGCACAGTGAATTCTTGAGCTAGGAGAGGCTTCTCTGGGTGTGGGGACAGGGAAGTTGCTAGGTACCTGACTCTACCCTTCAGGAATTCAGCAGAGACCTGAGCCATCTCTTGAGACACCTGACTCACTGTTCCCAGGATTTCACGAGAGGGACATCTGGGAACAGGACTATTTGCATCTAGTCAATAATAGCGTTCTTGGGTCCTCCTTGCCAAGGATCTGGGTGTCCTGGAGCCTTGGGCTGAGGCAGGGCCACAGAGATATTCCCAGCAGGATGCCAGGCATGCTGTCCACATAGCTTTGGCCATGGCCAGAGACTTGAGATTGGGGTGGGGAGGTTCCCTGAGGGACCTTATGGGGTCTCAACCCTGTGCTCTTAGGAGTCAGCAGCTCCCCTTTGTCTGGTTGATCCCTGTTCAGCCCTAGCTGTTCATTCATTCATTCAAAAAGTATTTACTGGTGCCTCTGTGTGTCTGCAATGGTTTAGACACCGGGTATAATCCTTACACAAAGCAAAGACCTTTCCCATCTCAGGACTAACATTCTAAGGGGAGCAGGAGCAAGAGAAAATAAGCATTAAGTACTGAATAACGTGTTATAGAGTAAGGACTGAAGCAGGGATTGTGCCCCCTGTGGCAGGGGTGGGGTGGGGGCGCAGGTTGCAACTTTAAAAGGTGGTCATGGTGGGCCTTGACAAGGTCACATTTGGGCACAGACTTGCAGCACGTGAGGGAGTTTTGTAAACAATGTGAGCACCTCCCACGTGTCAGGGTACTAAGCACTGGGGATACTACCACACACGGGACAGCCATGGTCCCATCCTCCTAGAGCTGACATCTTCTGGAAGCTCCTTTTGGGGCAGATGCTCAAGTTTTGAGGCAAGTAGGAGGCTGTGGTATGGGGCTTTATAGGATGAGCCAGGCACCCAGCCACCCCAGGCACGTTGTCCACCTCCTCACCAGAATGGCTTTGTCCCTGCCTGCACTTGGCCGTGTTTAGTCCGTCACTTCCCTAGAGAGAGTCTTGTGTTGGATTGCAGAAAGGGGATGAGGCCCCCAGGATGGTGATGTGTTAGGGGATGCAGCATTCTTACTTCCCCTCCCATCTTCATAGGTCAAGGGAGGATCCTTGGGTGTGGCAGGGGGCCGCCCAGGGACTGGCTTGTAGCTCTGTAGGACTGGAGAGGAAGGGGTCTGGTGACAGGCCTGGACCCAGCCGCAGAGGGTGAGGTCAGGCTCTTGCTGCTGACCCCAGGTTGCCCCCTCCAGGCTACTGCTCGCTAGCCCTTAGGTCCTGGGAGAGGCCTGAATTGAGCAGAGGGTTCTGCAGTCAGGTTGGAACTCAGATTGGGACTTGCAGTCTTACTAATTGCTTGGACCTGATAGCTCTCAGAATTGGTTATTTCCTCAATGACTGTTAGAATTACACAAGGTGATACATAGAAAGTGCTTCAAGTAGCAGCTGGCGATAGTCACTCTCAGTCCCTTCCATTACTTAACAACAACAGTGACAACAGTGCTCTGATTCCCGCCCCACGTTCTCTGTGTTCGCCTAGTCCCACCTCCATGGAGGTGCCCTTTCAGCCAAGGTCTGGCTGCTAAGCTGCTGGCCAAGGGCCTGCCTGGTGCGTCTGGGAGACTGGGTTTCCTAGGGTAACATGGCCACCTGCAGAGCTGTCTTGGGCATCTGAGTTGGCATGGACAGATGCCTGTGGGGTCCTCAGCTGCCCCAGCTGCTTAGAGCCCTGCCCCATCACTCCCCTAAGTAGGAGAAGCAAGGATGTACTCATACCTATCAGATGTCAGACAGGAGGCCGAAGCCACATAGGGCCTCACACAGGATGTTGGGGAGGGAGGCAGTCCTTCAGCAGCAGTGGGCTGTAGGGAGCACTAGCAAAGGGGCGAGGAGAGCTCGGCACTCAAGCTCACGCTGTCTGGGCCCCTGCAGATCATGAGGTGGGGGCTGAGTATGGCTCCAGAGCCTTCTCTCCCTGGTGTCCAAGATGTTCAGTGTCCTACTGCTGGCTGCAGCCTCATCAGATCTGTGGGACTGCCTGGGCTATCGAGGGACCTTCTGGGGTGCTGGCCCATCATATACCTCCAGGACAGATGGGCTCAACTTAGCCAAGCCTTTGTTTTAGTCCAACCACCCAAACGGGGCCAGCGTAGGACAAGCAGTCTGGGCTGGGAATCCCCCTCTTCCTCCCTGTGGCACAGTCAGATCTGTTGCTTAGGGCAGGGGACCCAGGACAAGTCCACCCCATGCAGGTATTCCTTCTCTTCCCCCACTGGTTTCTGCTAGCTCCTGAATGTGGTTGGGGGCATAGGGTCGATGTGTGTCATCCCAGAGGGGTCCGGGCAGAGGATGGGAAGGGAAGACAGGGTATGAATTTACTAGCCGGTTTCCAAGTAGGCAGCTCTCCTTTTTTTTCCAGGGCAGGCACCAGAGTGTGGGGAAACCAATCCTAGGCCCTAGGGTGTCTTGCTAGTCTGACTGGAGCAGTGAGGAGAGAAGTGGCCAGATCAGCTGCCCACAGGGAACTCTCAGGCTAGTTCCACACACAAGGCACAGACCTGTTTGGAATGAGTAAGAATCTACTACAGATCAGCAAGCTTCGTGTAGCCTGGCCCAAAACCATGAGTGCCCACTCTCTGAGGGAACAGAGCAGGGCAGGGCAGAGAGGGTGGCTCAGAGTTTGGTCTGGTCATTGACTGAGGGCAGAACAGGCAAGAACAGAGATCAAGGCTGGACGATCTTAGAAACCCAGAGGATGGAGGTCTTTCTTCTTAGGAAGCCCCCTCCCAGGGGTCATGCCATCCTGGTACAGGAAGTCAGGACCCTCGGAGCATCCCCAGTGGCTTTGCCTCAGACCCTTGGACTTGGGGGGCTCCTGAACTTGTTTCTTCTCCCACAGCCCTCATGGTAGAAGAAACAGCAGCATGTACAGACGGCACGCAAGAGTTTGCCAAGCCCCTTTCCAGGCCCTCCTGTTGAAGTTCACAATAGCTCCACTGGTCAAAACGTGCGAAGCTATGGCGCTTTGTGCTCCAGAACCCTGAAGCCCAAGATCACACAACTGGTTCCACTCACCTTGTCTGCTCCCCGCCTCTGTACCCATCTGGTGTCCTTGAAGGCTTCTGTGGCTGGAGAGGATCCCAGCCCCTGAGAGAACAGTAGGGGTCCCACCAAGTGCCCGAGTGCCTCCTGTGAGCATAGGGCCACCCTCACGCCTTACTGCGAGCTGGGTGGTCACCCCTTACCTCATGTGATCCTCTTAACAACCCTGCCTGGGAGGCAGATAAACCAAAAGAGGAAAAAAAATCACCAATCCTCCAGTGTGTTGCCTACATACGTAAGTACTCAAGCTGACTCTTGGATGCATCTTATATCTGTTCCGCCGCCTGTGGTCTTCTGCCCTTTCAGTGACCGTGGGCCTCCCATCGTGGCGCTGAGCACACTGTCATTGACTTCTTAGGTTGCTTCTGATTCTTCCTAATAGCTTAATGACCAGCACAGCAAAACTTGGGAGAAATTCGAGGAGCTGAATGGGTGCCTGCATCCATGGTGGTTTTAGGGACCATTTTAGCATAAGGTGTGGTCAGGTGCTGGCGGAGGACAGTGAGAGTGACCAGGATGGGTTCAGGCAGGGAAGGCTTTTTGAAAGGTGGTTCATCTTGCTGCTTGAGGGACAAGAACATTCTTTGAGACAGAGTTTTGGAGACCATAGTGAATGGGACCTGGGGTGGGGGCTGAGCAGATGGACTGACTGACACAGGGCCAGGCAAAGAAAGGGAGATGTAGTGTGGTGGGGAGCGCTGACCGCATTGGGCCCCTGCCCAGGACTGTCAGCGGTTTCCAGTGGAGTCAGACTGAAGCGCTTTGCTGCAGCCCACCAAGCCCCCCTTTCTGACCCACTTCATCTCCCTGTTGCCTGCACTCAGACCCTTCACTTGTCCTTTTCCTCCTGGAACATGCAAACTTGTTCCGTCTGTCTGCTGGCCACACCCTGACCCAGGTCTCACCACACTGACCACTTCCTATCATTCAGATCTGGGTGGAGATAGTACCTTCTCCACTCATTTATTCAACGCGTACCTGGGTGCCGTGGTGGAAACAGAAGTCCCTGAGTAAGAATAAGAAAGCAAGCTAGTCCTGGTGGAGGGTTGCATAGGTAATAATAAGATTAGTAAATAAACTATTCCATGTGACCCCTACGAAGGAGAAAAGCAAAGTGGGAAGTGGGAGAGAAAATGTCAAGAGGCACAGGAGACAGGCAAGCGAATGTCTGGATGAAAAACACCCCAAGCAGAAGGAACAGTGAGCCCCCAAGCCCAGAGGCAGGAATGTTCACAGAGTCCTTCTAACTACCATATCCTGATCACCCTTAGCATCTTCCTTTATTTTCTTGCTGGTCCTGATCTCTATCTGAAACCACCCTGCTGACTGATTTGGGTACTGTGAGTCATCACACTCTCCCCTGCGTAGACCTGAGCTTGGTGAAGTATCTGTCACTGTTGTATCCCCAGGCCTAGAACAGTGCCTGCTCTGTGCCAAGCACTGTGCCAGGCACTTGGCATTGCTCCCACTCTTCCCAGCAGACCTGTGCATCTCCCCTTACAGATGAGCTTGCTGGGCCTCAAGCTCTCTTGGGAGGCTGTCCAGCTTGGAAGAGCTGAGCCATAGTGATTGAGCCCTGACTGTTGATACCAAGCCCTGGGCTTGTTCCCTAACATCTCCCCACCCCACTGGCGGGTTGAATAGATGGGATCTGTTCCACGTTAGGAAGCTCCAAGCCCAGGTTCCTGAAGCTTCTCTGCAGAGAACCTACTTGTCTGGGGTGAGTAGAGCTAAAGATTTCCCTAGAGGTGAGTCCAGCCAGTCCCAGACCTGTTCCACTTCAAGAAGGGGTAGCACTTTTTTATGCCTTGACCTGGGCAGTTATTCTGTGTTGGGAGCTACACTAAGTGGTTGATTAGAGTGAGGAACTGATGCTGTGGCTGCTCACCTTGGCCCTGACTCCATCACCCCACGCCAAGGGGGTCCCAGCCCCCGGTGCAATGAGCGGCAGGGCCATGCAAGTCCACCCAGTGCTGCCCAGCCAGACCTCACAGCACCCTGCAAGCAGCAACCAGGCCCCAGGCCTCAAACTGCTCGGTTGGCTCTGAAGTGAAGGCATGTGGGAGTGTGGATGGCCTTGCCTTTTAACTGCAGCTTGTAATTAGGCATTCTCTGTCCTGTCAAATACACCCTTTGCTGCCTCCCAGAGCCCTTAAGTTTGGGAGTTCACCAGACCTGGCATGAAATCTGAGTTCTGCTGGTTCTTCCTCGGTGCCCTGGATGCTGTGGTCTTTGTTTGCTTATCTGCCAAGTGGAAATGTTCCACTCACATTCCAGGGAAACTTGCAGAAGGTGAACAAACATCAGGGAAGAGGTTCAGGGGTACCACGTCACATGCACACACACTGAAGTGCAAAGGGAAGGGGAGGGTCAGGACACGTACAGACACGCCACGCTGCTTGCCTACCCCTGGGTGGTGGGATTTAGGGAGGATTTTCTCCTCTGGATTTGCTTTTTCTACAACGAGCATGGATTACTTGAGCAAAATGTTTAAAAAGTCAAAAAAAACATGCAAAGGTCTGGTACAGTGCCTGGTAGGTGGCAGGTGCGCTGAGGGCTGTTGAGGTGAATGGAGAGCCCGCCGTGCCATCCTGAGTGGGGCTGTCACCCTACCTCCTACCTGCATCTCCTCCCCCTGTAACTGTGTGATGTCATTCTTTAGTCTGTGTGGGTCCTTGGCCCACGTGGCCCTGTGCATTCTTGTCCCCACCCCACGGCTGCTTGGGTCCCACAGAGCAGAGCCCAGGTCAGCCTCTCCTGGGAGTCTGCGGCCCCTGTCCTCCTCCAGGCTGCCACTCCCAGCTTCCTCTGACTTCTGACCCAGTGACCCAGGCCCAGGAAGGGAGAGCAAATACCCCCAGGCGCTCAGAGTGGCCCATTTATGAGCTGTGCTGCCCTCCCCCATGGCCGGAATGTGAGGCCACTGGCTTAGCTGTTTGTCTAGGTGGCCGAGGCCTCAGAGACTGTTTCCCTCCCAGGCCCAGGAGCCTCTGGGACTTTCCTGTGTTTGTGCCCCGAACCTCCTTCCAGGCCTCAGGTCAGGTGGGCACCTGGGAGTTTCCTCACTGCCTGCCATTCTTCAGAGAAGTGGGGTACCCCCCTCTGCTCTGGCTCCCTCAAAATGTGAAGGCACAGACCTCTCATTCATCCCCCTCCCTCCCACTAGTGGCAGTCTTCAGTGTCAGGGGAGGTGATGGAGCTTTGAGGGCTGGTTGCCACCTGTTGCCTCCCAGCTGGGGTGATGTTTGGGTTGCCCCAGGATGTGGGTCTCTCCTGAGTGGAGTGTGACCCCCTCCCAGCATGGCCAACCCTCAGTTGCTCTACCAAAGACCCTACCCAACTCTACCATGCAGGAGCCCCCAGTCTTTGACCACATAGGGTCCTTTCATATGCAAAGATGTGGCCTGATAGTTAATTTTTTCACCTCCCAAGAAGCCAAAAAATTAAGGCATGAGCTTAGATGCCTTCTTCTCCCAAAGGACACCCCCGGTCTGAGCCAGATGTCTCCCTGTGTCTCTCCATCAGGGCACTCAGCTCACTGCCCTGTCTGCTGCCAGCCCCTGCCCCATAGTCAGTTCCTTCAGGGCTGGGGCTGGATCTAATTCCTTCCCTCTCTGGAGGAGTGTGGAACGAACGGAGCAGTTCCAGAGTAGGCTTGAGCCCTTCCATGTCTGGGGACAGGCTTCATGTCCTGCGGTCAGTGGGAGGCCATTCTACTGGAAGCCAGAAGCTGAAGCACAGATGATCCTCCCCCCAAGGATGATCCAGAAATAGTTCCCCTTGGATTGGGAAGGCATTCTACATTCGGATGGTCTTGGGCCTTGAGCTGGTTTCTTGATTGGGAGCCGATTTCTTCTAATTAACCTTCACTTTGTCCCATGGGAAAGGGAGCCTGTCCACCTGAACATACCCCATCAGAGCCCAGGGAGCTGGAACTGGGTCAGCCAGAGATGGTAGGGGCAACCAGGGAGCCTGGGCCAGGGCTGCGGCTGCAGAGACCCCAGCAGCCCCACGGGGTGGACCCATCGCCCTGGCCGCATGTTCTGCACCCTACCCACTCAGGTTCCTGATGCCTGTGGCTGGTGGGAGCAGCCTTCCCTGAAGTCAGGAGAAAGAGTGCAGGTGTGCTGACTCCCCGAGACATTTCTGCTGGGCCAAGGCCTGGAATCGCCTGGCCTCCCCCCTACCCCGCTTGGATTCTGGTCAGGGAGCTCAGGTGGACTGCCTTTGTGTTTCTGCCTCCCACTGGCTCTGGAGAGAGAGGCTTGTGAAGTTTCCTTTTCTGGTTAGCCAGAGTTTTATGGTTTTTCAGAAAACAGGTTAACAATTAAGCTAATTAACCTTGGGGCTTCTGGCCCTCTTTGTTCCCATGAAGCTGGGCTAAATGGCTTCCTCCCCCAGCTTCTCTGCCGGCTTTATAAGGCCACAGGTGGCCGGGAGCAAGTGTGAGGGCATTAACCAGCCCCAGGCCTCCAGTGCAGAAGTCCCTCCAGGCTGTGCCGCACTCCGCAGATGGAGGGAGGGTGCCCAGGCTGTGGCGGTGAAGCTGCCCGCGCCCAGAGGCGGCCACTGCCGGGCTTGGCCAGGTCTGCCGGCGCTGACATGGTTCTGACATGGTTCTCGGGCCAGAGCCCGCTTGCTCCTCGTGTCAGCGGCTCCTCCTCTTCTTCCAGGGGGGCTGCGCCAAGCAAGATGAGGCGGTTCCTGAGGTCCGGACACGACCCTGCTCGGGAGAGGCTCAAGCGGGACCTCTTCCAGTTTAACAAGGTAAGGGGAAGTGGAGAGGCAGCCAGGTGGTTATGGCAGTGCTATGTTAACTGCCCCCCAAGCTGGGGCCGTGGGCACTCAGGCTGCCTTACCTTGACTGAGGTACTTATTTGGCACTTCCTGCAATAAATGCCTCATAGGAAGCTGACTTTGCGAATGGAGTCTGGTTTGAGGGCTTCCCTGGGAAAGGGCCAGGGGTCAAGACTCCTTGTCCCAAGTCTCTCTCTGTGTGACCTCTGAAAGTCATTCCACCTCTCCTAGCCTCAATTTCCCTACCTGTACAATGAGGATAAAACCATCTGCCCTGCACACCTCCCCTCCTCACAGAGTTGTTGAGTAGACTTAGGGATGGGAAAGATGAAAGGAGTTTGAACCCTGCAAAATGTAATGTTCTTGTGAGGCCAGGTCCCTTGGCTAGTGACCACAGGCCATGACTGTACCCTCCTCCTCAAATTGCCCCCAAAGGGAATGCAGTTTTCCCTGCAGACAGAATAGGCTTAGCCCCAGAGAGTGGGGCAAGGTGCCTGGGAGAACGTGCTAGGGTTGACGTTTGACCACCCCAACCCCAACTCTGTTCCTAAGGTTCCTGAAGCCAGAGCAGCCTGTCCCCAGAGATCACAGGGAAGATCCTAGAAACTCCACAGGGTTCCTCAAGGGAGCTGGTCCTGAGAAGACCAGAGCTGGCCTGCAAATGGGAGGAGCACAGCATGGTTCATTAGTTCCCTGGCCACCTGGGCTGCTGTTGCGGGGTAATTAGCCTGTTTCACCTCTGCTTTGATGTAGGCAGTTGGCCCCGTGTGCCTGAGCTTCCTCTGCTCCAGAAGGTGAACTGCAGGAAGGGGAACTCCATGATGCTCTTCCCCTTGGGGGCCCAGGGGCCCCTTGAGGACATGCTGATGGCTAGGACTTCAATCCAGTTTAGCCGCTTAGAATCTGGGTGACCTTGTGCCCATTACCCACAGCATGGCTTGTTACAAGGATTACATAGAATTAGATCATTAATTGCTAGGCAGAGTGGTCCAGGAATGCTAGCTCCTGTTTTTAGGGGCTGCCTCCCAGGGGTAGAGAGTTCCCAGGGGTTTATTCAAGGTGAGTTGGGGTCCCAACATGCCCTGCTGTTTCCCTCTGATTTTCTTGACTTGTGTGAGGTGTCTCGATGGATCTGTGCTGTGATGCCACTGCCTCTAGGATCAGGGCTTCTCTAAATGAACACCTCCTCCCACTGACCAAAGGAAGCAGTGGGCAAGGCTTTGGACCTCGTGAAATGGCATGCAGGTACTGGGAATGGGGGATCGGGGCCCCTGGGAGCCTGCTGCCCTTGTTCCCAGATCTAAGAATCTCAGCACCCTCCAGGGGGCCTGCATGACCCCTGTGCACCTCCAGTTGCCACTGGTGACTCCGGTCTCACTCGGAGAAGGAGTCAGTTCCAGTGGAAACCGGATAGACAGGCTCAGTCAAGAGGGATGAACCCCGGCCCCGAGTCCCAGTTGTGCACTTGGGGTGGGGCTGGGGTGGAGCTGGAAGAGGAATTAGCCCCCCATGCTCCACATCTGGTGGTCCCCAAAAAACATGTCCACCCCATCCAAAGGCCTGGCTGGGGAGAGGAAGGGGAAGCTCCTGTAGTTACTTCTTCCTTCCATTGACTTGCAAGAAACTAGCATTGAGCACCAATTGTAGACAGCCTAGGGCTGGGGCTGTAGGAATCTATGACTGAAGGTCTTTCCCCGCCAAGACTTCTATGGTCTGGCCTGGCAGGAGGGATGGGACTGACAGTCTGAAATTCCACTTCCTGGGACTGGAAAGGAGGAAGGGGGTGGGGGAGCTAGGGAGGTAGATGGAGTGGGGTTAGTCCCTCCGGGCTCTTGGTGAATGGTGGAGCCTGAAGGGTTGGGGTGAGGGTGAGGCCTGATTCTGGAAGATTTGGGAACCTGACTGGTCCCACTCATGCCACCCCCTCCCCAGCCCCAGGCTTCCCCAACCCTTAGCTGTGGTTTGAGGGAGGCTGGAACCTGGGAGTCTGGGCCCGACACACCAGGGCCATGGCAGGGTTTGAGCTAGAGAGTAAGTAATCCTACTTACAATTCAGAAAAGAACTCTGCAGACTTTCTTTTTTTTTTTTTAAAGGAGACATCACGGTGAGTGGAGGGGCCCAGGCATGAGGAGAGAGGGGGTCTCAGGGCACAGAGCACTATTGACATTGGTGTTGCTTTGGGGTCAGGACGTTTAGCATCCCTGGCCCTACCTCCTTGAGATGCACAGCTAAAACCATCTTCAGACATGGCCCCTGGCTGAGGACCGCTAGACTGGAGCACTATTTTAGCCATAAAATTAATGAGACCTGATGTAGATGGAGAATGGGAGTAAGGGGAAGAGGGGTGGGTGTCTAGTGTGACTGTGGTGGGATGTGTGGTTCCATCCTGGGTGGGTAATGTGCCAAGCACTGGGGTTGGGAGCCCAGGAGGGGCAAGGAATAGGTTTGAGTAAAAGCGATACATTTGATTTGCACAGAATAGCAACAGTAATGATCCCCATTTATTTTCCCCCAGGAGTTAGTCTTCCAAGCCCAGAACCTGACTGCTGGGGGTGACCAGCTGGGTGGCCTTGGGCAAGTCACTCAACTCTAAAATGGCAGATAGCGGGATATACAGAGCTGCAGCTCTGAGCTGTAGGCGTCACACATTCCTGGGGGTCAGCCCTCTGGGGAGTGCCCACGGCTGGTGAAGCAAGCATTGTCCGGACCAGACAGGTCATGGAAGTGCAGGCTGCAGGTTGCTGTGCTGGGAAGGGGGACTGGGACAGTGGCACCATCATAGGCCTGCGTAGCAGCTTCTAGACAGTGGCTTCTAAACCAGTGCTGGGTCTCTTCAGCACCTCTGGCCGAACTCCTTGACGCCCACACTAAGTGAGGTGTCTCCAAGAGAGGGGGACGTCTCCCCAGGGGGCTGAGAGCAGCGTGTCTGGTTTCACTGGCTTCAGTTCCTGGGAAGGAGCTGTGTCTGGATACCTTCTCTGAGCCCTCTGCATGAGACTGGCTGTCGGAGGGGCAACTCCAGTTGACCAAGGGCGCTGTGCCAAGCCGCAGAGTGGCCAGGAAGTGCAGTGGGTAGGGGCAGGGATCAGATGGTACTTCTTCACTGAGTGGCTGGAGGCACATTACTTAACCCCTCCCTGTCCTCAGTTTCCTTATCTATGAAGTGGGCATCCCAACAGTGTCTACACCCAGGTTGGTGCGCTCAGTTCAGTCATTCCAGATGGAGCCATGCGAGGGTTGGCCTCGTCCTCGTGACAGTTCACAGGTGGGTGGGGGTCCTATTCCCCAGGCTGCTCGGGTCCCCCAGGGCTTGCCCAGGTGAGCCATGGTGGAGGTGCTGGCTGGGATGGGGACCCCTCAGTCACATTTGATCACCAGCTGTGTGGTCTTAGGATGGTGACCTCAGCCCCGAGCCTCAGTTGATTGGCCTATAAGGTAGTCGCCTGGGCCACTGAGGACCAAATGAGGGGACTGTGGGACCCACTGGGCACCTCGGTAGGGAGGAAGTGCATCCCAGGGGACCTAAGCTCATGCCCAAACCCTTCCCTCAAAACCCCTAGAGGCCGCTCCCTGCCTTGGTGAAACTGACCAGACCAGCCTAGACAGTTGATAAGGGCGCCTGGGCCCTTCCTGTCCCGGCCACCCTCCCCCACTCCAGGCCCCGAACAAACAGTGTGTTCCTGACTGGCCGCCCCTGCCCAGGGCCAGGTTGTTTTGTCTTGGCCTTCGCATGGCAGGGCCCCTGGTGTCAGGTGACAGCCACACAGGGAAGGCCAGGTTGCTGCCACAGCCTGGAATCTGAGCTGACCACACCCAGTGCGGGGCAGTGCCAGCCAGGCAGGCAGGCAGGCATGCTCCCCATGGTTCCAGGCAGCCCTCCTTCCTGCCCCCTCAGCACTTGCTAGGGATTCCTCCACATTTGATCTTGGATGAAGTCCCCCTTGTGGGGGGCAGGATGAAGGGTCCCCATCAGATCTGACAAACAGCCTCTTCCCTCTCCCCTCCCAGAACCTGAAATGGGGTCCTGGAGCCAGCCCGAGACAGATGGGGCTTCCTCTCCCGCACAGGGCTAATGTGGCAGTTCCGGTGGCTCATACAAATCTCTCCTTTCCCAACTGCCTGTCAAAAGAGTTCATTGTCTTCTCCTCTCTTGGTAGAAGTCACCTGAGCCAGGTAGCAGGGTTGGGACAGGGCCCAGTAGGCTGGATGCTGAGCCTGGGAGGTAGTGGAGGACTGTTAGGCAATGGTCAACCTCCTGGCTTGAACCTGAGCTGGAGAAGGCTGGGGTCTCAGGCTGGACCCCTGGGCCTGCTGTCCTTGGGCCAAGCTCTTGCCCCACCCTTTGTCCTTGCTGGATGGATGACACACAGTTGCTCTGTGCCTGGGAAGTCACACAGTAGACCACTCTGGGGCTGAGCCCACCCTCCTGTGCCCTGGGGGGATGAGGTCTTTGTCCATGTGGATGTTGTTAGGAGTTGGGAGGGGCAACCAAGGAATGGGGTGGGCATCTGAGGTTGGGGGGACAGCTAGAGCTTAGGCTGGAGATGCCTTGTGCAAATCTCCTGCTTCCCCAGGCTGCTTGGGTCCCAGGTTCTAACTCCTCCCTGTCCCATCAATTAACTGACCTCAGTCCTCTCCCAGCTCCAAATCCCTTCCTTCCCAGCAAGACCCCCTGGGACTCTCAGGACTGACCAGGGACCCCCATACCTCCTTGCTCAACCCAACTCAACTTTACCTGTCATGATATAATTGCTTCACTCAGGGATTTGTGGGCCTTATTTGCATGTCCACCTCCCCTCCCTGGACCTGGGGAACCTGCTGTCACACACTATTTACATTTAAGTCCACTCTCTTGGCCTCTGGCCAGGTAAGGTCACCATGAAATTCTCTCCCCTTATTTTGTTCTTAGGGACGCTTGCTCCCTTCTCCATGTTGTTAACTTGGAGGAGATGCCCCAAAGGATACAAAGTAATGATGGAGAACCTCAGAAGGAAGCCCAGCCTATGGGGCAAGGCCTGCGTGCCCTGGGGTGAGCAGAGCCTTTCAGCCACTATCAGGCAATTTTTGATGTTCCTAGTATTCCAGTTGAGGACAGCCTTGTTCAATGCAGTCATGGACACTGTCCCACTCCACTTAGGAGACAGGAAATGAGGCTCAGGGAGGTTCTGTAACTTGCCTATGTCCAGAGGCATTTTAAGTGGCAGAGGGGGATTCAAAGTTTAATGTGCCTGACTCGGTCGCTAGAGCCTATGGAAAAGGTGGAGATGGGAGGGAGGGGTTCCCAGGACCCAGAAGGAAATGAGGAATGAGTATGAGTGATTCAGTGATGGGCCGGATCTGCAGCTGGGGTGGCACAGGTGAGGTGTTCAGAGAGCTTCCCGCACGAGTTATGTGAGTCGATGGATAACGTGTGGCCTGAAAGCCTGACAAAAGCCGCAGGCTGGGCTGTTGTCTCTTTGGCTTGTCTTCCCTGCTGGCGTCAAAACTGTCTAGGGCACTGCCTTGGTCCAATGAGAATATAGTATGAGCCACATATGTAATTTAAAAGAAGTCACATTGCAAACATTTTTAAACACGTGAAATTAATTTTGATAACACTGTTTAGCCTAATATATCCAAGATATTATTGTTCTCACATGTGCTTTCAGTATAAATCAGTGAGACTTTTTTCATTTTGCTTTTTTCTCATACAAAGTCTTTGAAATCCCAAGTGTATTTTATACTTAGAATGCATCTCAATTCAGACATGAAATTTTCTTTGGAAATATATGATGTGTATTTAGAGTTTTGGAGATTGAAAAAGTTGAAAAAGGAGATTAAAAGCTTGGACTGCCTGACTCCAGCCTCTGTTCCTTTGGAACCCAGAACCCTATAGATTTCCCCCAACATCTGAAAGTAAAAAATGCATTCCTGTGACACCTTTGTAAGCCAAATCTAAAGCAAAGAAGTAATTACTATTAATTTATGTAACATTTCTAGCATTCCCAGACCCAAAAAAGCATCTCTCTTAGGCTTTTCTCCTACCTTAGGACACATCTTGCTAAAGGATACACAAAATAAATGGAGATAAACTGCCCAGGGATGGCCACACGGCCAAGGACTGGGTCAGAAGTGAGCTGAGCATGGGGCCCAGGCAGGTCTGCAATTGGCATGCTCAGTAGGAATCCGAGTGTGACCGAATTCCTCCTTCCTGCTGGGGATGGCTCAGCCATGGAGGGGCAGAGGGGTTGTGTCTGCAGGCCCATGCCCGTGTGGTTCTTGTTGCAGATGGTGGCGCATGGCTTCCCATGATCACAGACACCATTCACACGGTGACAGTTTGATGCTGGGATGCTGGTTCCTGGGGAAGCTGCTTGGAAGGGGGCCGCTCTCACTGCTGGCCCTGCGAGCTGCCTCTATAAAATCTCTGTCAAACAGACATCAAAAGCTATTTGCTTTTTTTGCCTTTTTTTACAAAAGTGAAAATCCTCTATGGATTTCTTTCGGTTAGTGAAATCAGGTTTCCATGTAGGTCTTTTGTAAAAGCGAAGTGATATAATACGAACCTTTAAAAGCGGGGATACCTATACCTGTAAAATTTTCCAGTAACTGAATTGAGTGTTCATTCTTAAATTTAAATCCATTAAAATTAAAATTACAAGTTCATTTCCTTAGTGATGCTAGCAACACTGCAAGTGCTTAGGGTCTACTCATGGCTCATGACTGTTGTGCTGGGCAACTCGGGGTGTGGGCCTCCTGGTAGCCACCGGGCTCCTGCAGGACATTTCTCCCACAATCTGCCACATTCCAGAGGCTTTGGCTTTGATTGGCTGCTGGCTGTGCTGCCATTCCATGGACCTTTTCGGAGCTCTGGCTACTGACTTCCTGAGGCCCCTTCAACCTGGGGCTGGCTGAGGCCTAGCAGGGCCCCTGGGGAAGCTTGTCCCACACATCCCATCACATGCCCTGCCTTTTTTTTCCTGGGAAATGTTTACATTCCAGACACTCCCGCTATCTCCCCAAGGCTTTTCCAGGCTCTGCATTTTTTGCATAGCTCAACAGGGACCTGGGCTAGCCAGAGGGTTCCTACCAGGTCCTGCGGGTCACTTCTGCCCTCTCAGCTATCTCCTCCAGGTAGAGCCATTTGCAAGGTAGACTGTGTTCCTGGCAAAGAGCCAGGCCTGGGGGCACCCATCCAATTATGCCTCCCCAGGTGTCCCCAGAACAGGCACTCTGTGGAGTTCTCCTCCCTGGCCTGACCCCAGTACAGAGCCTCCTTCCGTGAAGGACTAAATTGGACTGGACTGGTCTGGGCAGGCAGGCGGGCTGAGCTATCAAGCCAGCTGTCACCAGGACTTATCTCTCTCTCCTCCTTTGAGACCTGATGGGATAGCCAAGTAAAGCCCAGAGGAGAGCTCTGGGCCTAAGGAGAACTGCCTTGGTGCAACATTTTTCTGCTAGGCAGTCTCCATAGTTAAAGAAAAAAAGTCTTGAAAGCAGCTGGCTGGCATCCATTACCCTGCTTTAATCTAGCTCTACGGGTTCAGTATCCCCTAGGGAGGTAGGGTTAAGTTGATAAAGAAACAACCAAGAACCTCTGGAAAACTATTTGACAATCTATATGTATAGTGTTTTCAGCCATACCTTTTTTTTTTAAAAAACAGTTGATATACGTACATAGTTGATACATGTATACATCCATGGCTTTTTAACCTGTGATTCCACCCTGGGACCTCTGCCTAAGGAAAGACTCAGAGTTGCAGGCAAAGATAGAGTCAAGAATAGTTAGCAGTGCAACTGGGAATTGCAAATCCTCTAGAAACAAACTCTTCAACTGCAGAGGCCTGGTGAGGTAAGGCCACCTCCACATGGGGAATATTCTAAGTCATCTTAGCGCTTTTAAGCCCCTGGGTCTGCTGCCGTTGGGGAACAAGCTACAGAGCTCTGCACGTATGCATGTATCCACATGGCATGCTCCCCACCAGGTCTCTGTGTTTTTGGTATAGACAAGCACATGCAGAAGTCACAGGCAGGCTCAGGCAGCACTCAACACTCTGAGATGGTAGCAAAGGTTACTTCCAGTTGTGGGGGGTTTATTTCCTTTTTCAAACTCCTTGATAGGTTTCAAGTTTTCTACAGTGTGTCTTGCTTCTATAATGAGCGATGAGCAACAGCATGTGTCTTTAACGCACTCCAGAAGCTTCCTGTCTGGAAAGTGGTAGAGGGGAACCAGGGACAGAGGGCACTCGAGAGAGCAGATGTTCAGCGTTAGGAGGCTCAGATGGCGCAGAGGCAGGAAGGGACTGCCCTGGGGCTATGGTGCAATGAGTGCCTCCACTGTGCCAGCCGCCCAAAACTTCCCTTGCCTCTGTACCCCTGCAGGAGGGCTGGGTTGGTTACCCACAGTAAGTGTGCTGGAGGAACTGAGTCAGTTCCTAGAGAACATCAAGTGGCCAGGGTGGTGCCGAGAGAATAAACACCCAAGGATGGCCACACAGTCAAGGACCGGATTAGAAACAGACTGTGTGTGGGGCCCAGACGGGTCTGGGATTGGCTGCACACTTGGGGTCTGTGTAGGAACTTGAACGTGACCGAATTCCTCCTTCCCACTGGGGGATGGCTCAGCTGTGCAGGAGGGGGAGAGGGGATGCAGCTGCAAGCCCCTGCCCATGTGGTTCTTGTTGCAGACGGTGGAGCATGGCTTCCCGCACCAGCCCAGCGCCCTTGGCTACAGTCCCTCTCTTCGCATCCTGGCCATCGGCACCCGCTCCGGAGCCGTCAAGCTGTATCCTTTCCCTTCTCCCAGCTCCCACGCAGGGAGGCCCTGGAATGGGTAGGGCATTAGCATTGGTGAGGTTTAGGAAAGACCTCTGCCCTCCAAAAAACCAAGTTGCAGATAACCCCACCTATTTCTGTGATGTTCCAAATATCCTCTTAGGAGTCAGCCTTGAATGTAGTAAGTGGTGGGGGCAGGTGATGGGCCAAGAAACTTTAAACACAAAACACTTTCCAGTAAGAGTCAGTAGGCTGGCACCAGGGTTCTGTCCAAACTGGGGTGGCCAGATTCTACTCCATACCATGCACCCCCTCTATGTACACATACATGCACGCCGGAGAAGAACAGAGTCCTGGGCAGCAGACAGTTCTTCTCTGGCGTGAGGCTGGGCATGATTCAGTAGGGTCATCTTTTTCCAAAGCATTTGTTCTGGGCCGATGGGACTTCCGGGCCATTTCCAGAGCAGGCCCACAGGTTCCAGGACAGAAGATTGCTGCTTGGGCCATCTGGCTGGCTCAGGCTGTAAGCCTTTGAGTTCCCCATCCCTAAACCTGACCTGAGCCCCCACAGTGAGACAGGGTGGCACCTGGGGGAGGCTGCCACAGAGGCCCAGCTGGCACATCCACCAGTGAAGCTGTGACTCCCCCGGTTCCTCTCTGCTGTGGCAGGGGCACTGGGAGTGGCATGGGTGCCACCTTGGGCTGGGCTGGGACTGCGCTCCCACTGCCGGCTCAGCACTCCCCCAGCTGGCTAATCATTGCCAGGCCACGGCCCTACCCTGGTTACCTATCCTGGTGCTAAGCCTCTAGCCATGGCCACTGAGGGTGGGCCCACAGGCACCCTGTACATCTCACAGGTGCCACCTTGCAGCAGCTGATGGGTCTGTCACAGCTCAGGATGGGGGCGGGGTGCAGTGAGCAGCCTAACAGTTGCCAAGATAAGGCTTCATTGTCCCTTCTAAGGAGTTGCCCCCACCCGCCTGGCTAGGAGAGCTCTCCCTCCCTAGCTGGATCTGGCCCTACCTCCGGGGTCAGGTCACGGGCTGAGTGCCTCTCAGGCCAGCGCCACTGCTCTCTGGGCAGAGGGTGAGCCCTTCTCTGCTGCCCAGGTATTTGCATTCCTTGCCGTGTGGGCCCTGAGGTCCTGGCACTTGGGTGGGTGAAGGGTGGTGACTGCGTTCTGGAGCTTTTCCTGAGCCTGCTGCTCCCAGCTATGGTGCCCCCGGGGTGGAGTTCATGGGGCTGCACCGGGAGAACAACGCGGTGGTACAGGTTCACTTCCTGCCTGGCCAGGTGAGGGGCCCCTCCACCCACTTCCTACTGTCGCCTTCCAGGAGGTGTGTGGGGAGAGGCAGGCATCTGGCAGCCCTGGGCTTTGTGCTGACGGGAGGACCTGGGACCACCTCCTTTTCCCCAGCTGTGCCTCAAGGGCCATGCCAAGAATAGCTGGGGTCCTTTGGTCCTGGGGCTCTCTGACAGAACCGGGGCAGGCTGGACCACTCAGTGTGTGAAATAAAGGCCGTGGTGCATGCTGGCCCCATCGACGAGACAGTGTGCCCCTGTCCCTGTCCCGTTCCCTCCCTAGTGCCAGCTGGTTACCCTGCTGGATGACAATAGCCTGCACCTGTGGAGCCTGAAGGTCAAAGGCGGGGTGTCAGAGCTGCAGGAAGATGAGAGTTTCATGCTGCGTGGCCCCCCAGGGTAAGGACTTGGTTCCCTTCCTCTCCCAGCCAGCCTGACCCATGCACCCAAATCCAGGGTGAGGTCACCCTTTGAAGGTCCTGTGGAGCCCTTGGTGGCCTTGGCAGTTTGAGCCAATGCTTGTCCACCTGCAGGTGCTCTGGGAGGAGTGGGCAGGGCCACAGCCTGCCTCCTTCCAACCCCATAGTGTCTGCACAGGAGGCTCGGAGGGATTATTTTCTGCCTCCTAGCCCAAGTGGGCTGCCCTCCGTCTCCTGTCTTGGCAGAAAGTAACCTTGTGTTTGTCCTGATCCGACACCACTGGACCCTGTTAGAGAGTGCACAGGCCTGCTTTTCCTAGGCATGTCTTCCCTGGGGCCAGTGCGGGCAGCCAGCAGCCAGGGGATGCTATCCACAGGCTCTCCCCTGCCTGGGCAGCAGCCAGCTCATAGGCAGCCATTCCCATCTGCAGGGCTGCCCCCAGTGCCACACAGATCACTGTGGTCCTGCCACATTCCTCTCAAGAGCTACTTTACCTGGGCACGGAAAGTGGCAACGTGTTTGTGGTACAGCTGCCAGCCTTCCACACACTGGAGGACCAGACCATCAGCTCGGACGCCGTGCTGCAGCGGTGAGCCCAGAGACCCTGCTGCCGTTAGGGATCTGTGCCCTCGGGTGGGGCGTGGCTCTCTCCCTTTGGTCCCAGTAGGGTCCCAGGAGCTAATGCCTTCTTTCCTGGTAAGTCTGGAGGGACGGAGGAGAGATTCTCAGCTCCCCATCCATCCCCCAAATTGAGACTCTCACCCCGTAATGTGTCAGCATCAAAGCACTAAAAGGGGCCTTGAAGGCAGCCTGTCTCTCATTTAAAGATGAGGAAAAAGAGGCCTTAAAAAGATTGTGTGATATCACCAACTTTTAGTCCAGCATTCTTTTTACTGACACCATGTATCTGAAAACCCCAGGGACTCTGCAGTGGGACAGATGGGGTCCAAACCTCCCTGCGTAAGGCAGGGAAGCTTCTGCTGATATTTATGCTTTGGAGTCTGTGCTAAGTTTCTGTTCGCCCACAGGCTCCATGGCCACAAATCCTGCCAGCCCCAACTCTGTAGGTTTCTTCAGGCCTTTTTGGAAACTTTATTCCTTGACAGTGGTAGACAGGGAGCCAGATGAGGTCTGGGTGTGGAGGAGTGGATAGGACCCAGAAAGAGAGGAGGTGAGAGTTGGTTGGGTGGGATGTTCTGCGGTTCTGAGGAACAGAGCAGGAGCCAGGGTCCGGACCTGTGGAGCTGCTTCAGGCTCAAGCTGGCGGGCCCTGCTCCTGAAAAAAACAGGCTACTAACACATTCACAGCCATCAGGCCCCCGGTCTCAGGCCCAGCTGTCCAGCGCCGAGCATTGCTGGGCTGAAGGATTCCTGCTTGGGGCTGGGTCCGAGTGCAAACCTCTTGTCTTTCCTGCTTGGCAGGGTAGTATCAGAGCAGCATGACCATGATCAGAACAGGACTGTTTTCAGGATAGCAAGCACAGCTGGCTCTTGGCTGGGCACCCAGTCTGTGGGCAGGACAGTGGGAGGGCCTGCCGGTGCCCACCTCACTCCATGCTGGTGGGAACCTAGTTAGGGAGGGACCTTTCTCTGGGCCATGCCTATCCCACTGCGCTTTCCTGGTCTGAGTGCCCTGGGAACCCCTCCTACCATACTAAATCCTTGTTCTAAATGTAGAGAGGTTTGGTTTGGGGCATAGAAATACCCTCAGGATCCAGGCCGTTTGCATTTCCTCCTTGCCACCCCCAGTGTGGGCTCTTGGTCCCATGCCTGCCTGTCACAGTCTTCTGTCACATTAGCATTCCAGGCCCAGAGAAGGAGGCGAGGGTCAAAGCTTAAGGCCAAGCCAACTAATAGAATTTTACTTTGTGTGTTTTAAAAAGTTTTTTATTACAAAATACCACCTCCTTACAGAAATGCCCTAAGTATGAATATACAGTTTAACAGATCCTTGTAAGCTCCCCTTCAACTACCATCAGGAAAATAGAACTTTGCCAGCTCCCCAGGACCCTGTGTGCCCTTCCCAGTCATGACTCCCTCCCTCCCCTAGAGGTAACCATGACATTGACTTTTCTAGAAATCGCTTTCTTGCCGTTCCTTCTAGCTGTGCCGTGTGCATTTGCATTGTGTGTGGTTTTTATCTATCACTGCCTTGCTCCGTGCACTGCTTCTCTCTCCCCTTGGTGGTTTGTCCTTGCAGTCTTTCCATGCTGGCCCACTCAGTGCCCACTGCTGCTCAGAATGCTGCGTGTGGCTGTGCTGTGCTTGGCCGTGCCCCGCCGGTGGTCAGCCGCGTGGGCTCATGGCACTCCCCTTGTCCAGGTTGCCGGAGGAGGCCCGCCATCGGCGGGTGTTTGAAATGGTGGAGGCCCTGCAGGAGCACCCCCGAAACCCCACCCAGGTCCTCATCGGCTACAGCCGGGGCCTCGTCGTTGTCTGGGACCTGCAGGGCAGCCGTGTGCTCTGCCATTTCCTCAGCAGCCAGGTAGGCGGTGGCTGGGATGGGGGCAGGCACCACGTGGCTCTCCCAGACTGCACACATCACCTACAGCCCTGGCGGAGGTGCAGGGGTGCAGGGATGGGGTCGTTGGGACCGCCGCCCTGACTTCAGCCTGCGCACTCTGCTCTCCCTCTCCTCTGAAGCAACTGGAGAATGTCTGCTGGCAGCGGGACGGCCGCCTGATTGTCAGCTGCCATTCCGACGGCAGCTATTGTCAGTGGCCCGTGTCCAGCGACACCCAGCAGCCAGAGCCCCTGCGCAACTGCATGCCTTATGGTCAGTGGTGCCCCCACCAAGCACAGGGCCTGGTCCTGCCCTGTCACTTGGGACCATCTTTCAGTCAGCAAAGCATCCTCTCTTGCCAGTCCATTTTGCCTGCATGCAGGGGTGGGTACCCAGCTCACAGAGGCAAAACCTGGGGCCCAGAGAGGTGCAGGCCTTGTTCAAAGCCACACAGCAGGTTGTCTGATACCCACTGTGGCTCTCTTAGTGAACTGCTCAGAACAAGACCCCCAATCAGAGGTCCACTCGGTGGGTGCGGGTGTGAGGGATTTGTGCCTGAGTGGACTCACATGCCCCTAACAGTGGGAGGCCCACTCAAGCTAATTCCTTTTATTTTAGGTCCTTTTCCTTGCAAAGCTATTACCAAAATCTTCTGGCTGACCACCAAGCAGGGGTAGGTATCATGCTCTGTTCCTTTCCAGAGCCTTCCTGGAAGGCTGGAAAGGCTGCTCAGGCCTCTGCTCGGGGAGGTGGTGCCTAGCGAATGCTTCTGAGCCCCATGTCAGGGTCTCGGACTACAGGGAGACGAGGCCATTTGTACCTCTCATGGCTAATTCCTGACAAAATATTCCCAGTCTTTCCCTCCCACCCTCCCAGAGAGAGGTTTCAGACTCTGTTTTAATAACAGGCCTGTTTCTTCAAACAGAATCGTATAGGAAGACCTAGTGTATCAGCAGAAACTAGGGGGGTGCTCTCATTCAAGCAGGGGGCAAGTCTCGTTGCAGACTCAGAAGCCACAGCCTGTGTGCCCCCACCTCACCACCAAGGGCTCCAGGCTGCTGTGGTCAGGAAGAGTTGGGGTCTACCCCACCCCTCCTGGGGACCTCGGGTGAGCGTTCACCCTGAGACTGGCCTCCCTCCCAGGGCCTGCCACTTTGGCTGGCACTGAAAATTCCAAGCTGCCAGTGCATCCCGTGGCTCTCAGGGGTTGTCAGGAGCCCCAGCCCACCCCACCCCACCTTCTGTGCCTGTCAGGTTGCCCTTCACCATCTTCCAGGGTGGCATGCCACGGGCCAGCTATGGGGACCGCCACTGCATCTCGGTGGTGCACGACGGCCAGCAGACAGCCTTCGACTTCACCTCCCGTGTCATCGACTTTACTGTCCTCACTGAGGTGGACCCTGCCGCTGGTAGGCGAGCTTCAGGAGTGGGCATGGAGGGCTAGCTGCTGCACGGTGTCGGGGTGCAGGCCTGTCCAGAGATGAAGAGGAGGGGCCTGCCTGGGTGTTCCAACTGCCACACCCTGAATCCCTCAGCCCCACTGCACCCCTTTGTAGTGCCACCGAGGCCAGCAGCTGTAGTCAGGCCCTTTCTCTCCCTCCTGCCAGCCTGTGGCTTCATCCTTTGTCCTTGCCTGGCTCTGATGGGGCTTAGTGAAAAACGGGCAGGTCTGTACCGTGGTTTAACACCCACCCAGCTGAGGCAAGGGGGTCCTGGCTTGGTCCTGGTGAAGCCCGCCATGTGGTGTGGGGCCAGCTCCGAGCCAGCCTCTTGGAGCTCAACCAGGACAGCATAGCCCTGAGTCAACCTCATAAATTGGGTGACAGACGAGACGAGAAAGGGCTGATGTGGAAGCCTGGAAAGGAGGCCTGGTGGGAGAACGGCAGGAGGGTGGGCCTCTCCAAATGCCTGTGACCTGACCAGGCCCTGGGCCTCCAGGTGAGCGGAGCAGGCCTGCTCAGGACACCCTGGGCTACATTCTCCTGGCTTTGCCACCACAAGGCCATTTGGAGGGGGAGCTCCAAACCTGCTTTCCTCCTTTCTCAGCCTCCTCTCGCCTCGCATCTGACACAGGCTGCTGGGAGCAGGGTCTAGTCTGTGGTCAGTTCTTTTGGATTTTCTTACATAGGTGATGATGTCATCTGTGAACAAAGACAGTGTTATTTCTTCCTTCCCAATCTGTGTTCCTTTCATCTCCTTTTGTTGTCTTACTAAAATATTATCTGTCAATAAGATTTCTTTTTTATCCTGTTGATGTGATGGCTTACATTAATTGGCTATCAAATGTTGAAGCAGCCTTGCACACCAGGGATAAATCCCACTTGGTCATGGCATATAATTTTCTTTATACATTGTTAGATTTGGAGCTTGTTTTTAAAATGCAGATTCCCTGGCTTCAACCTTAGAGCTTCAGGTCCCATGGGGCCACACTGGGCAGACTTCTCCTGCAGCCCCTCACCTGTGGCCTGTTACCCCCAGCCTTCGATGAGCCCTGTGCCTTGGTGGTGCTAGCCGAGGAGGAGCTGGTGCTGATTGACCTGCAGACGGCTGGGTGGCCAGTAGTCCAGCCTCCCTACCTGGCCTCCCTGCACTGCTCTGCCATCACCTGCTCCCACCACGTCTCCAACATCCCCCTGAAGCTGTGGGAGCGGATCATCGCCGCTGGCAGCCGGCAGAACACACACTTCTCCAGCATGGTAGGTCGTGCGCCCACCCCAGCCCTGCCTCAGGGCTGAGCTCTCCCATGACTTGCCGGTCTCATTCTCTAGGAGTGGCCTATCGATGGTGGCACCAGCCTGGCCCCAGCCCCACCCCAGAGGGACCTGCTGCTCACAGGGTAGGTAACTTGGAGGGTACTCTCTTTAATAGGATATGCAGAGGGTAGGAGCAGAGCCCAGAGTGGTGCATGCCCCTCCCGGGTACCCTGGCCCTGCACCCCCTTACGGCTGACAGGCAGGCTCTGCCCACAGGCATGAGGATGGCACTGTGCGATTCTGGGATGCCTCTGGTGTCTGCTTGCGGCTACTCTACAAGCTCAGCACGGTGCGAGTGTTTCTCACTGACACAGACCCCAGTGAAAACCTCAGTGCCCAGGGTGAGGACGAATGGCCCCCTCTCCGCAAGGTGAGACCAGGAGCCTAGGAACCCTGGTGGGCAGGGCAGGCTGCGGCTGGTGCTTATGACCACTCATGGGCCTCCTCTCCCTTGTCAGGTGGGCTCCTTTGACCCTTACAGTGACGATCCCCGGCTGGGCATCCAGAAGATTTTCCTCTGCAAATACAGTGGTTATCTGGCTGTGGCAGGCACAGCAGGGCAGGTACCAGGCCGGGCTGAGGGTGGGAGCAGTGGGCAGGAGTGATTAGGTGGCTTCACGCAGCATCCAGGCCCATGAACTTCCTTCGCAGGATGGGGGTGGGGGCAGCAGGAACAATAAGCAGCTCCCCGAGCGCCCACCGATGGTGTCAGCAAGAGCACCGTCTGTCCTGTGGCTCCAGGCTTCCCCAGTGCATAGAGATTGCCTGATCCCAAGACAGGGATGCCTTTGAGGGAGCTGTTGTCCTCTCAAAATCAGAATTAAGGGCTGATGATTGGACAGAGGCTTTTGGACCCTGGCCCTTGTCGTGGGGGCCAGGTCCTTTGCTTCCCCCTTCTCCACCAGCAGGGTCCCTTGGCATGGGGGTTGCCCAGACCATCACTGCCCTTCCTAGGTGCTGGTGCTGGAGCTGAATGACGAGGAGGCAGAGCACGCTGTGGAGCAGGTAGAGGCTGACCTGCTGCAGGACCAGGAGGGCTACCGCTGGAAGGGGCACGAGCGTCTGTGTGCCCGCCCGGTGCCCGTGCACTTTGAGCCTGGCTTCCAGCCTTTTGTGTTGGTGCAGTGCCAGCCCCCGGCTGTGGTCACCTCCTTGGCCCTGCACTCCGAGTGGCGGCTTGTGGCCTTCGGCACAAGTCATGGCTTTGGCCTCTTTGACCACCAGCAGCGGCGGCAGGTTTTTGTCAAGTGAGCAGCCCTCCTGGGGTGGCCGGGGCCCAGGTCTGGGAGTGGCACCCGATGAGAACACTCAGGCCCTGGCAGCACTCACAGCCTAACATCCCCTCCAGGTGCACACTGCACCCCAGTGACCAGCTAGCCCTGGAGGGCCCACTGTCCCGTGTGAAGTCCCTAAAGAAGTCCCTGCGCCAGTCCTTCCGCCGAATACGTCGAAGCCGGGTGTCCAGCAGGAAGCGGCGGCCAGCTGGGCCCCCAGGAGAGGTAAGGCCGAGGCCAGCTATGATCCAGAGCAGAGCTCAGAGCAGCCATAAGTGGGTCTGAACTACCTCTTCTGCCCCGGCTTGCTTTGTCTGCAAGCAAGGCTCTGAGCCACACAGTGGAGGCTCACGTCCTGCCCACAACCCACCAACTATGTGGCCTCAGATATGTCACCATTGCTTCTCTGTGTCTTGGCTTCCCCAAGAGTTAAAGGAAATGATTGTAACACCTTGGGGTCAATCCTCAGTAAATATTCCCAGGCAGGTGGTGGCATGAGCTGTAGCCAGTGTTCCCCTGGAAGGATTGGTGGGGAGCAATCCGATGTCTACACCAGAGGGGGCAGGGAGAGAGGGGAGGCGAGAGCCGCACCTCAGGCCCAGCCCAACCCACAGCAGGTGCAGGAGGGAAGCGCCAGGGCAGAGCGGCCGGGCCTGCAGAACATGGAGCTAGCACCCGTGCAGCGGAAGATCGAGGCCCGCTCAGCAGAGGACTCCTTCACTGGCTTTGTCCGGACCCTCTACTTTGCTGACACCTACCTGAGAGACAGTGAGTGCTTAGGCAGAGGTCTGCCTGACTGGTGGTGCTATTAAAAGGGGTTCCCTTTGCCGGCAGGGGGAGACTGGAGCCCCGCCTGCCTCCTTCCCTCCCCTTCCCGGGTCTCCAAGTCAGGTTGCCCGGCTTTCACATCTAGGCTCGACAGTCCTCCAGAAGTGCGGCCTTGGACACGTCACCTTGCCTTTCTGGGTCTCAGCTTCTCCCCCTGTAAAATGGGGGACTGTCTTCCTGCCAGAGTGCTGTGAGGGTTGGTGCCTGCTGGTACCCAGTGGGCCCTGCAGAAGCTCTCTGGCTGCTCACCCCTGCTGCACTCCTGCCAGGGCAAGGGTGCATGGTCGGGGGCTGTCTGCAGCTGTCCTGGGTTTGGGATCATTCATGCTTGGGCCTCTTGGTTGTCAGTGTTCCCAGCCTTTCCTGTCTACACCCCAGGAGGCAGGTAGCACCCACAGCACTCTATTTGGTATAGGAGGATGCTAAGGCTTATGAGGTTTGCTGACTTGATCCTATAGTCACACAGGACTTGAGTAGCAAGGCCAGGATTTAAGTCCAGGTCACCTGGCTTCACCTGACCCTCAGAGCCAGGGGTTAGATATAAGCCTTTGCTTCTTGGCAGGCTCCCGCCACTGTCCCTCGCTGTGGGCCGGCACCAATGGGGGCACTGTCTACGCCTTCGCCCTGCGTGTGCCCCCTGCTGAGCGGAGAATGGATGAGCTGGTTCGGGCAGAGCAGGGTGAGTGCTAGGCAGGGGGAGAGCAGAGGATGCTCGCTCACCTAGGCTGGGGGCAGGGTGGTGTCTTCAGCCTCGCCGCCTGCCTGACCACCAGCTGCCTCCTTCCCGGTAGCTAAGGAGATCCAGCTGATGCACCGAGCACCCGTGGTGGGCATCCTGGTGCTGGACGGACATCACGTTCCCCTTCCTGAGCCCCTGGAAGTGGCGCATGACCTGTCGAAGAGCCCGGACATGCAGGGAAGCCACCAGTTGCTCGTTGTGTCAGAGGAGCAGTTCAAGGTGTCTCTTGGGTGAAGGCAGGGTCCCACAGCAATCTCCGGGACATCCAGGGGCTCAGAGTCTGGCACAAATGCCAATGGCTGGGACTCACTTAAAGTTGTATTTTCAGTTGGTATGTGAGGGGGGGCTGTGGAGGCACAGGAAAAGAATGGGGTCTTGGTGGAGTCCCTGGGCCCAGGGTCAGCAGTGGGGACACTGAAGCAGACCTGTGTCTGTGGGAGGGACAGAAAACAGAGACGTGGATATGTGGCCTTGGCATTCCTTGCAGTCCAAGTACACGCTGAGGGAACACCAAGGCTGAGCAGGCTTTGCTGGGAAGCAGGGCCCAGAGGCGGCGCCAGGCAGAGAAACGAGAGGTCCTTGCTTGGCTGGTCAGAGCACTGCACACTGGTCCAGCCGTGGGTGTGACCGGCTGCCCTGTGCTCCCAGGTATTCACACTGCCCAAGGTGAGTGCCAAGCTGAAGCTAAAGCTGACCGCCCTGGAGGGCTCACGGATACGGCGCATCAGCGTGGCCCACTTTGGCAGCTGTCGAGCTGAGGACTATGGGGAGCATCACCTGGCTGTCCTTACCAACTTGGGCGACATCCAGGTGGTCTCGTTGCCCCTGCTCAAGCCCCAGGTGCGTTACAGCTGCATCCGCCGGGAGGATGTCAGTGGCATCGCCTCCTGCGTCTTCACCAAATACGGCCAAGGTACACACGGGCAGGTGCATCTGGGACCTCTGCAGGCAGCACAGGGTGGGGGCTGCCCCTGCATCTCCAGGGCTGCTGGGAAGGGCAGCCAGGGGCGCTGTGGCCAGGGCCAGGCTGGATTGGCCTGAGGGAGAGAGCTGCAAGCGAGGCTCTGGCCCCTGACATCCCCTGGGAGGGAGGCCTGGCTGGCCTCACCTGCAGGCTTCTTCCACCACCCAGGTTTCTACCTGATCTCCCCCTCGGAGTTTGAGCGCTTCTCTCTCTCTACCAAGTGGCTGGTTGAGCCCCGGTGTCTGGTGGATTCAGCAGAAGCCAAGAACCACAGCCACCCCCGCAACAGATCAGGCCATGAGAAGGCTGTGGGCCGTGCCAGGTCTGTAAAAGTGCCTTAGCCCCAGCACTGACCTCCACCAGGCAAACGTGGGGGGCTAGCCAGGGTCCTGCTCCCCTCTGAGCTTAGCCCACCCTCCCAGTCCTGGTTCTTTGCCCCACTTCACATGCCCCTCCCCCTAGGCAAGCTGCCATCCAGGGCAGGGCTTGGTTTACCTCCTGGGGGCCCTTGCTCAGGGCAGGCCAGGCCAGTTGGCCTCATTCTTCATGCGACCAGGGCTTTCTGAGCCAGCTGGCGAGCCTGCTGGCCCCCCGGTCCTCACCATCTCTCTTCCCACAGGATCTCAGGGAGCCAGAGTGGTGGAGAGGGTAAGGCAGGCCTCTGGGGCCGGGGACGCGTGGGGGCAGAGGCGTGGCGAGCACACCTGGGACTGGGAGGTGGGGAAGGGGCCTCAGGCGAGCAGGTGGCGCTCAGGTTGGGAGCAGAAGCAGCATCCCTTGTGTCCTGGACAAGGACGGATCTGGGGCAGAGGGCCCAGGGCTCGCCTGACCTGGCTTCTACCCTCCAGAGAGGAGGCCTGGCCTCGTGATGGAGCATGCTCTGCTGAGTGATGAGAGTGAGTCCGGGCGGGAGTTGGTGGGCTGGTGCGCGGGCTGCTCCCAGAGGAGGCTTGGAAGGCCAGGGGGGCACTGAGGGCCACTTCCCTGAAGGGCAGACCCCCCCAGCACCACATCAGTAAAAGGGGGAGAGAGGCTTGTGTCTGGCCCAGCACCCCCCCCATCCTCACCAAGCCCCTGGTCCCCACCCCTGCCTGCAGAGGTCCTGACAGCCATCCAGAGCACGCTGGAGGGGGGCCGACGGTGAGTTACTGCTCAGGTATATGGGGGTGGGGCAAGGCACCAGGGGGGCTCTGGGAATGGGGGTCCTCGTCTGGCTGCCCTGAGTACCCATGGACAGTGACTGCCCTGCCCTTGCCCACAGGAGCTCTGGTGATTGGCATTCTCAGCGACTGGCCATGGGGTACAGCCTCAGCAATGGGGCAGGTAGGGGCTTCTGGGCACTGCTGTGGGGTTGGGGGGCAGCGGGGAGGGTGTGTTCCTGGGGAGGAATAGGAGGAAGAACCCCCACCTCCCTCCCCAGGGCCCTGCAGACCTTTGGATCCATTCTAGCCCTGACACATGGGCCTGCTCGTCCTGAAAACCCATGTCTGGTCTCAGGGCGGGTGGCCGAGGCCCCTTCCTGCCAAGGATGCTCCCGAGTTGCTGTCACTCCCTTCACAGCAGACTGAGCGGGATGCACACCCAGGCTGCACGATGAACACACACTACTGAGGGCTCCTCCCTGGGGCACTGTTCACCTGGGGAGGCCTGTGCTGGGGAGCCGGGAGCACCCCCAGCCCCCACCCTGCTGCTGCTCCTGGCCTCAGGACAGGAGGAGCCCCAGAGCCCTGGGGCTGAGCCTCCCTGTATCTCATCTGTCTCGGTCCCTTTGTCAATGTTGCACATTTTTTATCCCCTCCTCCCTTTTTGTAGGCTGGGTTTTAAATTATAAAATGTAACTGTCCCTGGGTGAAAAAGAATTTTTAATAAATACCTTATTACCTCTTCACTGGACTGGTCCAGTGATTTTAATTTGTCAGAAGTGTCCACATAAATGAACATGATCATTAGCTGGCTCCTTGCCTTTTTCCCTGGCGTCCACCCGCTGGACCAGGCTGGTGCCCAGGAAAACCTGTTTTTTTAAGCCATCTGAATCAGAGCCAACTGTACTTGGCGGTACCTGAGCGCCGCACGCCTTCATCTCGGGAATAAATAGTGAGAGTTGACCATCCGGAATCTGCTTCCCTGGGACGGGGGCAGAGGGAGTCCCCTTCTTGCTCCTGGTGGCCCTTTTTTGCTGTCAGAAGGGAAAGATACCCATGGTATCTCAGGCCTGGTGGCTTCTTCCAGGCCTCGGGGAAGGACTTGGAGGACATGGAGGTGAAAGGTCTTACCCCCGGGCAAGTGGCCAGATGAGACAGCTGTTAGGTCCTTACAAGCCAGGGGTGTAATTCTACTTGGGCTGTGTCTCACTCATCTCCGTCGATATCCTCCTGTGTGCCGGGCACTTGGGGCTCAGAGCCGGCCCCTGCAGTGTGGTCCCCACCTCACGGGGCTCACAGCCCTTACAAGTATGGGAAGTGTCAGGATGAAGGGCCTGGGAGAAACGCTGCTGCAGGGGCGAAGTTTCCCTGTCTCGGGAGAGATGACCAGGAGCCTGCTGGACGGAAGGCACGGGGGTGGGCAGACCGTTCTGCACAGAGGATGGGGGATGGCAGCCTGTGAGGAACTGGGCTGCTTCCGTGGGAACGAGTGAGAGCCGAGGGCGGCTGGTAGGAAGTGTGCTGCAGCGAGGCCGCCCAGGGCCAGGGCCAGACACAGGACCCGTAGCGCCCTGGGAAGAGGGTTCTGCTGAATGTACCGCAGCCCACCCTGCCCTGAACAGCAGAAGGGCCTTTCGGGAGGACACCAATTCACTCACAGCGGAGGAGCAGAGGCCCTGGTCCCGGGATGGATGTGCTGTGGGAGCGCCCTACCCACCTGCCCTCCAGCTGAGCATGTCAGCTTGAGTCTCTGGGGAGGAACAGTCCCTCAAAGGGAAGAGGAGTGCTATCCCTGGAAGAGGTGGAGAAGGGACACTGGGCAGGGAGAAAGAGCCCCAGATGAGGGGCTGTGCACTCACCCTGCTGGACACTGAGGCAATGGAAGCATCTGAAGGACTTTAAGCAGGGAAATTCTATGAGATTTATTCCTCTCGAGACCACTACATTTTAAATCCCAGCAAAATGCACTCGTGTGACCTCAGTAAAATAACAAGCTGCTCTACATCAGTTTCTTCTGGGAAATGGGATGACAACAGTGTCCCCTCACCATCTATTGTGAGTTTACATCAGTCCACAAGGTTAATGGGTCAATGACCAGGGTCAGGAGAACACATTAGAGTTTGATGTACAGGAAGTCTTTATTGTTATTATTAAAAAAAATCAAGCTTTACTGTTTATACTTTGGGTTAGCACTGGGGTCCTCTGTCGGTAGGTCAGAAGACCATGCACCAAAAGTGAGTGCCAAGGAAGGATGGGAACCCCACATGCCAGAGGACAGCCTCCCACCCCGGCCTGTGGAGACGTGTGGTGTTTTGACTGCCAGTTTAAGGGGCCTGCAGTTGATTTACCCAAGTTAACTCACAAATGGACATGTAGCATAAAGTTTCCTGCCAAGAAAAAAGAAGATACCAATGACAAAGCAAATTCCAGTCAATCAGAAGGAAATGGCTCAACCAACCCTTGCATAGTTCAGAGGAGCATTGTGGCTATAGCAATCAGCATCCGACTGATCAGGTTGAATAAGAAGAAGTCAACAACCCCACAAACACACGTGGAAATGTCCTTTGGAAATGGATTTATATCCATGCCCATTAAGGATGAGCTTTGCCTTAAGTACACAGTGCTCTGAAGTCTTAGCTAATGGTGGTCATTTGCATATTTCAGTTCTAAGAAAACATCCTCCTACTGGGGATGTGAGATCAACTGTTCTTATTGATAGGACTGCACAAAGAAGGGTTTGACATTCTCTATAAAGTGGATTTAGGAAGCTGGGCTGGAGCAGAGAGAGAAGTGGGGGATACGGTCCCGGCAGCCACCATCCAGGGAGAGGTGATGGTGGTGGCGAAATGCAGCTGTTGAGAGGTTGAGTTGACAATGATCCCTCCCAGAGGGAGGGGTCACTGCTGACTCCAGGGGCCTTGGAGATGTACTACAGGCAGCTGGCCGTGGGACCTGGAGACTCAGATCTGAGGGTCTCAGGCATCCAGAGGTGGAAGACTTGGAAGTCAGGTAGACCCACCCCTCCAACACTGGCTTTGTCCGTGATTGGCTCTGTGACCTTTGTAGATGACCTCAACCTTGTACTTCAGTTTACTTATCTGTAAAATGGGGCCTACCTCAGAGGATTGTTAAGGATTGTATGAGAGTCTGTAAAAACTGCGCCTGGCTCCTAGTAAACCCTCTCCAGAAGGGGTGTGCATTACTGTGGATGGTAAGGAGGCCAGGAGAGGAGGCAGCGGCTCAGGAGGGAAGAGGGGGTGTGTATGGAGCAGTGTCAGAAGACGGCTCACCCAGACCCCAGGGGCTCACAGTGTCCGAGGAAAGCAGGTAGAGGAGAGAGTGGCGAAAGCAGGAGGCAGAGGAAGGAACCGGGATTGTGGCTGGGGACAAGTCGTTTGTCCAGGGGGTTCCCTGGAGATTGTTGCAGGTCACACAGCCAGGCTGGGGTGGGGACCAAGCTGGCTGTTCCAAAGCCAATTCCCAGCGAAGCACTGTGGAACAAAATAGCAGGGACTGAGGGCCAAAGTTTGGAGTTTGGTCCCCAATTCCTCACTTAGTGGCTGTACCTCCTTAAGCCAGTCCTCCCTGAGCTATTGACCACCTGTGAAATGGGGTCGCATCCCTTTCTAGGGTTTGGGGAGGTTTAAATGCAGTGATGCCGGGAAAGGACCTGAGGCTCAGGGGCTAAGAGTTTGAAATGCCCACCCAGCCTAGGAAGGCACAAGCCCTGGCCTGGACCCACAGGAAGGGGAGGGAGGCACCTGGGAAGGTAGGTGGAGATTGGAGAGGTGCACAGAGCCCCCCTGTCTGCCCCTAAGCTCACAGGACACGGTATTGGGCCGGGGAAACTCAAGTTTTGTTTGTAGGTGTTTAACGAAGTTCTCCAGTGGGCCTTGGGAGACAGGCTCCGTGGGTTGGCATCCCAGCTTTGACACTATGACACTCAGCTGTGTGCCTCAGTTGTATCATCCGTCAAACGGGAATCCTTATAACACCTCTTCAAGTGCTTTCAAGGGTTAAACGAATTCATATACAGTGTTTAGAGCAGTGCCTGGCACATAATAAGCTCTGACGTGTTAGCTATTTCTTGTTATTTTTCCAGGGCAAAACCTTTCTGTGTTATTATTTTAATTATAAAATGCATACAGAATAGCAAGTCAGGAATACAACCTGATAAATCTCCACAAACTGAACAGACAGCGTCACCCACACCCTGGGAATCCTTGAAACCTTTCTAGTCATGACCAGCCCTCCCCCCCTCCCCCCAGCCAGGGCACTGCCCTGGAGGTCAGCCTCCCTCTTTTCATACTTTATACACAGACTCACAGTGATTTATTCCTCTTTCATGTCTGGCTTTTTTCACTCCCCATTGTTTGTGAGCTAATCCATGCATGTTGCTGGTAGCTGTGGACTATTGTCAGTACTGTGTAATAATCCGCTGTGTTAATACATCACCCCGTGTTTCTCTCTTTACAGGTGAAATGAACCCTCTTAATATCATTGTCCTTTGGCTCCCTCAGTGGTGGTGCTGGGGAAGCAAAGCTTATAGACTTTCACAGTAAAAGTTACAAGTTTTATGATTTATATGGTAGCTGATGTTGCCCACAAGCTTGTGTTCTTTGGGGACAGCTGCTTCCTAATCTAGAAGCAAAGGCCAAGTTGCTTCCTAATCTAGAAGCAAAGGCCAAGCCATTTTTTCTCCTTGCGCAGACCAGGCCTCTGGGTTGTGAGTGGTGGCCTGCCCTGGGAAATTGCGTGCTTGCAACAGCTCCAGATGTTCAGAGGTGAGTGAGACAGATGCAGGCCAACTGGAGAGTATTTGGAGGAAAGTTGCACAGTCTGGAATGTTATCTCCCCTGCTCTGGTTCTGGATGGGGCTGCTGGTAAGGTGAGGCCGGTGAGCGGTCAGCAGGTGCACAGAAGTCCTGGTGGGACAGGTCATAGGCCCTGGCTGCATGTCTCAGCCAACTCCATCCTGGGTGCCCCAGAACCTACCCTGCCACAGTTGCTCACCCTGGGGCCCTTCAAACAGTCTCATACATCCTGCCTGGGTTTACCAACAGTATAACTAACCATCTAAAACAGGCCCATGCCCAGTAGAAAGATGGGTAAGGGATGAGAAAAGACAGGTCTCAGAAAAGAAAACAAATGCCCTAAGAGAAGACAAACGCTTTTTTATTTTCACAGGGACATGAACTTTAAAGACATTGGGATTTTATTTGTCATATCTCAGGGAGGCAAAACTGTTAGGTAACACCATGCCTTAATGCTTTGTGGAAGTGGGTGGTCTCCTGTCTTGCTGGTGGGAGTGTAAATTAGTAAGGCCTCCATGGAGGAAAATTTGGAAATCTCCAAATTACAGATGTGTATACCCTGTGGTCCACAATTCTACTCAGAATTGCTTCTACTTGGGCACAGGTGAAATGATGCTGCAGTGTTGTTGTTGTTTGTAGTAGAAACAAAAGGTGGAATGAGGTAGCAACCACTTCGGATGTAAAAATCTATCAATAAAGAACTGGTTAAACTGGCACATTTTATTTGCTGGAATACTATGCAGTTATAAAATAGGAAGAAAAATATTTATGTACTGTTATGAAATCTCCAAGTTAATCTGTTAAATTGAAGAAAGTAAAGTGAAGAACCATGAATTAGATAAGCTTCCATTTGTTTTTATCTGCATGGATAGCTCTGGAAGGACATAGAAGAAATGGGTAAGTTCAGGAAAAAAGTGAGTAGCTGAGGGTCAGGAATGTGAAATTGTTATTTTGTGGATTTTAAACTATGTGAATGTATTACCTGTTCAAAAGTTAAATATTTAAACAACACACACATTGGGGCAATCCAGAATTTATGGGGTCTGGTTATGTTCCACGAATCAAAGGAGGTACACAAGCCTTTGCTTCACACCAGTTCAAGGTTTACATTACGTTTAGGCAGTTTCTTTCGGTTATATTTCACAACCTAAAGGTCTAACAAACCTAATGGAGTTCTTGCTGTGCGCTAAGGTCGGCTTGGTCCCAGCCTCCTGGAGCAATCCCGGGTGCTAAGGGAGGAGGGTGGGCGACCCTTAGAACTCCCAGGAGGAGGAGGACGGCGCAGGCAGGTTCTTCCGGCACCCCCCCCCCACCTCGTGCTGGGAAGCAGAGCATGGGCCCCCTCCTGGCGCGGTGCCAGGCCGTCCTGGCTGGCTGAAACCCCCGGGAGGCACGGTTGCCCGGTCCACGGCCTTTGTTCGCCGCTGCAGCGTCTCCTCTTTCCTGGGAGGCCTCCGCTCCATTGTGGGCAGAGGGGGTCAGGACCCGCGCCACCTGCATTATTGATGCTCGTAAGGCTGGAGCCCAGGGGGCTAGATTGAGCCAGAAGCCCCACCGTAGCAAAACCGGTGTTCGAAGCCTGGGTGCGCCGCCGAGGGCTGAGGGCGCCAGTGGGCACCAGAACCTCTGGAAGCGGAGAGGACGGAGACACCGGGAAGCCTTCTTCACTGGCCCGCCATGGGCGGGAGAAAGGGCAAAGCGCCCCAGCGCCCGGGGGCACAGGCCTCCGGGGAGCAGGAGTCCGGGTCTGCCGACGCAAAAGGCGCTCCCAGCCGGGAACGCCGACAGCACCGCGCAAAGGCCGGCAGGGCGAGACCGGCCTTGGAGCCCGCCACCACTGGAGGCCAGGGGGCCCCCGCTGGCCGCAGGACGCCCACCGCAGACAGGAGCGGCGGCCGCAGACACCCAGGGGCCGGGCCACCACCGGAGGCCCAGGAGAGACTAGGCACTGCGCGGCCCCGCGGACGCGTGCCGAAGGGGAGCAACGAAGCCAGGGACCGCCGTGCGCAGCCCCCGCAGGAAGAGAGCCTCCCCCGACCAGAAGGCAGGATAGGCGTGCGCGGCCGCCGCAGGAAGAGAGGAAAAGGGCAGGGACCCTCCGCAAGACAGGGCCGCGGAGGGACCCGGAGCCTCGACGGTGGTACCTCGGGCGGAGACGCAGGCAGCTCCTGCCCGGACAGCGAAGCCCGCGAGGCCCGGGAAAGCAGCCCCCAGAGCGGTGGGGCCCCGGAGCTGCAGCCCAAGTCGGAGCAGACGGACACGGGCTCTGGAAGCACCCAGACCAGACGGGAGTTAGTGCTGGAGCCTGGCGAGAGCTCGAGCAGCGATGGCAGGGGCAGCGACCCGTCCCCCGCCAGGCCCCGGAGCAGGGAAAGATCGTCGGAGGCGGGGCCGCAGGCAGTGGCCGAGGATTCCGGGACAGACACCAACTCAAGCCTGGAGGAGGCTGGGCCTGGACGGAGTCCCCGGGCAGCCCCAGGGATGGCCAGCAGGGCCACTGGGATCGAAGACGCTGAGCCGGGCAGAAAAGCTACAGCCTCCAGCCCCCTCGAGGGTAGCCGCGGGTCTGTTTCCCAGAGCTCGCAGGCTTCTTGCAACCCCAGGCCGGCCTGGGACGCGGGAGAAAACTGGACGCATCCAGAGGCTGAGGCGCCGGGCCCAGAGCGCGAAAGCGCCAAGGCCTCGACAGCCCGGGCGCGGCGCCGCCAGGTCGGAAAGGTGGTGGGGCAGGTGCAGGTGGCAGCGGGCGAGGGTGAAGAGGGGGCTGGAGGCGGAGACGGGCCCGGGGACCCAGCGCCGCTGGCCGCTCTCGTGGCGCTAAGCAGGCTCCGCGCGAGGACCCCGCCAGGCCCCGCTCCCCAAGCCACGGGTCCCCGCCGCCCCGGCCTCAGGGAGCGGCTCCTTCGAGTGGCCAGCGTCCTGGGCCTCCTGCGCTGGCTGCGGCGGCGCCTGGGGCAGAGGGGAGAGGGGCGGGGGGCGGGGCCGCGGGCGGGCGACGGGCGGGGCCGGGGGCCGTGGCTGCGGCGCCGTCTTGGGCTGCGCCTGGCGGGAGCAGTGGGGCTGGGAGCACCGCCGAGGGCTCCCCCTGGCGGCGGCCCGAGCTCCACGCAGGTTGCGGAAAGCCCCGCCCCCGAAGACGCTAATGAAGACGAGGACCCGATTCCGGATCCCAAATTCGCGGTCGTGCTCCCCAGGGTCCACAGGGAGGGGCGGGCATCGAGTAGCCGGAGCTCCGAGGAAACGTCCGTGGACCCCCTCGCCGGGGAGGGACACGTTTGGGCTTGTGCGGGGGCTTCAGGGGACAAGGAGGGGCGCGGGGCGGGTGGAGAAGGGGTGGCTGGTTCCCGCCGAGGCTCTCTCCTGGGCCCGATTGCCCCCGACGAAGCCCTAGACGAGGGCGGCTCGGGCAGTGGAGCGGGGCCTGAGACCTTGGAAGCCGAGACTCTGGTGCACTGGGCACAGGGCTCAGCCCCCCGCGAGGACCCTGGTCTCAGCACTGGCGTGCTGCTGCCCCGCCTCACCTTGGAGGCCCGCGGGCGGCGGGAGAGGAGCCCAGGCCCCTGCGGGTCCCGGATGGAGCCATGGGAGCCGGACGACGAGGCCGAGGAGGCGCTGGAGAGGCACCTGGAGCTGAGCCTCGGGCCAGGCCTCGAGGCACCGCACTTTCCTGGTGCCGAGGGCAGGAGCCTTGGGAATGGCCTGGAAGACACCGAGGACCTGGCCCGACTTCGGTGAGCGGCCGCAGTTCTAAATCCGCCAAGCCTATGTCACACGTTTCCTCATAGCCGAGCCTACCTCCTTTTTTATAAACGGTGTCCTTAGAAGGGATTTTGCTTCACAAAAGTCAAACTGGCTGGAGGGGGCAGGTAAGGGGTGGAAGTCCGGTGCTCCCGCTTCGGAACTTCTCCAGTCGGCACAAAGCGTCACTCAATCAGCGGCATGTCTTGCTTGTAGCCCCCCCATGGATGGCAACTTGCTTGGCAGCCAGGCCCCTGTTTGTTGGGGGCAGGGCTAAGAGAGGGTGCAGGACTTGCCTGGAGAGTCTTTGCAGCCAGAGGCACACTAACCTAGGGCCTCCTTCTGTCTCCCATCCCTGCCCCTCCACCCCGCTGTCCCCACAGACCTGTGTGTGACAGCTCCGTGCTGCTGTGCCTCAAGAAGAGGTTTCACCTGGGCCGAATCTACGTATGGGGGGACCCAGGGAGGCAATGGAGGGCTGGCATTCCCTTTCCCCTGGGATCAGAGGGCCCGACAGCACTGCTGCAGTTTCTCCTTCCTTCTCCCTGGGCTTGCAGATAACCCTGTCTGCAGACCTGCAAAGGGAACTGGGGGTCTAAGCTGGGCTGGGAAGCTTTGGAACCCTACTCCATCTGCACCCCTTGTTCCCTCCATTTTCTGATGAGAGCTTCTGCATTCTCCCCCAGACCTTTGGGGGGCCCCTTCTGCTCGCTTTGAATCCCTGCCGTCCCCTGCCTCTCTTCTCACCTGAGGTCCTGGCCAGCTACCGTCCCGCGAAGGCGCTGAATACCACCCCGTACGTGACTCCGCTGCACCAACACTCTGCTCATCCCCCTGGGTAGCTAAGGCCCAGCATGTCCCATTGACTGAAGTCCTGAGGACTGTGGGCACATCCTGCCTACACCTAGGAAGGCCCCAGGTGCCCATCTCTGGCAACCTTCTCATCTGCCCCCCAGACACATCTTTGCCATTGCAGCAGCAGCCTACTGCCTGTCACAGAGCACCCGGCAGGGCTCCTGCATTCTCCTAGGGTGAGTGGTGGCTGCCCTGAACCCAGAGGCCACACTGAGGCCCAGAGCAGAGAACGGGAAGGCCTGCATTTGATGCTGCTGGTCTGGTCCACTGCTGGGTGGCAGCTCCGGACTTTGTCAGGGCTGTACTTCTGGCTGAAGTCACCACGTGCCCCTTGAACAAGGCCTCAGGGACTTTCTTCGGTTTGGTCTCCCCCCTGGGTCTATCTTCTGAAGTGCTGTGGGGTTTCCTCTAGAGTGGGTATCATTTCCAGGGGGACATATCCCCACTTTCCTGGCTCAGTGGGGTTGTCCTATGGGCCCCTGCCTGGAGACCCTGCCAGCCCCTCCCTCCTCCAGCGGGCACAGCGGCTCAGGGAAGACAGAAGCTGCTAAAAAGATAGTGCTGCTCCTGAGCGGCCTGCAGCAGGAGCAGACGGGGGGCAGCGGATGCCAGGTGAGGGCCATTTGGCCGTTTCCCAGGGACCCAGGAAGGACCTCCCTTCTCCTTGGGGCCAGGAGTGTGGTCTTCAGGCCTCTGGCTTCTCCTCAGGGGCAGCCCTAGGTGTTGCCTCGTGTGAGAGTGGGGTGGGGTGCAATGGGACTGGCCCCTCCGTGGACCAGCAGTCCCCAGGCACAGGATGCCCTCAGCTAGGATGCCTGATTGTGAGGCACCCCTGCCACTCCCAGGGATGTCTGAATGCCCCTCCCATACAGCTGAACAATGTGCTGCATGTGCTCAGCAGCTTTGGCCACGCCAAGACAGTCCTCAATGCCAATGCCAGCCGCTTTGGCCAGGTTTTATGCCTCGGCCTGCAGCAGTGAGTAATGGGGGTCCAGGTGGGCACAGGGGGCACCCGTGATCAGTGCCCCTTCCTGGGAACCTGAGGCTGCTGCCCTTGGGTCCAGCACGTGGTGGGTCCCATTCTGAGTGGGGCCCCTGGGCTGCATCCACTCTGGCACCCTCACCTGCAGTGTCCTATGCCCACAGTGGGGTCATCCTGGGAGTTTCTGTGTCACATTATCTGCTCGAGACCTCAAGGGTGGTGTTCCAGGTAAGACCCACCCTGCTGCTCACCTCCCAGAGTAGGAAAGGAAAGAGGGAGGAACCCCTGTAGGGGGCTGTGGTTCCTGAGCCCCCAGGTCTTCCCCAGGACGTGTCCTTGCTCCCCTGGGCACAGGACTAGGCCACTGCTCCCCCTAAGCCAGTCCTTCTCCCCCAAGGCCCAGGCTGAGCAGAGCTTCCATGTGTTTTACGAGCTGCTGGCCGGGCTGGACCCTGTGAAACGGGAGCAGCTCTCCCTGCAGGGGCCGGAGACCTACTACTACCTCAACCAGGTGGGGCAGAGCCCACTCGGTGCTGGGGGACAGGGCCTGCCTCCAGAAGGGTCTTGGCACAGAGGCTGAGGAGGAGCTAGAGCAGAGGAAGGCTGAGGGTGAGGGGGCAGGACCTGGAGTTGAGCAAGGCTCTGGGTGGTGGGCCTGCCTCCTCACCGTCGCTGGGCTCTGCAGGGCCAGGCCTGCAGGCTCCAGGGCAAGGAGGACGCTCAGGACTTCTCAGGGCTGCTGAAGGCCCTGCAGGCGCTGGGCTTGTGTCCCGAGGAGCTGACCGCAATCTGGGCCATGCTGGCCACCATCCTGCACCTGGGCAACATCTGCTTCTCCTCTACAGAGGTGGGCTCCCCCTGTGGGCAGGGGCCAAGAGGGGCACTGGATCAGTTGTGGCTTGTTTGCATAATCAAGACAGCAATTAGACCCCAAACACCTGTAGGTAGAGACTCCAGAGGCCTGGGCTTCACAGCTGTCCTGGAAAGCAGGCGGTCCCCATCACAGGGACAGGAACAACGCACTTGGGATCCTCTGCACCCAGGCCAGCGCCTGTTCCGCTAAGCTGCCACCCTAAGGATAGCCGCCACTAACTGAGCAGCTGTTACACACCTGGCCCTGTGTAAATCACTTTACATGTGTTTCCTAATTCTGTTCTCACGACAGTGCTGTAACATCAGGGTCATTTTTCCCCTTTAACAATAAGGCAGTGGAAACCCTGAGAGGGAGACACTTGCTAGATCCGGGCAGCTAGTGAAGGGGTGCAGTCAGGACATGCATTCAGAGCCCCACACTCCGAGCCTGCTCACCTGCCCGGATCTCCCTTTGGGTAGCAGGGCAGCTTGTGGGCAAAGTAACGTCCCAGAGGACAGAGGCTGTCCACAGCATAGCTCTCCCTCCTCTGTCCAGCGGGAGTCCCAGGAGGTTGCTGCTGTGTCCAGCTGGGCCGAGATCCACACGGCAGCCCGGCTGCTGCTGGTGCCACCTGAGCACCTGGAGCGGACTGTCACCAGGAGGGTCATGGTGAGCCCGAGGGTCCTGAGGAGATGGGGGCCCCACCCTAGCCACCTGCAGGCTTCATGAGCACCCGTGTGGATCTTGAGCTTGATGGTCCACATACATTGCAGGGCCCTCCTCTGCCCTCAGGAGACACCCTATGGCTGGGTCTGGAGATCCCTGCCCATGGAAAGCGCCATCGATGCCAGGTGGTCCTGCGGGCAAGAGAGGGCCTCAGCCAGCTCTGGCAGCCTGCTGCATGTGGCTCACTCACCATGCCCACAGGGACACCCTGGCCAAGGCCCTGTACTCGAGGCTCTTCACTTGGCTGTTGAGAAGGACCAACGTGCAGCTGGCACCACCTGGGGAGGGAGAGAGCACGGACACCATCACAGTCGTGGATGTCTATGGCTTTGAGGTCACCCTTGGTGTAGGCCCCAGGACAGGGTGCCCACCTCATCCTGGTTGTTTCTGGGGACCCCAGCTCCAGCTCTCCCTGGGGGCACTTGTGAGCTGTTTGCTACCTGGCCTTTAGATGGCCCAAGAAATGGCTGCGTGTTCTGTGGGTGTAGCCATTCTGCCCTGCTCTGTCCAGTCCTCACATTGCCTCTGGAGAGTTCTGTCCTGCTTGGCCATGCAGAGTCTCACAGGACCTTCTAAGACAGCAAAAGAGAGACCCTAGATTGGGTCTGCCCACAGCCTCACCTGTAATCCCTACAGGAAGAATGCTGGAAGGCTTCTTGGAGGCAGCAGTCTGGAGCCTTGCTCATGAGGATGTGGGGTTCTGATAGTCAGCAAACTAGGTCATAGGATAAGGTACTTTCCAGACTATAGGATGGCTATGAAGAAGCCTGAAGGCTCAAAGCCATGCTGAGGCAGAGGGCAGGGGTGTGGCCTGCTACAGGGAGGCCTGACCATGGCTGGGCAGGACTGAGGCAGCCTGAACACTGTGCCAGGGCCTTTGGACTTGACCCTGTAGGCTGCAGCATCAGCCTTGGGGCACCAGTTCTCCCTGAGTTTCTGGTGAGAATGCAGCAGCCCTGGGGGAAGGGGAAGCAGGGCACCAGTCCTGTGTGCCGGCCCTGCATACCTACCCATGCCTCTGCCTTGTGTGGGTGCCCACCTCCCTGCCCATGTGCCCCCAGGCACTGCAGGTGAATGGCCTGGAGCAGCTGTGCAACAATCTCGCCAGTGAGCGCCTGCAGCTCTTCTCTAACCAGCTGCTGCTGGCCCAGGAGGAGGTAAAGGGCACCTGGGCATGCATGTGGCAGGAGGCACCCAGGCACTTCCCAGAGCAGAGGGCACTGAATGAGCGCTCTGCCCCAAAGCTCCCTTGCCCTGGGCCATCTCGGTCCTCTGAGCCTCATTTCACTCATCTGTAGGAAGGGAGGGCCATTCCTGCTCTGGCTCAGACGAGGCCCCCCACGAATGTGGGTGGGCTCTGTAAACAATGCTGACTGTTTCCAGGAGGCCTGTCGGCAGGAGTCGCTGCCTTGGATTCCCATCTCCCAGCCTCCGCGCGAGTCCTGCTTGGACCTCCTGGTAGACCAGCCCCACAGCCTCCTGAGGATCCTGGACGCCCAGACATGGCTGTCGCAGGTGAGCCCCAGCGGTGGGGACAAGGAAAGGGGGCCCTAGTGGCCAGGCAGGGAGCAGTGGAGGCTCTCAGGGGAGCAAAAGCTGATGGGATCCAAGGACCCTGCCCGCAGCCCCTCAGCGTCGCTTGGGGAAGCAGTGGCCAAACTGGGTTTAAATCCTGTCTCTGGTGATCTTGAGCAAGATACTGTACCTCTCTGAGGGTCCTCAAGTCCTGGCTGCAGAAGGGGGGCAGTAGTGATGGGTAGTGGGGGGCAAAGTGGTGGGGGCTGTGCTGGGCTCATGTGGGGCTTGCGAGGGGCCCTCAGGCCTCTGGCCAGCAGGGGGCAGCCTCAGGGCCTTGGGGCATCCATTCCACAGATACTCATTGACTGCCTCCACCCCCAACCTAAATAACTCCCCTGTTACTCTCCAGCCTGTCCTGTACTTTATATTTTTATAACAATTGTGTCCACATGCAGTTACAGTATATTTATTCATTGACTTTCTCCCGAGCTAGGCTGAGCTCCATAAAGGCTGGGTCCTCCTCTGAAGGGTTCTCACCTTAACTGCAGTGCCAAGGGTTCACTTAATGTTGAATGAATGAGTGAATGAATGAATGAATGAATGAATATGTGTATCAGGAACTGTGTTAGGGATAAAAGGTGAGCCAAAATAGACCCAGTCCCTTCCTCTTAGAGCCTGCAATGTAGCAGGAGAGAAATGTTATCAATATGGAGAATTGAATATGAAATCACACCCATATGGCTCCACAGGTGGGTATGCAGGGCCACAAGCCCAGGCAGAGCTGGGCCTTCTCTGAGATCTAGGGTAGTATAAGCTTAATATATCATGACCCCAGATATACGATGACCTCGTTTTTTCCCATTCAGAGGTTAAAAATGAAGGATGAAAAATAATGGTAAAATAGTAAAACATGGTAATATTTCATTGCTCAATATAATGTTAATATAAAAAGCATTAATATATAATAAATACTAACATATCACAACCACATATAGTTATACATAATGTATGACAGTCATACATATTTGAAATCTTTTACTAGGTAAACACAGTGTGTTAATTCATAAATGATTGCTTTTCTTGATTCACATTTCATAAAGTCTTATCAGAGCTTGTCCCAGGCGTCTCTGGCACCTCAGGGCCGCCTTTGGAACCACCCAGCCTGGGTGTCCAGAGCTCCACAGCACCACTTAGGTTTCCAGTATTTAAAAACAGCACTTTCGTGTCTGTGTTGGGCGTTCACCCTGGAATTGTGATCCCAAGCAGCTTGTTCCCATTTAGGTAACATTCAGGCAGGTTTCCCGTGGGCATTTGTTTTGTATGTTCCTTAGCTCCGTAAAGTAAGCTCTTATTGGGCTGCTTGTTTACAGTGTCTTTGGAAGACTCATCTAGAAACACCTGTGATTGAGAGCTTGCACTCCCAGGAGAGGTTGCTACCTCTGTCTTACAGTCTCCCCGGCCCCCTTTCTTTTACATGACTTTATCAGATGTCTCTAAGCTGCCAAATCTTATATTGACTGAGCAAGGCTACTGTGTCTTTCTAAAATAGCACTTAGTTGTTCAAAACTATCACTGGGAAAGAGCACGCCCTTTATAAGGACTCAGATATGGAGTGACCCTTCCTGTCTGAGGAAGAAGTTTGGGGAACAAAGCCAACCTCACCTTATGCTCAATGTCTTTGGTCACTGGGGACCTGGGGAGGTCAGGGGAGCAGCATGTGCAAAGGCCTGAGGGAAGCTTGTCCCACTTACCAGGCCACGGACCACACCTTCCTCCAGAAGTGCCACTATCACCATGGCGGTCACCCGTGCTATGCCAAGCCCCAGCTGCCCCTTCCTGTCTTCACCGTGAGGCATTACGCTGGGACTGTCACCTACCAGGTATCAGTAAGGGTGATGTGAACCTGGTGTCCCCTCCCAGAGCTGAGTCACACCTGACAGGTGAGAGGAGTAGGTGAGGGGAGGCCCCTTCCAACGCTTGGCCATCTGTCCCTACCTGGGCGCTCGGCCTCACCCAGTTCTGAGGGTGATGTATCGAGTTCTGGATGACATTTTAGGGTGGGGTGAGTCGAGTCCTGGGGACTCTTCAGGCCAAGAGGGGCAGAGCATGCTCGTGGGACCTGGCTCTGATGACTTCAGGCAGTCTACTTTTCTTTCTGAGCCTCCATTTCCTCATCTGTAAAATGGGAATGGGAATCTGCCCTATAGCATTATCTTGAGGATTAAATGCAGTAATATGGAAATGGCTGGGCAGATGCCTGACATATACCAAGTGTTTCACTGAACTGACTTTCCTGTCTTCCGTCTGAGTTACACAGTGACTGCACACTGGCCAGGTGTGCTGAGGGGAGCAGCTTGGTATAAAGGGCAGGACCGAGTGACTGGTTTAAAGTAGGGCAAGTCAGGTAAGGCTTCCTGGAGGAGGCCACATGCTCTGGTTGCAGAAGAAAACATACAAACTACGCAGGAGTCATGCAAACAAGGAACACACGGACTATATGTCAATTATACTTTAACAAGAATACAATCACATCTAAAACAGAAAGAAACCTGGAGGAGATTGAATAAAGGAAACTGAAACTATATTGAAGATCATAAAAGACTTAAAAAGGAAGAAACCATGGACAGCTACATGTAAGAGAATGAAACTGGATTATTGTCTCACCCCATACACAAAAGTAGACTCAAAATGGATCAAAGACCTGAATGTAAGTCATGAAACCATAAAACTCTTAGAAAAAAATATAGGCAAAAATCTCTTGGACATAAACATGAGCAACTTCTTTATGAACATGTCTCCCCAGGCAAGGGAAACAAAAGCAAAAATGAACAAGTGGGACTATATCAAA